TAACTTCAATACATGCTGCCCCTGATCGATTTACCCTTTATAAGATTGTTTCACTCTATTGGATTGTTTCCTTTAGTTTGATTCGAATTTGAATACTAGTACAATTTCATCTGATTCAAGGTTTTTTTTAAAGTCTTAGAATTTTTATGGAATGAATACTGTTCGTTATCTCCATGTAAAACTTTTCTCGCCTGCCCGATCAGGATTTCAACAGGTTTTCAGCTTATATAATATGATCTCGTTTTAAGTCATCATTTCGCATGTTTTATGGTCGATACAATGATCTTGGCAGCAAATACAACCAATTATTAAGGCAAAAGCCTATTAATTATCAGGCTATTATCGTCAACGGCTTCCCCCTCCCGTTTTTTCCAATCATGACACGGCGGGTACGAACGGTCTGCAGGGGATGCTCACTTCTCCATGACACCTAATCTATCTCACCTCTGATGTTTTGGAGATCTTTGTGTGTTCTGCTCCCGATCTTTATTGAATTTTCACCATATTTCATAAGCTTTAATGAAATGACCTTTGTGTGTTCGCGTTACATAAACTTGTGACATTTTTATACGTTTTCTCTACTTATTTTCAGAACTCGATTCCGAGAAACGGCTTTTCTTAAGAAAGAAAATTTATAACCAGTTTTATTATCTAAAGGCCATTTTAAACGCAGTTTTATACAACGCATTTATATTGTCTGATCGGCTTGAAAATAATAGAATTTTTTTTGTTCTATCTAGTACATTTGCAGATGATTTCGTTTAATATTCTTGCAAATTCAGATCCAATGTTCATAAAAGCGATAAAGTATCTTATCTACTTAATTACCAAGTACCTTCTGTTAATCAAGATTGTCCAATATTTACGTAATCTTATTCCTTAGAGACACATGTAATCAATTCTTAACACTTATTACGAAAGCCGCATTTATCCCGAACTCACAAACTTTACAATTTGCCTCATATAAAAATTCAATCATTTTCCTTGTCCTTTGTCCAATTAGATAAACTTTTGTCATTTCTGTCGCTTGCTTGTTCATTATTTTTGACGAAGACAAAAAATAGATTAGGTTTGTTTTCTGATTTATCAAACCAATAAAGCTCTTTAAAATACACGGATGTATATAGGTGGCCCAAATGGCGCAGTGGTTATAGCATCTGCTCTAGAATTGCGAATTAAGGAGCTGTTCCGTACGTCTGGTGGTTCGAATCCCACTGTGGGACGTGGAGAACGGTCCTATGGATGAGACTGATAAACCGGGGTCCCAAGCCGCAGTAGGTGCTGGCACGAAAAAGATCCCTCACTGCAAAATCAGTGAGGAAATAAGGATTAAATACCATGTCGGGGCTTTGTTTTCTTTCTTAACCTTTAGCAGTTTTTTATGTAAGTGTTTCTTAATCATTTTAATGAAGGCAATCGGGGCAATGTATACGGATCATTATAGAGACTGCTGATGTTTTTTTTTTCTGCACATGTTATGAAAACGTTTATGGTGTCCAATTAATTGGGTGCACTGTCAATGAAAACATAATACAAATTTACAAAAGAGTGCCTTAAGCATGATATTGATGATTAATCCAATAAAAGGTATTATTATTATAAAAATGTAATTATCCAACATTTTCGTATTCTTTACCTGTTCTATACTGTTGTAAGTTGATCTGATATTTAAAGGTGCAAAGGCACATATTAGATCTTAATATTTTCTCAAATTTTCTGTATAATTTCATAGCTTGTGTGTTGCTATAACATTTCATATGAAAATATAACAAAAATTATTATTTTTTCTGAAAGTTATTAAAGTTATTTGTGAAAGTGTAAGGATGTGTCAATCAAACGCATCTAGAAATTTCAATAACTTCCAGAATTTTTTTTTAATCGTTTTCAATTTGAGCAAATACGTTTAAATACAAAGATGTGGTTCATTATAATTATTAATCACGCACATTTTTTTGCCATATACATATTTTCGTCAGTGACATCTTGTACCTTCACCCACGTCGCATATTGTCATCTCTTGGCACATATTAACTCCGTTATCCAGCCTTTTATTTGTCTGCAGAATGAATGACAAAATTTATCTGAACATTAGCCATAATGTTGGTGGTGATATTTGGAGGTTAAACATCGTATCGAAATATGTTATACGCCTTTTGCATGGATTTATTGTAATAATTTTATCAGGATCCTCCGCCCTCCTAAAAGTATCACTAAAATGTTTATTTTCGATTTGTTTTAAATTGCAGATTCTTCATAATAGCTGGTAAGTAAACAATGGAGATAACTAACAGTGATCGATCCCAGCCAACAAAACAAAGTATAAACTGGTCAAAAACAAATCCTGGAAACGCCGTGAGTCCCATGTATTGATTTGATAGACGGGTATCTGTAGTCAAATTATCATAGAAGCCATGACCTGACAAATTGTATGAAACGCGTCAGCCAAATACGGCTTAAAGAAAGGCTGTGTTTTACAATTAAAGTCATTATCATAGAATTTGTTAAATAATTGAAATTGGGTCTTCTTAATACATGTACAAATTAGATAACACACAAACCCTTTGAAACGTCAGAGGTGGAAACTGATGCTACTCTTATAGATAGGTCAAAATGCACGCCATTCCTTCATCACTCCAGATATATATACTGAAAAAGAAGGATCGATGCTTTGAATTTTATCTTTTGATTGTCCAATACAATATCATCTATGATAGAGAGGCTTTTATTTGTTCTGCTTGAAATTTGAATTGTGTAAATATACTCCCAAGACAAATCACGATATACAGAATTAATTTTTTTGTAATAGAGATGAACAATTAATATATCTCTTCTCTACAACAAATTACTCTTAAAAATTGTGGCAATAGCTACATCCCAACTCCAACACACTTAATAAAAACCCAAAATCAAACGAAGATATTTTAAATCTAAAATTGATTTTGATTATACAAACCGATCCTTTAATGTATGAAAAAACATTTTACATCTTTATAGAGGAATTAGTTTTTGATCAGTTTCTTTCGTAAGCGGTAGTTTTCCTTATTCGGTTAGAAATATGAAGACCAATTATACACACCTCCAGAAATTTACATAATGTACAAACTTTCATGGCCTACGTCAGACCACGGTTTTAAAGTACTGTCAGTGCTATACCAAAGTTTGTATTCGCTCTAAACGGCTTACGACTGATTATGTCTGTTCCCACCTACCTTTACTGTGATCACTATCTGTCCTTACCTTGCCTCATGTAGATTTAGCATCCCTCTTTAGCTATGTGTTTGTAAAATATCGGCATTTATGATTAATTTTGTATTTGCATTTGATATAGTAAACGCAACACAAGTTGCTGAATACAACATATGGAGATAACGAACAGTATTCAAGCTCAAAAGTCCATAAAACAATACAAAATATGAGCAGAATAAACATGGACTTCTAAAACATCAGAGGTGGGATCAGGTGCCATGGAGGATTGAGTATCCCCTGCCGACCGGTCACACCCACCGCGTGCTTCTTGTCATGACCGAAAAATAATGGAAAAATCTGTTGTCAATTCAGTGTGTAAATATTGGTCTAACAATTAGTATGAAAAACTTCAGTCGGCATTTGACTCAATGATAAATTGTATTTGCTAACAAGGTCATTGTATCGACCATAGAACTTACGAACTGACGACTTTAAACGAGACTGCTGATATTCTTGTTTCATCAACTTATTTGTCAATAATTTACTTCGTTTTAGAAATTGTGCATGCGTAGACCATGCTCTTGCGTATATTGAATTAACTTAGATATATAAACTCCGTATGCAGGTGATGAAGGCATACTGCTGCATAAGTAAGGGAAGTTGACGATTGTAAAGTAAAGTCATTGCGTTTATCATAGAGCTTGACTGTTAGATTACCATTAACGTCTTTTTCAAGTAAAATATCCAAATATAAAACAGATGTGTCAGACTCTGTGGTATATTTTATCTCAAGCTCACCGGAATATATCATATCGACGTAAGAATGGAAGTTACCTTTGTTAATTGACAATAAGTCGTCGATATATCTAAATGTCGAGTTGAAGGCGACAGCAAGTGTTTTCTTCTTTTCACGTATAAGATTTTGGAGAAATTCTGGTTCATTTGAATACTAAAATAGGTCTGCTAGTAACGCTGCTAGTCATGCTGAAAAAAAAAACGCATTGCACTTATCAGACAGTTTCATAAAAAAAAGTAAAAACATAGTTATGATTCCTTGTGAATAACATGTACAAGAGAACATCATAGAAATGTGTGTTTTTGACATCTTTATTTATATTTTGTACATGACAATAAGTATTCATGTTTTTTATTTGAATTCCTCATTTTTTTTATTTCTAAGTCTCAAACATTATCGGTTATTCTCATTTAAAATTTTCAGAGACATTTTGTAAATTAAAGAAAGAGAAAAAAAAACAACTTACGTAAAGCCAAGATAAAAATCTTTCTTTTTAAATATTCAAATAGATCACTATTCTTTATCTCATCTTCCTCATTGAAAAATAATAATAATTTTAAAGTTAATAGCATTCAGTCTCATCCAAGCTAATTTCAATTAATTTCTCTGGATTCTTTTGGTCTTAAGTTATAGATATATATGAAATCATTCCTGAAATTTGTCTGCTAATAAATGATCATTTAAGACATATATAAACATATAAATACATATAACTCACGTGCGTGCAGCTTAAATATCGTTACTTTTTCAATGAAAGATATTCATTAAGACTAATTCTAGTACTTTTATGCATTATTCGATTTCAAAGAACATTTGATGTCTTTGCATGTATAAAATTAATTAAGGTTCTAGATTTTGGCAGATTTCTCAATCACAATTTAGAATATATAGATTTCTTCAGATACAAATTCATATACAGCCTTTATAGTGAGAAATCCCCCTATTACAAATTATCGAACATTCCGATGTATAAATTCTTTGCACCTTTCACTAGCATCTTTATTCGAAGAAGCTTTTCACCGCGTAACAGTCGGGTTTGATTATCCATATACAGGGTCAAGGTAAGTGTAAAATTGGGATCTAAAAAAGAAATAACTATTTATGTGTTATAATCATCATATTCGAATAATGAATATGTTGATTAAGATTTAAATTCAATAATTTAAGGAAAAAATAAAGTAATATAGGACATCAACAAATGCATATTACTGAGTATTTTATCAATTTTTTTTCTCTAAAAGTCTCTTATTTTATTGTTTACTTCTTATTTAAATTGAATAAGAATTCCGTTTTTCCGAACTGAATTATTTCTTTCAAGATTTCAAAAGAATTCTGAATATTCATGAACATCGTTATATTCGATTTCTCCAATAAAATACAAGAAAAAAGTAGACTAACGAATCAAACTTTTGTTATCTTTTTTAATTAAAATAAAATCTATTGATCAAAAGGGTTTCCTTGCAGAAAAGACTGAGCTAGTTTAACAGCCGACAGAATCAGTAGGAAAATGTAGATGCTATTTATTTCATTGGATAAAGAATGTTATTGACACACAATTTGAGATTATAAAAATCATCGCAAAAACAATAGTGTTTTTATGTACGTATCAATTGAACAGTTTTTTAAAGAGTACGAGGGCCGTTCAAAAATTACGCGGACTGTGCTATTATTTACTCTTACAGACGTCATATAGTTATAAAATTTCACAGAAATATGTATCTTAAAGACTCCAATAAATTTTGATAAAAATTTCTGTACTTTAAAAAAATTCTACTAAAATTATCGATATGTTGATATTGCTGATGGAGAGGTACGGAGCACCACAAAAAATTTGAAGCAAAAGCATGCATAATCCAAAATTTAACACGCGATATTTTTCGACAATTTTCTCAGATGTATCTTTAAATTGTTCTATTTCTATGTATTTAGATTTCTGACGTGATATTTGAAATACTAGCAGAAATATAGTGATTTTTCTCTGATGCAATTCCCGTGAAAACGACTGTGAAAATGACGTCTCCTGAATTGACGGCGCACCACACTTTTGTTAAATTATGCGTAATGCTCGAGATATCGCCAACATAGATCCAAAATATGCATAATAAAACATGTAGTAAACTAGGGTATTCGTGACATTCGTCCACAAATAGCAAATTGAAATTTTAGAACGTTAGACCTCTGTAAAAAGGCTATACGGAGGACAGGAAGAAGATTATCGACGAAAACTTTATCCGGACTGTAAAGAACGTGATTGCGAGTCACTAATATCACACTATATCTCATAAATACCTGCAGTTTTTGGTTTTAAAACAAAAATGCATATTCTTTACTTGTTTAATAGATTTTAAGCTGGACAATAAATTGTGTTTGGATATTGAGTAGATAAGATACTGTAAATGTATTATATTTAGCGTGTACGATATTTAGCGTAAAATGATTATTAACAAGTTAGCGTATATTTGATTTAGCGCATTTCTTGATGTTCTTATTCATGTATGAATGTTTAAGACAAGTAGCGATGTACTTGAATTAGTGAAAGTATATTTCCGCCAAAAGTGCTTAAAAGAATACACCGCCAAATGTAATACGTTTACAGTAACTCAAACTGTACAGGTACTCTTGGGTAATTTTGAGCAAATGAAAGCTCAATCACATATTCTTTTTATAATGCCTATGACGTCGAAGATTTTGCTGCTCCGTGACTTAATGAGATGTCCTGAAAAATCACTCAAAATTGATACCAAATTATAACATTTTGATATGAAATTTTGAAGACCATATAAGAAAAGATTCTTTTATATTATGTGTGACATTTTTCCCTATTATGTCGTCAAATATTTTTTCTGTGCAACAAGTCCGCGTAATTTTTGAACGGCCCTCGTAAATTACCTTATTCAAAACTCCTATGGGACACAAATTCAATTCTTTATTTCCATAAATTCGTATATAAAATTCTTAGTATATGAATTTTTTTTATATAAGAAATTTTTCGCCATAGTTCCAAAACATTTCGCTGCACAAGTTTTCGTAATAAAAAGGTTTTACTGTATTATGTTACGTTAGACAAGTACTGTTGTTTCTTCTGCTTTTTCTAACTTTTTGACACACTTTAAGCTTAGGTTAATTTAAAGCTTTCTTAGTTTCGATAATAAATTAAATTTAATTTACAATCTACAATCACACATGAGTTTACTGTTTAAAGCATTTACTTTGGATTTTTAATGGTCATTCTTTAGCTTGAAAGTAAGTCGTTGAAATATAATATAAATAAAAGAATATCAGAATGAATTATATAATCCTTACGTAATTATATAAATATTGCATTTAGTTGAGTGTAACATTGGAAATTTTCACCCCAAGAAAACCGAGGGGTGAAAATTTTCAATGTTACACTCAACTACATGCAATATTTATCATATTATACTGAATCTTTTATACAAATACATATAACAGTGAACCGTGCGCGCATAAATTCTGCGCAGTCGCTATTTTTTGGAATATCACCCGTCGTCAAGCACTGTTGACTGTTGCTACGCTGGAGGGCGTGGCTTCATTATTCAGCGGGTAATAGTTTTTTTTAAACAAATGTTTCTCGACCAATCACATTCAACTAATTTACATGAAAATCTAATATAACAGCTTATTTACTGAGTGAGTGATAAAAGCGGAGGGAATAAGCCACGAGCGGAATGCAGGACATTAACACGTAGAACACCTACTACACCGTGGTAGATACAAATATATCGGCTCTGTATTTTCACCGCAAATGTAGAAATTTTGTTTAAATTGTGTGTTATGAAAAACTAGAGCAAATAGATAAAAAGTGTATAAAATAACGTCTTCACCATTCACTTTAGGTCTCACTTTAAAATAACTTAGCCCAAAAATAATCTTTGCGGAGGTTTATTTGATTTTTATTATATAAAAAAATGCAACAATCCTACAAATATGATAAATAAAACCGTTGCAATTAAGAAACCATAAAGATATTCTTTCCCCAAATGTCTAGCTATATCAGGTTACGAGAACAATGACCGTTTCTCTTAATAAACATTTATATACAAAAACAATTATTTTATGAAGGATTTCCTGATGGTAACTTCATTCTATTTACATTGCCGTAATTGATTTTACGACAAGATTTTATAAGGTAGGGCCTCAGGTACATTCTAGTACAAATTCCGACTATTTCTGATGATTAACCACGGGTTGGCTATGTTTTATCACTGGTCCTTATTATCATCTTTATATACAGAGGTATACTAACAAATAACAATTCAAACATTCAAAAGTTTTACACAAAGGCATCGATTGCTTTGTAAGTAATTCGGTAGAAACCTTTTAGTCAAAAAATGAATGAAAAAATAAATTTTTTTCTTAACAAAAATTTTCAATTTTTAAACAAAGAATAAAAGAAATTCGAATGAAATGTTTTCAGATCCTTAAAAATAAGTATATGATTTTTTGGCACAAAGTGAATTAAGATGAAAGTGTCAAATTTCTATGGTTTGTGCTTCCTGCTTGGCTTTGCAGATGAACCTGGTACTTTTATCCATTGACAAATATTCAGGATAGTTTGCCTCAGAGAAAAACACGGAATTAGTGTCGATTGTTTTTTAGCCTAATGTTGATGCTCTATATTGCCATTATGTTTAAATTGTTGTCGGAAATAAAGACATTCCGCTGTATCACAGGATGTTACAAATATCCTCTACATACACAAACCTAAAGTGCACTTTGTCCTCAAAACTTATATAAATGTAATTAAAGAATGGGATGTAAGCAATAGTTTGTTTTTGATTCCTCCGCAAATGTGTCGGTTTAAATAGGTTCATCAGTTCAACAAGTTCAATATTTTTTTAATGTTTAATTCTAACACACACTCCAAAATAAATTAATATAAAAAAAAATAAAAGCTCTTCAATGTTACAATACAGATTCATTAATTTTCAGAGAGAGAGAGAGAGAGAGAGAGAGAGAGAGAGAGAGAGAGAGAGAGAGAGAGCACCTAAAACCTTATCTTGATAATTTAAAAATCAAAATTTCCTGATCTTTTTTATCCTCGCGTATTCAACATTTGCAAATCTGAGAACAAAAATAAAATTTTTGAGAGAAATATTTGACAATTTAGTTGAACTTTTCTTCTAAATTCTGCTTTATCAATATCTTATTCCTTTTTTTCAAATTTATAGGTTAACCTAAGGATGAAAGCCATTATTTCCCTTGCTGTCCTTTCAGTGACAATCCTAATTATAGAGGGAGAACATGACGTACGTATTCTTTCCATCCAAATTATTTACAGCCTTTATAATTTAATGTCTAACATTATATATAGTCTTAGCTTACATTCAAAGAATAATCCTTTTGAAATCCGTTTTGGTGAAGTTTAACAAGAACATAGTTACCAACTTTAAAACGTCTTTCATAAGTTCATATTTGAGTATTATAAATAATACTCAAAAAAGGTAATTATATATGTAGAAACTTTCTAGTTCCATTTTAGTTTAATTCTTCAAAATAATCATGTACATTATGCAAAACATGTATATTAGTGGAACTTTTACCATTGAACCAAAGAGGAATATATTAAAACATTTTAAAAGAGCGAGTTTTCTATCGAAAATGGTTTCATTGGAATATTCTTTAAAAACTTCAAGTATTTGTGTTTTTAAAGAAGAAATTATCTTCAAGACAGTACATATAAGCACAAAAATAAATTAATGAAGCTGTTAATTTTCTGATTTATTAACACGAATGCCTTCCATTCTTTTTTCTAGAAAATGTTGAAGCCCTCGAAAAGTAAGTACAATATTGTTCTGAATGCATTTTTCAATTCTTAGCATATTTTTTTATTGGTAAAAGAAAATTTAACCAGATAAATTTAGATTTCAGAAATGGTTCGTCAAAGATAAACGTGTCTCCATTTCTTAGAAAAATCAGTATGTATATCTTAATGTTTAATTTCTTTATATATTTAATATTGGAATGTTGTAAATAACAGATTAATCATAGTAAAAGAATCGAACCCATGAAAAATTAATCAAAAACAAAATAATAAAATGTAGAAAATTCTTAATTTTACACAGTTTTTTTTAACAATTTGAATGTAATAAGTCTTAATTAATATTTATCATGGGGCCTTTTGAAGAAGAGAAACATATCTTGTATATAGGACTGTCCTTTTCTTCAACAGCATATGGCATTTAAGCTGTAAAAGACTTGGAAACAATTAATTGACTATTATATTACATATTTCGAATAATCCTTTTAAAGCATTTCTAACACCCCCCCCCCAAATACATTTGTCAGATTTTGATTTTAGTCTTTAGAGTCGATGTTTTTGTTGCGAAGTCTAAATACTGTATACAGGGAAATTTTCAAATTACATGTAGAATTTTGATTTAAGGAAAGCCAAATCCTTTTCTTTTTATACATTACTTTGAATAATCAAGTTAAATGTATTGACAAATTTTTGTAAATGTAACTTATAGGGAGTTCTCCAGACTTAGGGCCAGAAATTTTTCAAGAACCTGATAGCAAGCAAAGTGATGATTCTGATGATGAAATTGGAGCTAAATTAATGGACGATTTCATATACTTTCTTACATTAAAAGGTTTGTTTTTAATGCCAGTTCAAAAGTACAAAGTACAAAAGATTATTAGATGCATGTAAAGAAATATCAGAATTAAAGAAAAACAAAACATGTTAAAGAAAGACAATTTTAAAAATAAAATTGTGTAATACTTGGAGCTTTGTATATTTCAGATTCTGGAATGCTGGATATGTGCCTATCATTTCGAAAATGACGACAACGAAAACAATGAGTACAAACAAGCCAAATTAAGACAACGTGTGAAGAGTGCTTCAATATATACTTTAATATGATCTTTAAGCTTATTTTGGTTTAAATAAAGACTTTTACTCTAAGTCTTTGGTTTGTAATATCATGTTTGAATTTTGAAGCCGGGCAAAGTTAAGTTTCACTGGTATATTTATGATCACAGAGTAATGATAAAATATTCTTAAAAGCCGATTTGTATTGTTTGAATGAGCCTTTGACTTTGAATATTGTTGATAATCTCCATATTCTACACTAACAAAGATAGACTTTCCTTTATTTTACATTAAGCAAGCAAGCAATAGCCAGTCAGCATTTTTTGTACAAAAAGATAATTATCAAACATCTTAATAATCAAAACTTTAGAGTATATTTGACGATCTCATTTCATCTTAAATCTATCCTATGTAAAATGCCTTGATCTATATTAAAATTTATATTGCATATATTCTTAAAAGAAACAGAAACTGGACAAGAAAACAATTTGGTTAAATTTCTTGTTTTATATTAAGTATCTTCCTCAGAAAAGCAAGCTTAACACAAGAAATAAAGAAAGACTATAGGACATGTTTATCAACATGCCAGTTGCCCAGTTATTACCCAACTATTGACGTCAAGACTTATAACAATCTGATTTGCTCAGATTAATTTTACTTACTTCACCCTGATTACATGAAGATTTATACATGTATTATACTTCTGTAGCTTATACTACCCATAGAAGGCTACATTCTTAATTTTTTATCAGCTTTAAACTAAAATAGATTTGTCTTTCCTATAATGAGCACTCGATAAATGTAGCAAACTGTGAAGAGGACTACATAAGTGATATCAATGCCATAATTTCTTCTACAATTTTGAATAGATTATTGGCAAATTTACAATTTAAAGGTATTGCTACCGATAATATCCCATACTCAATGTATTTAATTGTGAACATGAAGACCACAACTGTTCTCTTCCTATCAAGTATAATATTTTTAAAATAAATTTGATCTTACATAAATCTATCATGGGTCTGCAAAACAGATGGCAATTAGTTCCAACGGGTATTAACAGCTGTGAGAAGAAATCATCTTTAAATGTATCAACTTCAAGGTACAACCTAATTGTTTTTAAACAATTATTTTACAAATGACCAATGTCGCATTTACGAGTTCCAAATTTAATGAATAAGCATCTGTCTGTAACTTAAATATCCCGGACTTTAATTTATCCTTGGAAATGTTTTTATCAAGTGTTGCAAAATTCATACATAGAGAACGTTCCTTGTCCGTTATCCTAACAAATCATTTTTAATATAAAAATTCAATTGCAAACCTAAAGCAATCACTATAGATAGATCTACTGTAGTATAGTCGTACGGAAAAACAAAAGCAAAGGGTAAGAAAATCTATAACTCTATTCTATTTTGTATGCATTAAAATACTAATACGAGATTCCAGAGAATTTTGCATATTTCTTCGTCATCTTTATTTTTCTGACAAAGAATCACATACAATGTACCTTGAGCTTGATTTTGGAAGGCAGTCTGAGGGCTTCGTGACGGTATTCAAGTATACAGTGTGGTGAAGAAAAGCTCTTTGTATAGTAGTTCCTGTTAAGAGCTTAATCAAGAAACCAGGTTCGTGAGGTATTTGAAAAGAATTGTGTATTAGATATAATTTGTATGCTATAATTGCTCTAAGAACCAATGGCAATTGTGCACACATGTCCTGCTATGCTTTAATGGACCAGATTTTCTTAATATGGATTCAAAACCAAAGACAAACTGCATGCAACGTCGGAAAGCATATTTCTTTTAGTGTGTGAGGATTGCAACAATAGGAATAAATAAAAAAAATCAAAAAGATACATCCCAGACAGCTGAGATACATTTACAACATAAATTCTTTCAAATCAAAGCCGAAGGGAGTTAGGTTGAGGGCATAACAGAAAAAAAATCTTTATTGCATTAAGGACATACGCAACGTATCTTACCTACTGATAGATTTTCAAGATATTCCAAATTTAAACGTATAATATAATTACATGATCATTGACAAAAAATCAACATGCCTTACCAGAGGTTTTGAAAAGATATCGAATTTTGAAAATTTTCACATTATTCAAATAAAAATGTACAAAAATTATAAAACATAAATTCCAGATTTTTTTTCATTAAAATATTGTTTTAGAAGAGGTGTACAAATCCATATATAGACATTAAAAATATTGCACACAGGTCCTTCATTTAGTGGAACTCTTCAACTCCAGGGAAGAACCCAAAAAAGTTCAAACTACGTTGCGTATGACCTTAAACTGCAAAAAATCTTTCTCCTTCAAAACAAAACTAAACCCAATTTATTAAAAGTAACAGTGTTCTCCATGAACTCTATTGTCTCTGTGTACAGAATCAATCAACATGATGATATAAGCTCCTTACAAAGATATTAACGGTCATTTATATAAACTATTGACCAGTAAACAGATTTCCCCCACAATATTTTGATACTTATTATTAGATTGTTTTATTGCGATGAACTGATACCGTCACGACTTCCAAAACATCTTTTAACAAGATGTGTTTGTGAAACACTGATGCCCCCGTATGGCAACATAGCGAAGGTTAAGCTTTCTTAAATGCATTTCTCAAATATGTTGGTACCTAAAGTAAGGCCTTTTCACAAGAAATACAAATGTGAAATATAAAACCCTAGCACCATCTGTTCAAAGGTTATGACCAAGCTTAACGTTTTAAAAGGTAAAAGAACCCCGGGGTCAAGGTCAAAGAATCAAGGTTGTTGGTTTCTAAAGAAAGGCCTTGTCTCAAAGATTACATATGGGAAGTATGAAAGCGTTGGTCCTGCTGGCCCTTACCGTGCAAAATTATGGCCAAGGTTAAAGTTTGTAAAAAGTACGTCAAAATCCAAAGTCAAGGTCAAAGGGTCAGAGTTGTTGATATCCAATGAAAGGTCTTCTCACAAGTATTAAATGTGTGAAGTATGAAAACCCTAGCCCTTACCGTTCAAAAGTTATGGCCAAGGTTAAAGTTTTTTTGTAAGTACGTAAATCTCCAAGGTCAAGGTCAAAAGGTCAAAATTTTGGTTTCAAATGAAAGGTCTTGCCACAAGAAATTGATATTTGAAATATGAAAGTCCTAGTATCTACCGATTAATAATTAGGGCCAAAGTAAAAGTTTGGATTTTTTCTGCAAAAATGGGTCGAACTCAAAGGTCAAGGTCATAGGGTCAAGGTTCTTAATATCAAATGAAAGGTCTTGTCACAAGAATAAAAAATATGAAGTATAAAAGCCCTAGTCTTAACCCTTGAAAAATTATGATCAAGGTTGTATTTTAAAAGTAGGTCAAACTCCAAGGTCAAGGTCAAACTTCTTGGTATTAAATAAAGCGTCTTTTCACAAGGATTACATATGTGAAGTATAGAAGCCCTAAACCTTCCCGTTAAAAAGTTATGGTCAAGGTTAAAGTTTTTTTTATAAGTATTGAAATCTCTAACTGAAGGTCAAAGTCAAAAGGTCAAAGTTGTTGGTATTCAATGAAAGGTCTTTCCACAAAAGATACGAGGGCCGTTCAAAAATTACGCGGACTTGTTGCACAGAAAAAATATTTGATGACATAATCGGGCAAAAGGTCACACATAATATAAAAGAATCTTTACTTATATGGTCTTCAAAATTTCATATCAAAATGTTGTAAATTGGTATCAATTTTGAGTGATTTTTCAGGAAATATCATTAAGTCATGGAGCAGCAAAGTCTTCGACGTCACAGACATTTTAAAAAAAATATGTGATTTAGCTTTCATTTTCTCAACATTTTCCCAAGAGTACCTGTACAGTTTGAGTTACCTTATCTACTCAACATCCAAACACCATTTCTTGTCAAACTTAAAATCTATTAAACAAGTAAAGAATATTATTTTTTTGTTTTAAAGCAAAAACTGCAGATATTTATGAGATATTATGTGATATTGGTGACTCTCAATCACGTTCTTGTCAGTCCGGATAAAGTTTTCGTCGATAATCTGCATTCCCAATCTCCTATGCAGAGTTGTCGTTCGTTCCTCTCTCAGACACCTCTGCAATGGGCTCACGTCAAGATTTTTGACGTAACGTATAAAACGTGATATTTGAAGAATTGTTTCAATTTAAATTAACATATCTGGATTGATTTAGTAAATATCTATCTCAAAACTCAGACATAAGCATAGAAACTGAACTATGATGAATTAAAAAAAAAAACCGCACTATTTCTCGTATTTATCGCTGTGATATACATGAGCCAACGACAGAGGTGAATGTATGAGCCGATGGTAGAGAGTGCTGCATTCCGTCCTCCCGTATAGCCTTTTTACAGAGGTCTAACGGTATAAAATTTCAATTTGCTATTTGTGGACGAATGTCACGAATACCCTAGTTTACTACATGTTTTATTATGCATATTTTGGATCTATGTTGGCGATATCTTGAGCATTACACATAATTTAACAAAAGTGTGGTGCGCCGTCAATTCAGGAGACATCATTTTCACAGTCGTTTTCACGGGAATCGCATCAGTAAAAAATCACTATATTTCTGTTAGTACTTCAAATATCAGGCCAGAAATCTAAATACATAATAATTGAACAATATAAAGATACATTTTAGAAAATTGTCGAAAAATAATTATAGAAAATTAATAAGTTAAACTTTGCATTCCGCATGCTTTTGCTTCAAATTTTTTGTCGTGCTCCGTACCTCTCCATCAGCGATATCAACATACCAATAATTCTAGTAGAATTTTTTTTTAAATACAGAAATTTGCCCAAAATTTATTGGAATCTTTAAGATACATATTTTCTTTGAAATTTCATAACTATATGACGTCTGTAAGAGTAAATAATAGCACAGTCCGCGTAATTTTTGAACGGCCCTCGTACATATATGAAGTATAAAAGTCCTGCTTTCTACTATTCAAAAGATTTGGTCAAAGTAAAAGTTTAGAATTTTTGTGTAAACGTGGGTCAAACTCCAAGATCAAGATCAAAAGGTCAAATTTGGTGGAACCCAAAGAAATATCTTGTCACAAGGAATACATATGTGAAATATGAAAGTCATAGATCCACTTAATCAAAAGTTATGGGCAAGGTTAAAGTTTTTTTCGGACAAACAGACAAACAGACAGACAGAGAGACATACCGACAGAAAGACAGACAGACAGACGAACACGACAAAAACTATATACCCCCGAAACTTTGTTTACGGGGGCATAAAAATGGCCATACAATCATTGCGACGTGAAGTTAACGAACAGATAATGCTATGTATGCTTTATATAGAAATGACCGTCACCGAGCGATTGAATGTTGACAGGAAAATGAACGAAGAGTAATAAAATTCAAAAGTCCATCGAAATATTAAAAAAATGCTTGGTTTTATGTGTATTTTTACGTGATTTCTGTTCGTATATTCAAATTTCATAGATCTACAGAACAGAACGGTAAAAAAACAATAAGTCGAAATGTTACATAATCTTAGATTTAGGATAAATCATAATGCAGTGGGTCGTATAGATTGCGTGGAATAAAAAATTTACATGATTTACATGATTTAAAAGGGTGTGAGACAAATTCATCGGAAATTGAAAAAAGTAATATATTGGCCAGTTATCGACCTAACAATTCTCTCATTTCTTAGTTTCGAAAAAAAGAATGTTCGTACAAAAACATAAAAATTTCGAGGACATTATATTTATATCCCTATATTTAGATCGAATTTATTTTCGGCTTTATTGAAAGTTAAGAAAAAATATCATTAAACCGGAAACAATGCAAAATAAAGTAAATATTTATTTCTATTTAAGCACTCTCATTAAAATTGATTTGGAAAAAAGGTTTGGAAAGGTAAGAACTTTTGTATATGGATGGTTCGGTGATTGTAATTCCTAGGATTGTCAAAACTTATTCTCCATATTGTCTCATGTAAATCTTTAAGATTTACTGTGAAATCACAAATTTTCGGGGGTCGGGTCGTTGTTTTCGAAGTATGAAGTGGCCCACGAATTCATGTCCGCTTCGAAATGAATAATGTTGCATACATCGCTATTAAACAGTTCTTCATCCACAAAATGAAATCCCCATCAACCAAGAGTTTTTCCTCAAACCACGAAATTTTGACACCTTGAAAATATATGATTATAAATCTTTTTTTTTAGAATCTACACTAGCCTAAAAATACTTTCGTATAAGTTTCATCTCATCCTGATCAGATGTCCTTGTGAATAAACTATGTATATTTCAAGAAGAAAAATTTTTTCGTCGATTCAATTCAATTTATTCACTCAAAACCATGTAAATGGTACATGAGGCTCAAAAAACACATAAAACATATATGCATTAATACAGTGGGTCTAGCAGAAGGTAATAATTAAAGAGAACAGACAATATTATTAATTTAATTTAGAAATAAATGTACATAATTTTTACAAAGAATCAACATCATTTTGGCACATGACTTCACAAAATTTGATAATATTTGGTCAATAATATTTCGTCAACACATGTAATATGCTATTAAATACTGACAAATCACTGAAGAAGTGACTTTAATTACTGTAACGGGACAACATATCACTGCGGATATAGTACCAGTAATTTCTGTAACTGTACAATTAATTAATGGAATAGTGGAACTATTTTACTGGAATAATAGAAAAATAGTAAAAAAAAAAATCGTTCGGATATTCATAAACTATAGTATGTAAGGTAAGCTCTATGTTCATCGTACTTTTACATGACTGACCTTAGCAGATTTCGGGGATAGATAAGAAGCAGATTATGTCATTATATTTGTATACAGGAAGATGGCCCCTGCAATTCTTATGATAATTGTCTTGAGCGGAGGTAATTCTCGTATGATCATAAATTTTTAAATTATTAATCGTATTCAGAAAATATAAGCACAAGTATTTTTTTTCAAAAGAAAGGACAAGACACATCAAAATGACATTAAAATATATTTTCAACAAACGATAACAACTGATTGCATATTTAATATGAAACTGAATAATGGATTCTACTGTATTCAATATTATGACAAGTTAGTTTTCTATTCTATTTTATATCATGACAAGTTAGCTTTCTATTGTATTTGATATATAATGACAAGTTAGCTTTCTATTGTATTTCATATCATGGACAAGCAAGATTTCTATTATTGTATTTTAAATATAACAAACAAGCAACCTTCTATAATTGTATTTGATATGATTGATAAGTTGTGGGTGTCTCCTCTCAACCTCCACCTTGTCCTCACGGTTGGACCAGCCGCGAATCCTCCTGTTATGCGTTTATTAGTGACACCCCCGAAGATTGGATGACAGCGATGGTAAATTTTATATATATTAATGTATACTGTAGAGACTTTTATTTTAAAGGATTTTTGATCTTTTATACTGTTCGTCATCTCCACATGTTTCATTTGATGTGATTCTTCCTAAAACTATATCTAGAACATAGCAGTTTGTCTTTTAATTAAGTCTTGTAAAGGACGCTAACACAAATTATCACATCCTCTCGATGTTGTAATTGTTTTAAAGCCTGTTGTACTTATAATGTATTACAGTCAAGGTAAAACAAAAGTACACCTTTTATATGTCTTTAATTTCATAATTTCAGTCATATTGTAATGCTCTACATGCAACATTGGTGGAAATTGAAACAGTTGCAGAGGACGAATTTCTTCGCATGCATTTATTAGACAGCAAAGCCACAGGTAACAAATAATCTGTTTAATACTTAAATTTAAGGGTGCTCAGCGGGCCATGAATAATGCTCCTAATCCCCTTGATAAACTCCAAGGATTCATCTCCAAGATTGAAGATTGGCTTGCTTTTTCCGCAAAAATTATCCTTTGATACACGAAAACTCCGAAAAATTTTGACAATTTGAATCAATTTTTTTTTCTGTTCACTTTACTTTTATTTTACCTACCCCTCCTAAAGAAAATTAAATGCAGTCTACACGAACTTGTAGTGAATTTAGCGAGAACAAGAACATTTTAATAGCATGTCGATTGTATATGTGGCGATTTTGTCGTTAGCTCGGTTAGACCTCTGTTTCAGGTGGATACTGGATTGGACTCTCTGACATTCTGGTGGAAGGAGACTGGGTTTGGACGTCTACTCAGACGAACCCAACGTATAGCAATTGGAATCCTGGACAGCCGGACAATGTGCATCATCATCAGGACTGCGGACAGCTGTATGGGCCCTATAGGTTTCATTGGGACGACGGTTTATGCAATACTGCCAACAACTTTATATGCGAGAAAGCGTAAGGCATTAAAAATAACTTGTAGTACGAGTTTACTGATTTGAGGAGGCCTCTTTCTTAGTGAAACAGGCATAAGCGTCGGAACCGAGGGGGGGGGGGGGGGGGGGTTAGAGGGCTTAGCCCCCCACCCACATTTTTGCAAAGATAGACATTACATAGTCATTGATTTTTTTCAATTTGCTTCCGTCTCAAATGATAGGTGGCTAGAAGGAATAGTACTGCAGCCATTCAAGTCCATTCAAACAATAAGAAGCAGAGGAAGGGGTTGGATTAGGAGCCTTTGAAATAAAATGATTCTGAAAACTAAAACAAAGTATTTGACTGTGTTTAGTTTATTATTGATATGAACATAAAGCATTAAAAAATAATTATTATAATATGAGTTTACATCTTTACTACAAATATCGTAATTACTACCTTTTTCTTCCAGAATAAACGAAGATATTGATGTCATCGGTTGAAATTCTCTAATATACATAAAGAAGCATTCAGTATTTATACTTTGATAGTTCACTTAACTATTTTGAGTGTCAGATCTGAGAAAAATATATTTTGTACAATTTTTTTTTTAGAATTATGGATTCCTCATATGCTTTAACGAATAAAGTTACAAAAGATTGATATATTGTTTTCTTTTTTCTTAGAATTGATGCATTTAAGAACCATTTATTGGAACTTCACATACATGAACTGTTTTCATGCTAATACATGCTCTGCATTGGAGATGTTAGTCCATGCAGATGGTTGTGTAGAAGACAATGATTCTGATCCAGTCTTTGATACCAAAGTTATTACCTCTAACTTTACCTCGAAAGGCAAAAATCGGTAATTAGGGAAACAATGAAGGATATGGAGATAACGAGCAGTATTCAATATCAAAGGTCATAAAACAATTCAAACACGAACCTCAAAAATGCCAGGGTTGGGATCAGGTGTCATAGAGGAGTGAGCATCCCCTGCCGAGCGGTCACACCCGCCGTGTGCTCCTTGTCATGATCGGGAAATAACGGAAAATTCCGTTGTCGATTCAGTGTATAAACAATGGACTAACAATCAGTATGAAAAACGTCAGTCAGCATATGGGTCGTTCTGTGCGCACTTGTAGGTATCTCTTTCTATAGGTGTCATAACAGTATTACACTTTGGTTCACGTCAAATCTTGGCTGACGCAAAATAATTCCGGAATCTTCCCTTCCGATGCGGGCATTTTTATACGAGACTGGAGCTGAATTTTTTATGAGATGAAAAACAATATGTAAACTTCCTGTATTGACCAGCCTTATTAAAATTTAGGGCGTGCTGATTTTTTGTATACTGTCACACCGTGTATATCCCAACATGCGGGGTGTATACTATGTTGTGCGCGGGGTGTATGCTTCCGAAGCGAGAAAAAAGGGATTAATGTACGTTCTTTGTCCATTTTCTCAACTTACGGATATTTTTCGCCAGAAAGCATATGCCTACGGAAGAAAGCATTATCTAAGGAGTACATGGATACCTATGAAACCACTGGAAACCTTCTAGTTTTATCAAACACCTCAACACAATTCCGAGGATCGGAGGCAGATTGACGCTAGACTGTGTTTATGACCAAATATCAGAAGAAAGCTTTGCTTTATCATCACTTTTATTTTATTGTTAAATTACATGTTTACAATATAAACGTTTGTACAAATTGTCTGTAAATAAAACAGTTCGTATATAAAGATATTGACGAAAAATCAATGTTGTGTCCGGGGTGTAGGCAACATGTTGTACGCGGGGTGTATACCCCTCTTTTTACTCTATAGTATCATTGTCTGAAATATCATTAAAAATTTTAACAATTGACTTTTGTGAATGTTCTATTTATATTTTAAATTATTCACCAGCCTTGTAATAGCACAACTTCAGGTACATGAATTCGATTCACTGAAAAAATTGATACACGTTCATCGTACTTTTGGCTTTGCAGCACAGGGTGCTTTGTTTAACTATTAAATGTGATGACCAACAATTCATCTCCTTTCGATTTAAAGGCACCTTATTCAGACCCTTCCTTAATAAATGCTTCACACATGCATCATTTTGAACATTTAACATTTTCTCATAATTTCTGTTTAACTTTTTTCAAAATTTTTTCAATGACATTGAAAATGTTGAGCCTTTTGTCAAAAACACCGAAAAAATGTTCTCCTTCAAGTATTTATATGCTGTGTACTTTTCCCCCAGGAGCCCATAACTGGCAATAAACTATTCTAGGAATGGGCCTGGGGAGGGTGTTTTTGTATCTTAGGTCATTTTTTTAAAGGGGAGGGGGGTTACTTTACTACGTGTATATACGAAAATAAATTAGAGGGGGGGGGGTGAACATTAATTGATATTATATACACGTCAGCATAAATGTGTAATTTTACCCAAAGCATTTTTTTTTCAATTTTGCATGCCCTCAGAAAATTGTCGTCCCTTATTACATTCTGTACAAATGTACATTTTTATAGGCGGCTTTACATGTTTATTGTGATTGTAAAATATGAAATCTTTTCAGATAAGGAAAAATGAGTCCACACATTGCAAAAGTTGAAAGGGTAATTAATACTGCATACAGACACGCGTAGTATCACACCCTTTTTTGTTCCAGACACAACTTTACACCACAGAAAATATTCATCAAAAGTCAGGTTGCCCCCCCTTTTTTTTTGTTGCAGGATAGTCAAATAATGGTTATGTAGTATGTTGTAAAAAAGGAGAATTGGAATCGAAAACGATGGAATCTACAACCCAATCTGAAATACGAGTTTTGAGTTTCGAGTTTAGAGTTCCCCTTTTTATAGCTAGTCAACTTATGTCAGGCTAGGGTTTTTTTTTCAGGTATTCCCCCTTCAAAAAAGATTTTACATCACTGTCATAAATGCTTAAGAATAAATGTATTGATAACATAAATGTTGCAGACGCACACAAAAAAGATTTATTCATAATACACCATTCATGTACTGTCTCTATTATTTTTAACAGGCGAAATATTAAGATTAAAACGAGCTGAAGAAAGGGCAAAGTGTCCTCAATGCAGGGATTGGGGGGGGGGGCCTCCTTTGGAGAGATTTTATGATAACGTAGATTTATACCATTGCGCCATCTACAATGTAGCATTAATTCAGATAAAAATCACTCTTTGCACACCTAGCGCCCATTATGTTTGAATATGATACTTTCTTTTTAAATTCTTTTTTTATTCTTTTGATTTTTTAAAATTTAGTTTGTTTTATAAATACTTCAGCAAGGTTGTGGAAATTACTTTTTGGTTCGGCATTAGTAGGCTTTTTATCAACACTATACGTCGCTTATAAATCTGTGTATGTAATATTTGCATTGATACTTCGCACTAACAATCTTGAGAAAAATATGAGGTATACACCCCGCGTACAACATGTTGCCTACACCCCGGACACAACATTGATTTTTCGTCAATATCTTTATATACGAACTGTTTTATTTACAGACAATTTGTACAAACGTTTATATTGTAAACATGTATTTAACAATAAAATAAAAGTGATGATAAAGCAAAGCTTTCTTCTGATATTTGATCATAAACACAGTCTAGCGTCAATCTGCCTCCGATCCTCGGAATTGTGTTGAGGTGTTTGATAAAACTAGAAGGTTTCCAGTGGTTTCATAGGTATCCATGTACTCCTTAGATAATGCTTTCTTCCGTAGGCATATGCTTTCTGGCGAAAAATATCCGTAAGTTGAGAAAATGGACAAAGAACGTACATTAATCCCTTTTTTCTCGCTTCGGAAGCATACACCCCGCGCACAACATAGTATACACCCCGCATGTTGGGATATACACGGTGTGTCAAGAGTGGGGAGTGATTAGGCCCTGCACTAGATTTTCAAGCACCTGTTCGACTTCGACCGAAACAAACTTGCGTGCCTTGCTGGATGGCTATGTATTTCTTGGTACCAAAATCTTTATAAAGAATGGTTTTACAAGATCTGAAAAGGAAACTTCTCAGAAGTTTGTTTTGAATTAGTTACGTCTACTCAAACTTGCGCAATTTTGGTAAGAAAATATAGCAGAAATTAATACTGTTGTGACACCTGTAAAGTCTCTTCGTCTGGTTCAGATTTTAGTGCCTGCTGTCTGTTAACAGATATTTTCTGTAAAAGTCATTTTCTCGATAGTATTCCATGAATACCCGGATTCTCCACCAACTGCGACGATGAGTGGCTACTTGTATCTACTGACAAGGTCACTGTATCAACCATAGAACTTTCGAAATGACAACTTTAAACGAGACTGATGATATTCTTGTTTCATCAACTTGCTTGCCAATAATTTACCTCGTTTTAGAAATTGTTCATACGTAGAGAATGCTCTTGCGTATCGAATCAACTGAGATATATATACTCCGTATGCAGGCGATGAAGGTATATTGCTGCATAAGTAAAGGAAGTTGACGATAGAAAAGTAAAAGTCATCTTGTTTATCATAAAGCTTGGTTGTTAGATTACCATTAACGTCTTTTTCAAGTAAAGTGTTCAAGTATAAAACAGAAGTGTCAGATTCTGTGGTATACTTTGTCTCTGTAGCTGGAACTCCATTCAAGTTTTGGTTAGCAAAAGCAAAGAATTATGTCCACCATTTTAAATGTACAGTCAAACTTGTCTTAGCGGCCACCCGAAATCAACGGCCACTCGCGATCAATGGCCACTTTCAGTTCCCCCGACGATTTTTACTATATATTTTTACTGGAATAAACGGCCACCTGTGTAACACGGCCAGCGGCCACTCAAATCGTCACCCACAGCCTTATTGACACTGTAATAGGCGGCCATTTCGTCACTTGTTGCGATTCTATCATGTCTTTTAAACACATTAGCTTGGGTAATTATATGCTCGATAGTCAATTTAACCTATTAAAGCAATTAAACAAATTACTGAACTCTGTGTTAAAGAAAAAAAACATTCTCCAGATAGACCAATTAGAAATTATTTTTCATGATCGACGATTGAAAAATTAAAAGAATTTATTCACAATTAATAGTTTTCCCATAGCTAAAGAAATCCAATCTTAAAGGTAGATATTAATTTATCATTACCTTGAATGTTTACCGTATTGCTACTCTTGTAAAAACAAAGTGCTTTACATGGCATAATTATCTCGTGAATTTCACGATCAATAGGCGATCGATAGGGATTAGTTACGCTCTACTGCACCTGACACCTGTGTTGTAGAATGATTTTCAACTGCATAAAAACACCTCTCTGGTCAACTAGTTAATTTTATTTGTGTCTGAGTATGTTACATAGAAATTCTGCTTCCTAAAAAATCGAATTTACCAGACTTTAAAAACTTCAGCAAGTAAGTTAATTGCTGATTAATTAAGTAGGGGAAAGGGGGGGGGGGTTACACTGCTGATCATTACTTGAACATATGAAAGTGAAATGGATTATAAGGTTTCGTCAAAGGTCAACATGTCGAAAAACTCCAACACTATTAGGTATAAAGTTAAAACTTTTACAGTTTATAAATTTCTCATTGATTAACAGTTAGAAAGTATCACTTGATAATAAAAATACTTGGAAAAAAATATTTAAATTGAGAAAAAATCTTTTTAAAAATGCATATTTTTTTTTCAGAAAATGCACCTAATTTATTTCGTGCTTTTAGTGAAAACCATCACTGCAGAAAGAAAATATGTTTATCAATGAAGTTCAAGTTGGACTTGGATAGCCTCTGAAAAGTTGTTTTCCCTGTTTATTTTGTCCAAATGTTCAGACTTGAAAGCGAAAGTACATTGCAAATGGCGGGTTTTACAGGGGTCTTGTCTTTATACATGTCATGCTTTCAATAACAGCCTTTCAGAGGCCATTCACGTCCAATTTGCCCTTCAGTGATAAACAAATACCGGTATTATTTCTGCAACGGTGGTTTTCACAAAAAGGACAGAATTAAGCAGGTGCATTTCTCTTAAATATGCACATTTACTGATACAATTTTTTCTCAAAAAAATATCTTTTTTAAAAATATTCCTTATCAAGTGATACTTCCTATCTATTAATCAATGATATATTTATAAACTGTAAACATTTTGACTTTATACCACACATAGTTTTGGAGCTGTTGTAAAAATAATTTTTTAGACCTGTTGACCTTTGACGAAACCTTAATGACATTTTCTTACTACCGGTACTAAAAATAAATTTCTAGCCTCGTTTACCATTAACCTGTGTTTTAATAAATGTTTGTGTAATTTTTTTTATATAAAAAAATAATAATAGTAAGGCACATGTATTTCTTCAAATGATTATTAAAAGAGTTTGTTTAATATTTCAAAGTAACCAAATTTAAGCACACTGATGAATACATATGTAGGAACAGAAACATGCACAAAACCTTAAAAATTTCAAATTGTTAATTTTTTTAATAAGCATGAATTATTTTATATATACATAAAAACTGTTGTGAAATCGACCTGTTTAATTATGTTCCCCAAACGAAGTTGGGGAACATATTGTTTTTACTCTGTTTCTTATTATGTTCCCCAAACGAAGTTGGGGAACATATTGTTTTTACTCTGTTTCTTATTATTATTATTATGTTCCCCAAACGGAGTTTGGGAACATATTGTTTTTACTCGGTTTCTTATTATTATTATTATTATTATGTTCCCCAAACGAAGTTGGGGAACATATTGTTTTTACTCTGTTTCTTATTATTATTATTTTTCTTCTCGGGAAAATTTTGTCCGCGAATGATCTTGTAAAGTACACATCCGATTAAGGGGAAACCTTTTTAGGGTAAGTGGGCATGTTATGTAGATGTAACGAAGGTCATTTTGCGCGCACGTGCTTGCAAGAGCGCGCACACACGTGGAATGACCAATATACTTGAAATTGCCGTAACTTTTACATTTTTCGATGTAATGCTTTGATATTTAGAATATATAGACATATTATAAATGTAGATAAGATGACATTGTCAACATGCCATTTTGTGTGCACGTGCTTGCAAGAGCGCGCACGAGCAACACGTGAAATGACCGATTTAATTGATATCGGCGTAAATTTTTACCTTCTTGATGAAATGCTTTGAAACTCGTAATATAAGGATATAGTTGTAGCATAGACAATATGACATGGTCAAAATAGCAAGATCTCACGCGCATGCACGTGCACTTCGCTCTGATTGGCTGAAACTAAAATCTCAATATCTTTCTTGTTTTTTGATGAAATCCTTTGAAATTTTGAACATAGCCATGCATTAGGATATCCTACAACATGATATATAACAATTTTCATGAAAACACGTGCATGCACGTGCGCTGCAATCTGATTGGCTGAAACTTTAAATAGCTATAACTCCCTTGGTTTTCAACCAAACAGGATGGGATTTGGAACATATTAGATATAATAGACTTCTACAACAAGGTTTGATCACAATGCACATCCGTACACGTGCATGAACGTACGCTGCAATCTGATTGGCTGAAACTTTAATCAGCTATAACTCCCTTGGTTTTCAACCAAACGGAGTGGTATTTAGAACATAGATAGATGTAATGGACTTCTACAAGAAGGTATGTCACCATGCTCATGTATGCACGTGCGTGCACGTGAAATGAGTAAAATCAAAAATACAATTGAATGAGCGTATTTTTTAATACCTTTGGATTAAATACTTTAATATTTAGTATATTAAAGTATATAGATTGTGTAGACAAGATGATATGGTCATTACGCACATGCATTCACATGCGCACGCGTGCAATGCTAAAATTTGAATGAACTTTGTACCCTTCTCGGTAAACGTTGTTAAAGTCTCAAATGCATAAAGTTTGTCTTATTTAATGAAGCTTACAGGGAATATGGCACCAAAAGGGAAATGGGGAGCGTTTGGGGAACATCTGTAACGGTCCCCGTTACAATTAGCACTAGTTATTATTATTCTTATTATTTTTCTTCCTGGGAAAATTTTGTCCGCGAGTGATCTTGTAAACTACACATCAGACTAAGGTGAAATGTTTATAGGGTCAGTAGACATGTAATGTAGATTTGCGGAACGAAGGTCATTTTGCGCGCACGTGCTTGCAAGAGCGCGCACGTGCAACACCAGAAATTACCGATTTAATTGATATAGGCGTAACTTTTTAAATTTTTAAAGAAATGCTTTGAAACTCATAATGTAGGGATATATTAGTAATATAGACAAGATGACATGGTCAAAATAGCAAGATCTCACGCGCATGCACGTGCGCTTTGCTCTGATTGGCTGAAACTAAAGTCTCAATATCTTTCTTGTTTTTTGACGAAATCGTTTAAAATTTTGAACATAGCCATGCATTAGTATGTCCTACAAAATGATATATAGCAATTATCATGAAAACACGTGCATGCACGTTCGCTGCAATCTGATTGGCTGAAAATTTAAATAGCTATAACTCCCTTGGTTTTCAACCAAACAGGATGGGGTTTGGAACATAGATATATATGATAAACTTCTACAAGAAGGTATGGTCGCCATGCACATGCATACACGTGCGTGTACGTGAGCTGCGATCTGATTGGCTGAAAATTTAAACAGCTATAACTCCTTTGGTTTTCAACCAAACAGGATGGGATTTGGAACATAGATATATATAATGGACTTCTAAAAGAAGGTATGTTCACCATGCACATTCATACATGTGCGAGTACGTGCGCTGCAATCTAATTGGCTGAAACTTGAAACAGCTATAACTCCCTTGGTTTTCAACCAATCGGGATGGGATTTAGAAGATAGATAGATTTAATGAACTTCTTCAAGAAGGTATGGTCACCATGCTCATGTATGCACGTGCGTGCACGTGAAATGGGTAAAATCAAAAATACACTTGAATGAGCGGTTTTTTTAATACTTTTGGATTAAATACTTTAATATTTAGCATATTAAAATATAGATTGTGTAGACAATATGATATGTTCTTTACGCACATGCATTCACATGCGCAAGTGTGCAATGATAAAATTTGAATGAATATGGTACACATCTGGGTAAACGTTGTTAAAGTCTAAAATGCATAGAGTTTGTCTTATTTAATTACGCTTACAGGGAATATGACTATAAAAAGGGAGTTGGGGAGCGTTTGGGGAACATCTGTAACGGTCTCCGTTACAATTAGCACTAGTTATCTTATTAATTCTTTTAGTTGTAGTGGTTAATGTTTTTATTTATTGACCAACTGGCTATTTCGAGGGCAAACTGGAATAAGAGGCCACCTGTCTTAAGTGCCAGTTTCCAGACTTCCCAAAGGTGACCTCTTAAAACAAGTTTGACTGTACTTCAATTTTAAGTACATTTAATGTTACATATTTGCTGTATAAGTACGTTATTCTGTACGTAAACAAATCAAGAGGTCACATCACAGAAAGATAACAAACGGCTATATAATTGGAAAATGTCCTCAGACAATGAACACCACTTTCTGTATATACTTCTTTTGAGTGCAGGTAACATTTTCTTTTTTAACATTGATCAAGTACGGAATTAGAAAATGATGAAATTGATGAAATTAAAAAGAATTACTTCAGCAACAGTTGATCATTATGTAAATCTAAATTCCTATTTCAATGGAAACATTCTCCCTAGATCATCATTCTGCTAGTCTGTAATATTTTTTATTTATTGTTGATAAGTTACCGTGGTAGCTTCCCAGCCTTCCTCCTGTCCCCATGGTTGGATACTTCGTGGATCTTCATGCTACCTGTTTATCACCAGTACCCCGGAGGACTGGATGACGGCAACGGTGAGAATTTCTCAATAACTTTCAGTACATAGAGGACATATTTAAAGGATAAAATGTGGAAATAATGAAACATATGGAAATAACGAACAGTATTCAGGATCAAAAGTCCATAAATAATAAAAATAGGAGCAGAAAACACGGACCTCCAGAACAGCAGAGGTGGGATCAGGTGCCATGGAATAGTGAGCATCCCTTCCGACCGGTCACACCCACCGTCTGCTCCTTGTCATAATCGGGAAATATCGGAAAAATCCGTCGTCAATTCAGTGTATATAATATATAATAATGGACTAACAATTAGAATGAAAAACGCCAGTCAGCATTTGACACAATGATAATTGTATTTGTTGACAAATAACAAAAAGTGTTAACCCAATCTGTCTATTTAAATTATTTAATCTATAAGCGTGTATTGGAAGCAATTAAAAATTTGCATACTTGAAAACAGGGGTTAGATCAGGTAAGATAGAGGCATTAAATTCCCCTGTAGACTTTTCACAACCGCTACATATGTGCCCTTTCTCTGATAAACAATAACTTTTGTTTGTGTCCCCTATCTCATTCAATATGTAAATGCTTGCTACATTGTATGCGAATGAATATTTTCTTAATTGAGGCAAGTTATTGATCATGACAAACAAGTTGATGGAAAAAGATAACAATATTTTCTTTAAAAGTTGTATCATTTCAACGGAATTTTGAGTTTGAATACTGTCCGCTAACTCTTTATTTTACTTATATATTATTTTTCATAATTTCAGTCTTATTGCGATATTCTTCATGCAAAGTTGGTGGAAATTGAAACTGTGGCCGAGGATGAATTTCTTCGCTTACATCTTCTAGATAAAAAATTAACAGGTTTGATTGATTGATTGATTTGTGTACCATTCGAGAATTCACTAATAAAGAGGTGTCACCACATACAGATAAACGGCTTAAAATTTAGATTTTTACTCGGTACTCTGGAACAATTAATCTTGCCGCTGCCTGTCGTGACACGGGACCTCGGTATTTTAGACCTCATCCGAAGGTCCTGCAACGTTCATTTCAAAGTGCCGAGCCATGCCACTTTGAAATGAAAGTTGCAGGTCCTTCGGAATAAAAATTCGTTCCAGTGACAATAGAGAGGTTTAGTTACAACGTGTACGCGAAACTTTGACATACGCGGTATATTTGACGTCAACGTATGCAATTTTTTTGATTGGAAAGTACAGTTAATTAAATAAACGGTATTGCATTTATCATTTTTATTTAGACAAATCAAAGATGAATTGGAATTTATACTTATTCTAGTCATAGATATAAGAAATAATGAAAAATTATTATATTTATTGTCATCTTAATGCAGTGAAGCGCTTTAAATATTTTTTTCCCTATTATTTCTACATGACAAGCTTTTAATTCTGAATAACATTAAAATGGAAGCAGTCATAAAGATACCGAACTGACGACAAAGATAAAAAACGATCACATTTTGCACTTTGTAGAGGATGGGGGTTCCAATAGAAAACCTTTAGAAAACGATAAAATGTAAGGGCTCAATCATTGTAACATCTAGAAAGGAGGCATGAAATAATATTTCATACAGCAATACATTGTTAAAACCAAAGTACAAGTCAGACATCGGCCACCTCCCCCCCCCCCCTTTTTTTTTAAATACGCGTTTACTCTAAATCTTTACAAGTGCTAGTACAAAAGGAAAAAAAAATAAATAATGCAATACAATTTCTATAAGCATTTGACGTTACACAAACTACCTATTTACCAGTATTGTCCAAGGGGTTATTTTTTGTTATATCACTAGTGTCTGTTGGTGTTATTTTACAGAAAATATTTTATTTGAAAAAAAAATTAAAGCACATAGAGGTGTTAAAATAGGTTATAATAAAAAATAATTTTCAGGGAAAAAATATTTATTTGAAAAAAAAAATTATTTGGTGCATTTGCGGGATTTTCTTCGATGAATCCTGCGTACTTAATAAACATGATTGGTATCAGTTTAACTTTTCATCGATAAACCTATAAATCATGCAAATACTTTGATGAAATCATCGAATCATCATGCATTTAAAAAATTAATATAGTGTTCTTGTTTTATTTCATAAAAATCAATCAACTGTATTATTTAAAAAAATAAAGAATTTTTTTTCGATAATTTTACTCGTTTTATGTGGCAAGTGTAGACAGTGAATTACACGTTCTAAACTTGTAGATAAACGTCGGATTTGATGTCATGATGTCGAAGAATACAACAATTGATGATGTCACACGTACAAGTTCGTGTAACTAAACTTCTCTAATGATGAAATGTGCTTGTACTTTTGGCAGACTAGTTTTTGCAACAATCAATTGAAACTCCCTACATCCTATTGTCCTATTATGCCCGGTCAAAAGCAGATCTGTTTGTCATCTCCCTCGGGAGATGACACATTAAGATTGTATGCCGGAAGTGAAGTCCTAGTGTAAGCCTCCATTAATTCTTCGGGAATCCTCGATGTTTTACAATATCTCAAGTGAGAATCTACACAAGGAGTTCCAAGTAGCCTGTAAACTGGTTTTCTTTTAGAAGAACTAGCTTAGAAGTGTGATATCTACTTTCGGTTTAGGCCTATTTGAAAAGGAAAATTTAGAAAAGCAGTACGATGCTTATTGTCATCTCTCACGAGAGATGACACATTAAGTTTGATTTCCTGATGTGAAGTCCCAATGTAAGCAGCTATTTTTCAGTCTGCAATCCTCGGCTGACTCCACTACGCTACATTCAAAAAGTGCGAGGCCACCCGAAAATCACCGACTGCTCAGTTTGACGCGATGATGCGATTTTCTAAATATAGAGATGTAAACAACGAGCGATCTGCCCTATTATTGATAAAGAAAACAAGCTGCAAAGAAATCATACAGAGACCAACACACACAATCGCCTGAATAATGGGGTTTTTCAAAATATACACTGTATGTTCTTATATGTAAAGTCTTCTTGGCTATTACCTAAATGATGACCAGAACTCGATAGAATCTTCTTACTAGGTCAGCGCGTGTGTAAAGATCCTCTGCAGCCGAGGCGTGGATCCAAGAATTCACAGAAAAACAGCATCAAATAAAAACATTCACATAAGTAATCGCATTACTGACTAATAGGAATTGATGGTGAAAACTTCACTTTTTTTGGTACACTAGTCATTCTATAACGCGGTGTCATTTTTTAAAAAAGTAATACAAGTCTGATTATAGAATCAAATGCATTGAGAAATTAAAAGCACAACTTATAAGCGGATACATTAATGTCTATAAAAAAAACTACAGACATTGAATGAAAGATCACAAAGAATGATTATGAGTATTTTCTTGCATGTATTATCTATTCTTTTTAAGGATTTATCATGATTAAAGAACTTGCAATCATTTTCTTTCTGCAGTTTTAATTGCATAAATGTCAAAAATATCTTTAATTCACTCCTCCTATATTATTGAAATGAAGACCAAATTATAATACATAATAAGTTATATGTTTAGTATGCAGATAAAGTTTACTAAAACACAAAAAAATATACGCACTGCACGGCCACTAATGGCACAACACTGTATATTCCGAAGACAGCCGTAATTCAGGGTTGGCAAATGAGAACTTTTCTCTGATAATTTGTAAATGCTTGATTTTAGCTGATAGCATTTAAATGTTATTACTTACTTATGCTTAAAAGCATATGAACGTTGGGTAGGGGCCCAAAGCCACACAAAAAATGATTTAATTAAATATTATGTATATTTTGGACAAAAAAACTGTGAGTCTGGGCACCCTCTAAATCCACCAGTGCTGTTAAAAGTCGATTTTGAATAGTTAACTTTTTGATGTAAGTTTAGTTCATCTCCCCCTTTAAAACCAAAGGGGTTTGACGACCATATCACTTTAAGGAATGGAATTTAGTTAACGTGAAATCTTTGGAAAGGTTTGGAGTTGATTAAGTTAGCGCTTCTGTCCGCTGTCAGAGTACATAGAGTAAGAAGCTGCGAAATACATGCAATATGTAACGTCAAAAGGAAGGCTAAGATTTTACCCGAGTAATTCTTGTGATTTTTTTATACAAATTTTACAAATACTGCGTTACTGGGCAAAATTGCACAAAAACTCTTCCATTTGACAAATTTATAAAGGGATAATGGGCACTTTTGTCATAAAGAGTTATCTCTATCATGGATTTAGCTTACTTTGTGAAAGTGCTAGGATATATGTCAATGAAACTTGTCTCAGAGTTTGTAGTTTTGATAATTTACAGATAAAAGAGACTTTGAAACATTATTTTAGTATATTTCATGCAGTGTAAAATGCTATAGCAACATATAAATCGTGATATTATTTAAACAATTTTAGAAAATCAGATCTACAAATCTGTGTACCAGCTCTTTTAACTTTTTATTGCTGTAATTGTTCAATGCCAGCCCCTCCCTTATCCACACTTTTTGTTCGAGTATAGTCATATACTTAACAAAATGAATTTGTTTTTCGAGAAAAAAAAATCAAAATATTCCCTTCTCATCCACAGCATAAGATTTTGATCACTGTCCTTTTTCCTAATCTAAAATTGTTTTTGCCACTCCCCTTCCCCAGAAGAATAGAAAAATCTGTAATAGTTGAGAAAAAATTACACTTTACTGTTTATTCTGTGACATTAATGAAGCCAAAGAGATGACATTTCAGGCTTTCTGGAAAGCCAAACTTGTTCTGTATTCTTTTCATGGCTGGATAGTTTACTTGATATAGTTGTTAATGGTAATCTAACAGTCAAGCCCTATGCTAAATGTGATGACTTGATCTTTTCAAGGAGAGAATGTATATAGGCCTTGCCTGTTACCCAATCCTTATTGTATTATTCAATAAAATATGTTTAAAGTAACTTTTCAATCGTCAACTCCCCTTAATTATGCAGCAATATACCATCAACATCTGCATACGGAGTTTTTAGATCTCAATTGATTCGATACGCAAGAGCATGCTCTACGTATGAACAATTTCTAAAACGAAGTAAATTAGTGACATACACGTTGATGAAACAAGAATATCAGCAGTCATGTTTAAGTCGTCATTGTTGTAAATATTCTATGATCGATACAATGACCTTGTCAGCAAATACACATTATCAATTTGTCAAATGCTGACTGCCGTTTTTTTAATTGTTAGTCCATTATTTACACACTAAATTGACGACGGCTTTACTGTTATTTCCTGATCATGAAAAAGAGCACACGGCAGGTGTGACCGGTCGGCAGGGGATGCTCACTCCTCCCTGGCACCTGATCCCACCTCTAATGTTTTGGAGGTCCGTGTTTGCTCTGTTCCTGTTTTGTATTGATTATTGACTTTTGATCTTGAATACTTTTCGTTATCTCCATAAGTTTCATTCATTCACCCGTTTAAAGTTTGATACATTTGTCTTTCCGATTTTTTTCTCAAATAAGGATGATGAAGAATAAGAGAGAGACAATGTAGTATGGTTCCCGTAGACAAGACTTGGAACAATATCATTATTATTGAAAGGTTCATTATTATTATTTATTACTGTTCTTTATAAGTATAAGAACCTCACTTTAATAATACTTCTGTAAGTCCTACATATACCGGTACTCGAGATTTCATCCATTTAAATGAAATTCTTTCAATTCACACTTAAATGTATTATTCCTTTTACATTCAAGTCAACCAAGTGAAATTGATCTTCATTACCATCACTGTTTTTTTTTTAAATTTGATTAAAAATCTTCCCAAAGAGAGACACTATAGAATCTCACTGTCAAACGAGATGATCTTAGCATTTTATTAATCAACTTCCCTTGATTATACATGCAAGTACATGCATTTAATCACTGGCATGTCACTGACTGTTGCTAGTAATGGGCACATATCAGAAACAACTTTGAAAGTCAATAATTCTTCAGTTTAAAAAAAAACACGTTTTCTCTTGTCTCCCTGATGAAACATCATACAGCTTTTGATTAAACTGGGGCCCGCGTTTCCTCTGCTGCCATAATGTGCAGGTATTTTTTTATTTGAAGTTTTTGAACAAGAATACAAGAGTGTTCATTATCTTCCTAATTCTTTCCAGGAGGTTTTTGGATCGGCCTATCTGACATCGCGGTAGAGGGAGAATGGATATGGACGTCTACACAGGAATCCCCGACTTATAGCGACTGGTTTCCCGGTCAGCCCGACAATATAAAACATCTCCAGGATTGTGGACAGCTACTGGGAGGAACTTACGGATTTCACTGGGATGATGAAATATGCACGAGAACTAAAAATTTTATTTGCGAGAAGGAGTAAGCTTTTAAAATCCACACAAATATAAGACTTACAACTTATATCAATTAGTGATTGATTTTCATACATGTAAGATGATTTACAAATTAAAGGTTTTGATTAATTTTTTTCAGATTGAACGGTGATGTCAGTATTATTGGTTGATTGCAATTATTCTTAGACCATACAAGTGTATGTTTTCCTGAATGCGTATTAAAATTACTTCTGATTTTAGGTGTACACACGTTTTTCTTGTTTCTAAATGTAAACAATTCCTCAATGGCACTATAGAACATTTGGATATTACTTTGTTTGTCAGCCCGTTCCTCCAAATTAACATTGTTTTACTTGCTGCATCGCTAATTCTTTTGGACAAAAACTCTTGTGAATTGATAATTATTTTTGAAAAATATTTATCCCTTGATACTATTGATTAAAAGTAAGGGCATGTTTAAGGTTAAAAGATAAAGTAAACTATAAAGTATGTATTTGCACCAAAGCTGTCATGATTTTATCAATAAATGATTTCATATACCAAAGTTATAAAAGCGAATCCTGAGCGTTTAATGTGCAATGTTTTATAAATGTAGAGAAATCAAATAAGTTTGAAAGTGGTGGAAATTATATAATCCAGTAAATATGGGCAGACTTAACCTTATTTTTTCATCATGCATATTTTTCTTGCTCTTGATATAAAGTATTCAATATATAATTAAGAATTTTGAAGATTTATGAATAATTTTTATACTAGTCGAAAACACATTGCTGGATAACGATAAAAGTGAAATGAACCACTTTCACAGGAGTGATGACATGTATGAAGCCGGTCATTTTGCACCATAAAAGTTTTTTAAGAGTTATCTGCCTTTGATGAAAAGAAAAAAAAATAATTTTTCAAAATTTCTGTGGTAAATAATTCATTTTATTTCATGGCATAAGATCCAAAGTCATCATTTCGTAAGTTCTATTGTCGATACACTGACCTTGTCAGCAAATATAATTTATCATTTAGTCAAATGCTGACTGACGTTTTTCATACTAATTGTTAGTGCATTATTTATACACTGAATTGACGACAGATTTTTCCTTTATTTCCCGAACATGACAAGGAGCACACGGCAGTTCTGACCGGTCGGCAGGGGATGTTCACTACTGTATAGCCAGTGATCCCACCTCAGATGTTAGGCTTTACAATTTTTCGTTATATCCATTTTTTTGATAATAGTGATTCTATGTATATTTTCATTAAGAGATTTATTTGAAATTCATATAACATTTTGCAATTTTGTTATCTGAAAATAACTTGCGCTGTCCATAAACTTCAGGGTAAATCTTATTTAATTTTACAATAGTCAATTTTTACAAAAAGTCCTTTGGTGGATCATTTTTGGTTGCTTACATCTTTAAAATACTACAATAAAATATATAGAAATAGCAAGCAGAGTTCGAGCTGAAAAGTCCATTAAACATTACAAAATAGCAGCGGAGCAAACACGGACCTTCAAGACATAAGAGGTGGGATCAGGTTCCATAGAGGAGCGAGTATCCCCTGCCGAACTGTCGCATCAGCCGTGTGCTCTTTGCCATGATTGGAAAATAACGGGAAAAAATCAGTGTGTAAATAATGGCCCACTAATCAGTACGAAAACCGTCGGTCAGCATTTGACGTAATGACGGATAGTATTTGCAGACAATGTCAAGGTGTCGACCGTAGGTTTTATGAAATGATAACTTTAAACGAGAATGCTGACATTCTTGCTTCATCAGCTTGTTTCTCAATAACTTATCTAGTTGCAGAAATTATTCTAGTAGAATATGCTCTTCCGTATCGAACCAATTGAGAGATATTAACTCCGGATGCAGGAAATAAAGGTATATATTGCTGAATAAGTAATGCAAGTGGGGGATTGAAAAATAAAAGTCATCACGTTTATCATAAAGTTTGGTTGTTAGATAACCATTAAAGTCCTTTTCAAGTAAAATATCCAAATATGGAACAGATGTGTCAGATTCTATGGTATCTTTTATATTAAACTCATCAGGATATATCGTGCCGAAAGTAGAATGTAAATAGCTACTTTTAATTGACAAAACGTTCTCGATGTATCTAATTGTCGAGTTGAAGGCTACAGTGAGTATTTTTTGGTTTTAGGTAAAAGATTTTGAATAAATTCTACTCATATTAAGTACATAAATAAGTGTGCTAATAAAAAGATGCAATCGGAACCCATGGGAGACCTGGTCTCCAAAAACCACATAGATATTGTCAATCCTAAACTGAGGCATCTTAAAATATCAACTTCAGAGTACTAAGCTTGTGCGTACTATCAAAATATTTTTGAACAAAACGATTTTGCAAATGACAAGGTGAGTTAATTCATGAGTTCACTTTTTATTGAAAAAGTAGCTGTCAATGACAACAAAAAATTATTTCATTTATCATGGGAAATAAATGTATATAAGTCGTAGGTTTTGTGCTGTTTGTTTTGGCAAAATCTTGTGATTTCAATTTTTTCAAAAGTTCCTTGAATTTTAAGAATTCACATCTGATTTATACCACTTCTTAAATATATTGTTGCACTGAACTCGTGAAGGTTCTCCTTCATTTAGGACTTTCAACTAATTTTTTCAAGTTGTAACAACATTGCATTGATAGATTTATAGGTACATGAAATTATCAAAAAAGATAACTTATGCATACATTTAATTAAATCAATAATTTTTTATTATTATTCATAACTGAATTGTACGATGTTGTGTTTTAATGATAGGTTACTCAGGTGTGAAAAATGACCAACTAAATGCCGATTTACGAGTTATCGTTTATAGGAATGACATATACAACAGCTGTACAATGAAACGCATTGAAGTGGTAAAATTTTCTGTTTGGATGAAACGTTCTGAGTCATGTTTTAAACGTCAATTATAACATTATGACACGCCCATTTCTTTAGAAACGAAAAAGAAATATTCGTCGTAATGTTTAAGGACACCCCACTCTTCGTGACAAACAACATGAGTTACACCGAAATGGAGATTTTTATATCATAAGAGAGAGAGAGAGAGTTTGAGAGTTCCTGCTTCTGTGAAACACATATCGCAACGAACTTGTCCATAACTTTGAATTTATCATGTTCATTGGAGTTACCATAACACAGGTATCGGTCGAACACGTGCTTACTTGGTGTTTATATGTAGACCGCCAATTTCATTGGCTATTATATTTACAGAATATCTGTTCTACAGGTATTCGAATGAACAATTTGACCGATCTTTCCTTTCTAAGGAAATGGGCGTGTCATTGTATGACAATCATCGTCCTAAAGATAGCCAAAAACGTTCCAGCCAAACGGAAAATTTTACCACTTTAATGCGCTTCATTGTAGGCTACTTCAGCATTGATATTGTTACGTACACAAAAGGGTTCCTTACATTGTTTTGTACACAAAAGCGTTGCCCAAAAGAAGGAGAATGTGTTCAATCTACCTGGAATAACAGGGTCAATTGAATGGGGAACAGTCTATGTAATAGTAAGATCATATGAAGATTTCTCTTCATATGATCTGACTGACTTAGAACAGAACCTCAGCTAATCAAATGAATGGATTAAAAAATAAACTCCTCCCACGGCTTTGTAATATATAAGGCTCAACTTCGATTACCGCTCGTTGTACATATCGAGCACGCAATCAATATTGAACACACGCGGTTTCAGAATGGACTCCCAACCCATTCAGGTTAGCACGGGATTATATGAAATAGCTTGATTTACTGGGGAAATGGTATGGTGAAGATATTAAAGTTACTGAACTAATGAATGCCAGTGTAACAAGAATTGTAATATCTATATATTATTGAAAAATGATCGTGTTAAGATGACAAAGCCCTAGTCAGCTTTAGTGGGTATCGCTGTCTAATATCAAATAAAAATTGGATGAAAATTGTGATTAAATCTGTCTTCAAAGACAAGTTTCGTCTCTGATATACATGACGATGGTTGTATTTTCTGTATGTACCGAAATGTGAAAAAATAATATTCAAAAAGGCGACAAAAGATTACAGTGGGAAAAAAGTGTAGCAAGGCCTAGAAAGTTTTTTAAAATATCATTGTAAACAGCACGTTGGTTTTGAATAGTTTCTTTTTGTGTGTTGAACAAAAGCCAATGAAGACACACCCATATAACTGTCAAGTGGACCAATCAGACACCGCTGAATTTTTCAGAAATAGAAGAATTCTTCACCATGAAAAATCAATTCTTCGCGAGAAATAGAAGCATTTGATTGGCTGAAAAATTAGGTTATGTTCTAAATTCAAATTTTTAAACTCTCGACGATTGATATGAGGAAGAAAATATAATGACATGTTTTTTTGTGCGCACTTTTGCGCTTCCTATATACGAGTACATATATATATATTTTTACAAGTACTAGTATATGCAACAATTTTAATTTTAAAATTATCTTATTTGTGTTACCTAGCACAAAGAAGAACGATCGAGTATAAACATTTAATCAGGTTAGAACTAAGAGGGAGGGTAGATTTCACTTTTTATTTTAATTAAAAATTTCACTGACCATAAAATAATAGTTGGATTTCATTTTGCCCTTCACTCGCTTATTTAAACATACACCTACGTTTTTAAAGGGAATATATAGAGAAAAAAGGGATACATGTTCATATTCTAAAAAAATGTATTTGACCCCATTTGTCCAAGTGTGAAAATCGAAATAATACATTTTAACACATCTACAGGACATTACCAATTCTATTCTAAAATATGAGTCGGTTACAGCCAAAAAGGGAGTTCATGGAACCACTGATTTTTTCCCAGACAACAACATTTTGACCCCGAATTTCCTCAATGATCAAACTTTAAACCCAGAAAACATTGCATATGAATATGACATCTCCAATGATATTTCAAAAGATGAGATGGTTGCTGCAAAAAAAATTGGGAGATAACCAGGAACTATGTATTTAACCCTTAATCGTCTCCGGTGAAAATCAAAATCCTTACACTATAAGATAAAGTTTTAGACTCCATCCAATGTTTTTGTTTTAAAAATACCAGTTTCATCGTTATATATGTATCCCCGCAATCTTTGAAAAAAATCCTTTCCTAAAATCAAGAATATTAATTCGTGGGGAGAAGGGGGTGATCTTCATCTGTTCAGCTTTTTTTTAGCAGATTTGCCTCAATTTTCAGGTCAGTTTATCAAATTAACAATACAAATATTTATTAGTGCAATAACAAGGACTCTGGAAAAAATTGTCCAATTCGATGCTGAGGAGATATAAGTATCTCCTGCCATCTTGTCCATATCCATCAGTCTGGTTTATTTCAAAGAAGGGAGTTATCATATTAATATAATTTAATTTCACTTGTTTCAAGCAATTTCATTGGCTGAATCATTCAGAGGAACATATAATATTTTGTATAACATAACTTGCCTACGTCACAATGAGTTACGTCAAAAACGTATTACTCCGCTTAACGTTACTTTTAAAATAATGCTCAATTTGAAGCCTTTTTCCGGAGGAAATATTGTCTCATTGTCAACACTGAAATTATATAAATTATAAGGAATGAAGCTAATTTCAACTTATGTTATCCGATATAACAAAACTTGGGGCAGTTTACGCTTTAAGCGTAAACTGCCCCAAGTTTGTTATATCGGATAACATAAGTTGAAATTAGCTTCATTCCTTAATAAAACTTTCTAAAAGCTGACAGTGATGCCTCTATTGAAAGCTTGATCATACTCGGAAAATGTTTTGTTCTCAGTTCAGTATGAAAACATATACACCAGTAGCAGCTGATAGAAAAAAAATATTGCATAAACAGGTATTGATTTTACATGTACATTGAATTATTTTCTTTTATTGTTTACATCAAACTACAAACAAAGGAATAATGACAGGAAAAAAATATTAAAAGGGCTGACATCACACGAGTCTTCCCATAAAGACAGCATAAAATTAATCTTTATCATATTGATAAGAATATAGACTCAGTCCTTTAAATCAGGTCACAGACAATGTTTTGGATAGCTTTTACCGTATTTTTAATATATGCAGGTAAATTATGTTTTTGTTTGAGTTGTCAGTCTCCTAAGTAAATCTTTAACAAAATATGTAATAGAGAATACGTGATTTATAAATGAGCAATTTGAAAAAAAAAATAACAATAACACTTCAAATGTTTGAATTTCTAAATGAAATGCTGAAAACCTAGATGCATTATATCTGATATATATTATAATACAGTTGCCAACAGCTCTGGTCAGCCCCCGTCCTGTCCCCACGGATGGGTTTACAATGATTCATCCTGTTACGCCTTCATCAGTGATTATCCAATGGACTGGAATGAAGCAATGGTTAGTGAAATGTTTTGTATGGAAATATATGATGCCGAGAGGTTTTTTTCTGGAATAGTTAGTTAAATAACATACAATTACATAAACTCGATAAATCATGCAGTAAACAATGCTCTCTAGATGTACTTTATTTCCCCATCAATGTATTGGCGCGGTTCCAAAAAAAAAAAGAAAAACCACGTGCAGGTCAGGACAAACAGCTAGACAGAAGCAGGGCTTGGAGCACGTGGATTGGCGGAATCAAAGCATATAAATATAAGGAATAACTGTCAAATTTTTCAATTTCATGACGATACGATGATCAATCTATTGGCTTACGTGATGCATTAACGCCTTCGGTGTTTATGCAAATTATCACGCAAGCCAATCGATTGATCACATCATGAAATCGAAAAATAAGACAGTTATTCCTTAAATGATTTTAGCAGTGTGTGTGTTTATAATTTTTAGTTAGCAAAGCGGAAGTGCATCGGGATTGATGTCAAATTTTATCTGAATTTATAGATATGTATTTTTCTAGAGGATAATCTGCTTTTCTGTACCCTTGTTATTAATGATGTAAAGAATTTGAATTTTTTATTTTAAAAACTTTACTTTTCCAATAACGTGGATGAATTTGCAAATATATAATGCAGTTTGATGAATAATTTATAAAACGAACCTTTTTGCCTTATTATTGTTGGTTATTACATTTGAAAAAAAAACTAATATGCGGCTTTTTCAATAAACGTTTGTAAATTGTAATCCCCTTTTCATTATTTCCTGAATCTGAATTTTAATCATTTTATCCGTCTCATATTCTTATTAATCGTTCCTTTTGTATACATCTTTCTCCAGATGTATTGTAGAGCCCTCCAAGCAAAACTTGTTGAAATAGAAACAGCGAGTGAAAATGGATTTCTTCGGCTACATCTACTTGACAATAAGGCCACGGGTCTGTATTTACTGGATCTTTTAAGCAATAAGTAGAATTAAAGTGTTTCATTTAGTATATAACTCCCGTTATTCAATTTGTTTTCACTTGCAGTTGCAGTTATAAGAACATATATATTAAAAGAATGATCCTTTGCTTAAAGGTTCCTGACTCCTCGAAATTTTCGATACTCACTATGCATACTAGCTCCGAATATGATCCATTTTAAAACCTATGCGAGCTACTGACAAATAAGTTGATGTTACTGGTACTGTATTTCAGCAACCTTGTCAAAATCATCAACGTAATATCATACGTAAATTTTATGGTTGCTATAATGACTTTTATTAATGAAAAATATATATAATCGATAACTCGGTCGGATTTTGGCAAACACGAATTGTACTGATTGATAGGACTTTGTTTTATGCTTAATTCGGCTTCGAATTATTCCTGAATATCATTGATAAAAAACTATTGTGACTTTTTATTTGGTAGTACCTGTGTATGTGACCAAGTCACTAGTGGTAAGACATTCGCTTCTCGAACGGAAGATCAAGTTCGATTCTCTCTCACCTCTCTATTTCTCTCTCACAAAAAACAAAGACGTAAATATATAAGACTTTTCTTTCGCCCAACGACCAACAGAAAGTGAACATCTCGGTCTTCCAAATTATATACATTAGATACTGTAGTCTCTTTACTTGTACATTGGTCGCTGGTGCTGTCAAAAATTCCACTGCACAAATTCGTTAAGTTCCGAATAAAAGTCCAATTAAACTTTAAGCCTAAACCGAGTGCGAAGAAATTGAGCATTTTCATCGGTTACAACAAACATGCGGTATCCATTTTTATCCAAGACAAGCTAATTAAAAATAAAAAGATATATATGTATTGATTTCCCTATAAAGGCCTATCATTTTATACTTTGTATGCCTAATTTGTATGCCTACGGAATGTTAAGTCACGGTGCCACGGTGGGTATGCCGGTCAACAGGGGATACTTACTTCTCCGGGGCTTCTGATCCCACGCTGGAATTTCTGGATAATCCATGTTTTATGACGTTCACAGATTTATTTGTTTTGTTTTTGCTTGTTTGTTTGATAAATAACTGTTATTTATTATATAGCTAATAAATAGTCTCTAATAAAATACTACCAAAATTCTAGAGAATTTTAACGTTCAATATCTTGACGTTTTATTGAACGCTAACTTTGTATTACGAATATGAATATGCCCGAAACATTCCAAATACGAGCGTTCAATATCGAATGCTCCGTTGAAAACAAAAAACGTCGTCTGGTCAAATTCTCAGAGCTAAATTGAAGAAGGGAAGTGGCATCTAGGTAAGATGTATTACTTTTTCACACAAAAATGAAATTATTCATTAAAATATAGTACGTATTAGACCCATTAAAACCTAAATAAGCAAATCATATCACTCGGTAGGGTCATCGGAATGATGCGATATTGAACGCTAACAAGACGGACGTTAATTTGAATACCGATACAAAAAGATCATTAATTTGAGGAGTTTTTTGTTGAAATAGTTATTATAAATTATGTGGAAATGCTTTAGCTATATAATAAAGGAGTTATTGAACTTATACTGGTGAATATCGGCACTCGTAAGCTGTTCAAATGCACTCGCATGCTCGTGCATTTGAACAGCCAACTAGTGCCAATATTCACCAATATAAGTTCAATAACCCTATATTATCCTACTTTTTTACCTATAAAATCTATTGACTTTTGGAAAACATATTAATATTTTGTCAATAATGTTTTTATTGTATGATAGGTCATTACTGGATTGGATTAAATGATATTTTGTCGGAGGGAGAATGGGTATGGATGTCTTATCAACAAACACCAACGTACACAGACTGGTCCCCCGGACAACCAGACAACTATCAACAACACGAGGATTGTACATTACTTTGGGGAGCTACACGTTTTCACTGGGACGATGCATTGTGCTCCTATAAAGAAAATTTCATCTGTGAGAAAGAGTAAGTAATCCAAAGTCCCTAATACAACCACGTGTTATGGACAATTCCTTTTTTGAAGAATCTTCATATATTATCCTTCATTCGCGGATCTGTTTTATAGTCGAAATAAGAATTGGTATATATATAAGAAAATTAATATCGTCTAAGATCTATGACTTAATTTTCCGTCAATAATTTCCAGAAAAAATACGTCATGACAAATAAATACTTGATCAAAGTCTCGTTCTACATGTACATTGTTTCTCTTAGTTTTGAAAAATTAAAAACACGTACCCTTTTCAATATAACTCCACATTTTTGGAGTCAAATATTACGTTACTTACTACAAGCACTTTTTCATGTATAATTTATCGTTATTTTTACTTTGAAAAATAGGCAGTACCTTAAAGTCTTAGTAAGCTCAACGATTATATTATTATAGTATAAGATGAACGATTATATGATTATAATACAATCTGCTACAAATAAGTAATAAATAAATAAGTAATCCCAAGTCCCTAATACAACCAAGTGTTATGGACATTTTTTTTGGGTGGGGGGCAGAATCTACGTATATTATCTTTCATTCGCAGATTTGTTTTATAGTCGAAATAAGAATTGGTATATATAAGAAAAATTAATATCGTCTAAGATCTATGACTTAATCCTCCGTCAATAATTTCCAGAAAAAATACGTCATGACAAATAAATACTTGATCAAAGTCTCGTTCTACATGTACATTGTTTCTCTTAGTTTTGAAAAGTTAAATACACGTACCCTTTTCAATATAACTCCACATTTTGGAGTCAAATATTACGTTACTTACTACAAGCACTTTTTCATGTATAATTTATCGTTATTTTTACTTTGAAAAATAGGCAGTACCTTAAAGTCTTAGTAAGCTCAACGATTATATTATTATAGTACAAGTTGAACGATTACATGAATATAATACAATCTGCTACAAATATTCTTCCAGATCGAGTGAAGGAATTAACATCGTGGGATAAGCGAGCAAACAGAACAGCTGTTGTATCCTTGGAACTAGTCTTATCAATTAAACAAGTTTATCTTCCAAAGAGTAAAATCTTCATTTTCAAGTATTTTTGTGGACAATATCTTTGATATTCTTCTTCCTCCGCCACTCTAGATCAAACGTACTTATCACTTCGCCATCCTGGCAATTACGAAAGAACACTGCATGTTAACTTCACCATAAAACACAACTCATTCATTGTCAAAAGAAACTGGGGATAGCTTTACCCTTACTCAACTTATCACTCCCACATATTTAGCTTTGGTAATTCTTAACATTTTAACTTTTAGCGGTTGGGACCGGTCGATAAGGGATTCTTACTCCTCATAGGCACATTATCTCACCTAGCTCTTGAATTTCCAGAGGTCCTAGTTTATGACTTCTTCAAAGTTTAGCATTGTTCATTGATATTATTTGATCGAATAGTGTTCGTTTTCGAACATAAGGTGATTTTACATTTAAGGTGATGTGATTTCAACGACCTCGTTGAAATTCAGTCATATTTCGTAAAATCTGTGGTCGGTATAATAACATTATATGTAAGCAATGAATCAATATGTTTTGAAGGATATATTCTCATACATGCAACTGTAACGGTGTGTGGAAACAAATTGATTGAAATTCCGTTTGGAAACACTGTTGCAATTATGAGACTATAATTTTCCTTAAAAAAAAGACTCTTTGATTATATATACATTTTTAAAACTCTCTGCAAATCTGCTTCATATTTCATCATCCAGGTATTTTCTTTCGTTGAAGGTACTGATAATGGAAGAACTAATGAAACAACTTCTAGTCAATGTGCGCTTGATTTTTGATTTTCCATTATGACGTTGCACTTCTTCGCCGTTCAACGTCTGTGACGTCAAAATAAAACGCATGCTGTAACCTTTGAAATCCCTTTCCGTGTTATGGTGTTTTGAGTGCCATAGATTTCTACACACTTTATATGCGAAATATTTGTAATGTAAATATTTGCAATGAACAACTAAAATCTAATCAAACTATATTTGATAATCCTACATGTATATAAAAAGGCAGAAATGTATTTATAAGAAAGCACTTCATCCATCGAATGGACAATATATTTTATCATTTTTAACATGATATCCTACTATCAAGTCTTATGTTAGTTTAGTTTACAATCTGCATGTAAGAAATTAAAGTTTCAAAAGTACCTAAATAAATACTGACATATGTTTCCATGATTGTGATAAAGATATAAAGGAATATACATTTTATTATAAATGCAAAACATGTTTTAACCTCTTTAACATCGTTTGATTATGAAGAGTATTCAATCTCAAAAGTCAATTCAAACAATGCAAAATAGGAGCAGAGCATACACGGTCCTCCAAAACATTAAAGGTGGGATATGGTGCCATGGAGGATTGAGCATCCCCTGCCGACTGGTCATACTCGCCATGTGCTCCTTGTCATGATCGGGAAATAACGGAAAAATCCGTCGACAATTCAGTGTGCATATAATGCATGGTCTAATAATTATAGTATGAAAAACATCAGTCAGCATTTGAATTAATGATAAATTGTATTTGCTGACAAGGTCACTGTATAGACGATAGAACTTACGAAATGATAACTTTAAACGAAACTGCTAATAATTTGATTGTCAATAACATCATTTTAAGAATTGTTCATAGATAGAGCATACATGATCGAATCAACTGAAATATAAAAACCCGTATGCAAGTGCTGCATAAGTAAAGGAAGTCAATCAATGTATATGTCTTATGAAACATACGGCGATAACGAACAGTATTCAAGATCAAAAGTCCATAAAACAATACAAAATAGGAGCAGAGCAAACATGGACCTCCAAAATATCAGCGGTGGGATCAGGGGTCTAAGTGATGGTATATAATAAACTAAATTAACCCTAACCCTGCCCATTATGTGATACCTCCTTCCTTTTTGAAAACGATCTATTCTCTTTGCTTGAAAAGAAAATCACATTAAAATATATACGAGTACGAAATAAAATAAATAATTCAACTTCCATAGATATCCGGTCACCTGAATTTGCTTTAACATTCTTAATTTTCTTAATGTTGCAAGGAAAAAAATATTCACGCATGTTTTCTGTTCTGTTTTGCATCTAGTCATTTTTTCTTATACGAATATATAATCTGTAAATAGAATTCCCTAACAAAATTAGGGCTAAGAGAACAGGTACAAAATTTCAGGTCAATTGCATTATATTATTGATTACATGATAACTTTATTCTAAGATTCATATGTTCAAGGTTAAACAGTGCTGGCGCTACATATGTGAATATAATATATTTAGTTTGGGCGGTTTTTGTATTAAAGGATACGATTGTTAATGCAGTTTACGGGGAGGAAGTGAGAAGGGATCCGGGGTCAAGAGGAGGGCATATGTAACTACATGTACGAGGGTTGTCCCGTAAAATCGTGGACAAGTTGTCTAGTGTGAAAAATAAACATCACTGCGTTCTGAAATTTTCACTATTATTTAGTACATATTTTAGTAATATACACAGCAAATTTCAGATAAATATATGCATAAATAAACAAATTATGAGATTTTATGCCATGTATTGTATCACCTTACGGCGCATGGATTATAACGTCAAAGTGTCTAAAACAGCGTCACGTTTTATCTTTGCTGAAAATGAAGTTGGATGAGTCCGACTTAAATTTAGGAATTTCATTGATACACATTCTTTAGTTTCCATAAACAGCCGAAGAATCAATTGGCACCCTCATGCGATCTTCTGAAGATTTATTAGTAAGTTACGGACAATATTCTCGCCATCATTCAACTACAAAGTAACAGATAATCACATATCGGCGGTCTACTGTGATAGCGTCTTTTGCTGTTACATTAGGAGTTTGTCCGTATGTTTTGTACTCCCCAGGGACTCGATCAAAAAGAACTTCGCTAAGAAAACTTCTATTTCATTTGTAGACTTAAGGTATGGTGATATTTTTATAATCTTTTTTTTCTTCTATGGTCATTTCAAGTCTCTAAAGATGTCATTATAACATCGAAATAAAACTGAACTGTTCTCCGGTGCGCCGTAACGTGATAAAACGTCGCCAATTTTCGTGTGTTGTGTTTACCACTTTTCCATTTCGAATGCTCGAGAAACTGCCAAAAATTAAGCAATTGCCTTAAAATTTTTACAAAGACTACAAAATTGATTGTGGAATTGAATTAGGATAATTTTAATCCATAACTAATGTATTTAAAACTTTTACTTTGAATTCAAACTTGTGTATTCTTTAATAAAACCTTGGTTTTTTGACCGTGCGCCGTAGGACAATACCTCGTGCACATTCAAGCATAATAAAATCTTTATTTTTGCCTATATTTTATCAAAAAAATTATTATGCACTTAAATATGATAAATAAACATTTACTGAAATTTTCAGCTTAGTGCACCCATTACTTTTCGAGAAAAACGCTTTGTCCACGATTTTACGGGACAACCCTCGTATTACTAAGACATTCTAATGATAGATTTAAGATTAGCGAGGAGCAGGACAGATAGCTAAATGACAAAATCGTCTCATTTCTCGTTGAAGTCACTTTTTTTAAATTGGTGATGAATTATCTGGGCATAGAAATAATATTTAATAATACATAACTCTCATCAGATGTGCATATTTATTTGATTTCACGATCACCTCTTTTTTCTGAATAGATATCATGCTGTTATCTGCCAAAATGAGTCACCAAAATATTTTCCTTTGTAGTACACGTTTATAATACTTTTTTACAGAATGTTGTCTTCTTAAATACTGGCAGTTTTATCATTCTTTTTTGTATTCATTATTGTCAAAATTAAAAAGTGATTTAAATTAAGTTTTTTCGACACTTATTAAAATATTATTGTCAAATTAATAATTAAATTTCATAACAATTCTTTTGACAGGAACATTAAATAAATTAAATGAATATTCACAACAGTTATTCAATTGAGGTATTTTTATTTCCTCAAATGATATTTATCATCAGTTGTCTATTTTCCTATTGCAATAATATTTTACAAAAGCCCAGTTTCTTGAGATAAAGATATATAATGTCTTTCTTTCCTTCTTTCCCTCTCTTTCACGAGAATCATATTGTTTTTTCTGTTATCCTTAATTTATGTCTGTTTTTCTCTCTTAATTAAAAGAAAACACAAATTACCTAAATGAAATATGAATACTGTAGATCTACATGTACAAGATCTCCTTTATCAAGAGAAACTTGAAAGTTTTTTTTAAAAAAGAAGTTTTGATCATGCATGAGTTTAAATATGTTTTCATTTCCTCAAATAGATAATGAAATAACTTTCACAGATTCAGCTAACAATATCTTTAAAATGCTAGTATAGTTTATTAAAAGGTACTTACTTATACTTTAGAATATCATATATTTTTGTTTTTGCATGAAAGAATATCACTTAAGGCTTCCCAGAGTATTAAATGAAGTAAAGAATTCAAAAACGTACATGGTCACCACCACTGATAAAACTATACAATGAAGTTATTATTGATAAAAACCAAAGCAAAACTTCATTTTGTCGTTATCAAGGACTCGCTTTACCAATAAGATCTCTTACATGAAACATTAAACCCTATTATTTCACTGTAAAGCAGTTCTTTATCAAATTGCTCATGAATTATATAAAATGTGCATCGTTAAAAAAGTAACAGATTAAATCTTAATATTTACATTCGCAGTGTTTTTCTGCAATGCCAACTGTGAAATTGATTTGAATATCATTTTCGTGTTTACTTCCGCGAATAAATTTATACGGAGAAACGTGTGTTAATGTGACGTTAAGATGAGGTTGCAGCGACGTTAGTAAAAATGCAACGATATAGGGCTGCAAGGAATTCAAATATTGAGTTTATTTAGTTGCTTCCAAATATGTAAAATGTAAATATTGTTGCGAACTGTTGCAATTATAAATGTAGAAATTTAATGATGTACATGTATAATCTAGAATGTTCTATATGTTTCATGAATGCATTCTCAAGAAGTCTGTAGAATATGTTTGAATATAATTACCTAGAATTTTATAGAAGTTTCTATTTCCAGAAGTTTCTTCAATACTATATATATGAGAGTTTTTGTGATCTTAAATTATTATCGATTTTATATTGTGTTTACATTGAAGAAATATTGAATACATATCAGAAACCATCTGATCATCTTAGCCAATGTGGTATTGTGATTGTTAACCCTTGTGGATTTGTTTTGCCTTTAATCGTCATAATAAATTATAAAAAGAAGATTTCCGTGTGATTGTGATTTGCCACATTGTTTGGTGCCGGAACCCGGGAATTGGAGCCTGAAATCAAGAAGTTATCACGGAAAAGAAGAAGATGTCAACCTCATACTTGAAAGGACTTTGTACAAGGTACAAGAATCTACTGCTGAAGGAAATGATCAAAAGTAAGACATTTCTTTCTTCAGAAGCTGAAGAAGAGGATTTGACAACCAGGATAAGGCAGATTCAATCTTCCTTGAGACGGTTAAATGACTTTGGTGCTAAATTAGAAGAATCGATGAAAGAACTTTCCATTGCCTTGGAATCAAAACAAGACAATGAGTCTGAAATTGAAAAATTTACAGAAGATAGTGAGAAGTTGTTTGAATTGCTCACAGATGTTACAGAGCGCTCAGAAGAACTTCTACTATTGGAAAAAAGACTGGAACAAGTGGACATTCCATATATGAAAAGTGAAGCACCAAATGACCCACGAATCGACCACATGATAGATTTGCAGACAAAAATGCAGGAACAACTGATGCATTTCCAAGAACTCCAGATTCAGGAACTGCACAGAAAGGAGAAGATTTGCAAAGAGACTCCAGTAGTTAAACTACCAAAGTTTGAGCTCCCTTCATTCAACGGAGACAAGTTAAAGTGGAAAGAGTTCTGGGACTCCTTTGAAGCTTCCGTACACAAAAACACAAGGCTTTCCAATATTGAGAAGTTCAACTACTTGAAAAGTAAAATGGAAGGAAAGGCACAATCTGCTATTTCCGGCCTCATGCTCTCCCGTGAAAATTATGATGTAGCTCTCTCCATATTGAAGGAACGATTCGGAGATGTGCAGTCTGTAATTAACAAACATTACGTGGACCTTATAAACATTAAGCCTGCACTCAATAATACTTCCAGTCTCCGTAGACTATTTGATGATTTAGAAAAGCATATGCGCAGCCTAGAAGCATTGGAACAGGACGTAAACCAGGATGTCTTTGTTTCCATGATTATAACGAAGTTACCAAAAGAAGCCAGATTACAATTAGAAATACAGAAAGGAAAGAAAGAGAAGTGGACTGTGCAAAAGCTGAGAATGTTTCTTGATAACTACATAGCAGCCAGAGAGTCTACAGATATGGAAAACCTAGCCGGTCATGAAGAACAACCTGCTAGAAAACCCCCATCACCTGGAATGCTATATGAACATGAAAGAAAACATACATCTGCGGAAGCCTTAACAACATCATTTAAAGAATCTCCAAGAAGAAACAAAATTCGAAGAAAGTATCCCATTTGTATCTTCTGTGAACAAAATCACTGGAGTGACGAATGCCAAGAATTCAGGACAGTTGAAGACAGAAAACAGAAGATTAAGGGAAGATGTTACATTTGTCTTAGGCCAGGTCATCTTAGCAAAGACTGCAAAGTCGACAAACCATGTTTCCATTGCCATCAGACAAAGAAACATCACCGAAGTCTCTGCAACAAGAAAATGCTGCCTTTGAGAGAAACCTCACACTTTGTTGAAACATCCGAACTATGTGACTCAGAAACAGTTAACAATGTTCGAGAAAACAGCCTACTGTCATCAGGAAGTATGGTCCTAATGCAAACTGCAAAAATTGATGCATCAGATCTGATTGGATCGAGATTTGAAACAATCAGAATTCTCATGGACTCTGGATCTCAAAGAACGTATGTTACCGAGGAATTAGCTTCAAAATTGAATTTGAAAAGAAAAAGAACAGAGGAAATATCACTTGTCACCTTTGGATCCACGAAACCAAAAATAGTAAAAACTCCAAATGTATCTTTAAGAATTAAACTGAAGGATGGACACTATATGAGAATTGAAGCAAATGTTGTGCCTCAAATAACCGGACCAATACACAGAAGACCGTTATCACCTAACATCATTGAAAAGGTACAGTGCCAATGGAAACATCTACAGTTTGCAGATACCTTACCAAAAACTACAGAGAATTCAACCATAGACATCCTTATTGGGAATGACTATTATCTTGATTTGGTATCATCAGAAAAAATTGAAGTTGACCATGGACTTTACTTGCTCTCATCAAAGGTAGGATGGATTCTCACTGGAAGAACACAAGCTAACTTTGAGGTATCCAGAGATAATTTACACCAAATGCTGATTGTAAATGGAAACAATCTAACAACGGAATATTGTCTTCATTCGTCTGTCGATGAATGTTTGCCCTTGAAGCCATCACTAGACGAGTACTGGAACTTGGAAACTATTGGAATCAAGGATCAGCCCCATTCATCAGATGATGACAAGGCTTTAAAAAACTTGAACGACACAATAAAACTAGTCAATGGTAGATATCAAGTCACTTGGCCCTGGAAGGATGAGCAACCTGAACTCCCAGAGAACAGAGAACTTGCTTTTGGAAGGTTGAAATCTCTACTTCAAAAATTAAAAAAGAACCCTGAGCTGCTTCACCAATATGATGGAATAATTCAGGACCAGTGCAAGCAAGGCATAATTGAAAAGTTGACAAAGAGCAGTGAAGTGAAGAATAGTATCAAACACTACATACCCCATCATGCTGTCATTGATCCAACAAAGCCTACCACAAAAGTACGGATCGTCTATGATGCATCGGCAAAGGTCAAACCAGAGTGTAACAGCCTTAACGAGTGTCTTTACAGAGGACCAGTGATGCTAAATGATTTGTGTGGACTGTTGATGAGATTTAGAATGAAAAGGATTGCAATTATTGCTGACATAGAAAAGGCATTTCTACAGATTGAATTACAAGGAAAGGACAGAGATGTGACAAGATTTTTTTGGTTAAAGGATATTGAAACTCCATCCACAGAGAACAATATTCAAGTATATAGATTTACGAGAGTTCCATTTGGAGTTATATCAAGCCCTTTTCTATTAGCTGCAACTTTAGATTACCATCTTGGAAACTACAACACTGCAACAGCTGAAAACATAAGAAGCAATATTTACGTGGATAATGTTATCACTGGTGTAGAGTCCGTCTCAGAGGCTAGGAAACTATATACAGATGCCAAAGAGATCTTCAGTACCATGTCAATGAATTTACGAGACTGGGCATCTAACTCCACAGAATTTAGCCAGTGTATTCCTCAAGCTGATCAAGCAAACAGAGAAACCATAAAAATTCTTGGTTTGTCTTGGAAACTTTCTGAGGACTCCCTATTCATAAACAGTCCAAAAGATGAAACTCATATTCCACCTATCACCAAGAGGAAAGTCCTTCAAAGAATTGCTTCTGTTTTTGATCCACTTGGATTCTTCACCCCAGTTACTTTGAGAACAAAGTTGTTTCTACAAACATTATGGAACCAAAAGAAAGAGTGGGATGAAGAACTGACCAAAGAAGACATTCAGCGCTGGGAAAATATATCCGCAGACCTGGATGATATTCCCAATTGCCCTATTCCTCGTTTTATAGGACTCACTGGTACAGTGACATACAAATTAATGTGCTTTTGTGATGCATCAACTAAAGCGTACGCCTGTGCGATCTATTTACACCAGAGCAAAAAAGAAAGAAGTACTGTCAACCTGTTGTTTTCAAAAACTCGGTTAGTGCCACTCAAGAAAATAACACTGCCTAGATTGGAACTATTGGCTGTTGTCATTGGAGTCCGCTGCATTAACTTTGTTGAACAACAACTGAAGTTACCTGTCACAGAAAAGATCCTTTGGACCGATTCCCAATGTGTATTACATTGGATAAGAATGAAGAAACCTCTTAAAACTTTTGTGGAAAACAGAGTAAAAGAAATCAGAAACAACAAAGATATCACTTTTCAATATGTGTCTACAAAGGATAATCCAGCTGATATTGCAAGCAGAGGAACAGCAGTTAAAACTCTTCAAGAATTTGAACAATGGTGGAATGGTCCAGAATGGTTAATTAAAAGGAAAGACAATTGGCCTTCATGGAACAGTCAACAAACCTGTAAAGAAATGCAGAGTGTCATAGAATCAGAATGCAAGACTCCAAAGATAGTTTATGAAGCAAAACTGGTGGCTGGGGAGAGTCCTAACGGAAGAAATAACAACTCAGATTCTGAATCAACTGGATATCCAAACATCATTGACTACCAAAATTTTTCATCATTTATAAACCTTACTCGAGTTTTAGCATGGACTCTTAGGTTTATCAAAAGAGTGAAGAAAATTCCAATGCCATGGAACCATCTAACTTACTCAGAACTACAGAATGCTAAAATTCTTATAATCAAGAATATCCAGACTCAAAACTATGGTGATGTCAAAACCTCACTCAAGGAAAATAAGAGAAATAATTTAATTAGTCAATTAGGACTTGTATTGGATCAGGAAGGGATTATCAGATGCATTGGAAGACTCATGAAAATTTTATTCATAGGTTCAAAAAGCATGCTCAGCTGACAGAAGGTGCAAGATCTCCTATCCTCCTTCCAAGAAAGAACCATGTGACGGGACTGATTATTGATTACATCCACAAAAAATCATTTCATGTTGGAGTCTCCCAAACACTGTCATTGGTTCGTCAAGACTACTGGATTCCGCAGGGAAGAGCAGAAGTAAAAAGAATACTTCATAAATGCACAATCTGTAAGCGGTTTGAGGGTGGTCCATACAAGATGCCACTGATGCCTCCACTACCAAAGAAACGTGTGAGTGAATCAGCACCATTTACGTACACGGGAGTGGATTACTTTGGACCAATCTTCATCAAAACAGAAACTGGCAATAAAAAGGTATGGGTCTGTCTATTTACCTGCTTGGTAGTAAGGGCCATACATCTTGAACTCATGCAGGACATGTCCACAGAACAGTTTCTCCTAGGACTAAGGAGATTTATTGCGCGTTGGGGCAAGCCAAAACAAATTATCTCTGATAATGGTGCTCAATTTAAACTTGCAAGCCTGGTTTTGGATAAAAGTTGGGAAAAGGTTACGTCTGATAATGATGTCCAAAGTTATATTGCAAATGAAGAGATTCAGTGGCAATTTATTGTGGAACTGGCACCATGGATGGGAGGATTTTATGAACGTCTGGTTGGTGTTGTCAAACGATGCTTAAGAAAAACTATAGGAAAACTCTGTTTAACAAATGAGCAAATGAGAACGATGCTTGCAGAAGCTGAAGCAGTCGTGAATTCGAGACCCTTAGTCTATATTGGAGACGATATTAATTCAAACATCACCCTTACTCCAGCGCATTTCCTCACTTTGAATCCAAAAATAGGACTTCAAGATAGTGAAAATTTTGATCCCATGGACCCAGACTATGTACCCGTTGCAAGTTCTGTAAACACTTTATTGACAATTTGGAAGAAAGGTCAACGACTTTTAGATACATTCTGGAAGACATGGAGAGATGAGTATCTTTTAAGTCTAAGAGAAAGAACATCCTATAAATTAAAAGGGAAAAGAATTCAAGATAACAGGCCGGTAAGAATTGGTGATGTTGTTCTCATCAAAGAAGATCTCCCTAGAGGAAGCTGGAAGATTGGAAGAATTTGCGATTTGACAAAGAGTCAAGATGGACAATGCAGGTCCGGAAAGGTAATGTTACCTAACAAAAGAACATTAAACCGACCGTTAAATTTACTTTATCCTATAGAATGCACCGATGAATCTGACCATGGTGATAGTGATATGACGAAGGAAAAGCCAGCAGTTGATGTTATTCCTCCGTTGCCTAGAGTAAAAAGACAGGCCGCTGAAAGAGCAACAAAACTGATGAAAGAACAATTAAATTCATGATTGACTTTCCTTGGTCTTGGGAGTGTTGCGAACTGTTGCAATTATAAATGTAGAAATTTAATGATGTACATGTATAATCTAGAATGTTCTATATGTTTCATGAATGCATTCTCAAGAAGTCTGTAGAATATGTTTGAATATAATTACCTAGAATTTTATAGAAGTTTCTATTTCCAGAAGTTTCTTCAATACTATATATATGAGAGTTTTTGTGATCTTAAATTATTATCGATTTTATATTGTGTTTACATTGAAGAAATATTGAATACATATCAGAAACCATCTGATCATCTTAGCCAATGTGGTATTGTGATTGTTAACCCTTGTGGATTTGTTTTGCCTTTAATCGTCATAATAAATTATAAAAAGAAGATTTCCGTGTGATTGTGATTTGCCACAAATATAAGGAATGTTTTTTTTTTAAGTTTAGTGTGAATTAGCGCACTTCGTGAAAAGTCTGTGTGATTCACACACTAATAACTCAAACAAAACTTAAAAAGCATTCCTTAATTGTTACTGAGATATAATCCTTTGTCTTAAATCCATGTCAACCATTGGTAATCATTAAAAATTCTTCCACAAATTATGCAACAAAGATCTTGAATACAGTTTGTTATCTCCAAATGTTTCATACATTAAAACCCATGTCTAATTTTATTTTATTAACAAAGAAAGATTTAATTAAGTTTTTCAATGACATGCGCTTGTAATATTTTTTTGCAAACAGTTTTAAGATTTTAATCTTTTAGAAACTGTCATTCATTTTTTTTTTTTACATTTCCACAGTCTTTAATGGTTGGATACTGAGTATGTATTATTTAAAAATGTGTATTGATCTAGTTCAGAGTAAGGGCAAAAAAGAGAATACTTGAAAGAATTACAAATAAAGTACAAAAACAAAGCATAATTGTATCAATGCATAGAGTCAACATTTTCCACGTCACTTCAAGGTCATCAACGTCATCAGCAAAATCATCCTCGTTCTCTGTTTTGGTTGAAACTTTTTTTTCGATAACATGTACATTTAACAATAGTTGCCCAAATCTTCGGCATTGGCGACTTTTCAGAATCTTTATGATGTAGAGCAATTTCGACGATCACAACAAAACAGATAAAAGTACTCATTACTAGATCGGAAAGAACAAAATAAGACAGAAGTGAAACAGGTTCTGAAGTTGGCGGCAAATTATTTTCCACTATAGTCAAAAATACAGCTACTGCCAAAAGCACAGTAACTGCAAAAGAAAGTCTTTCACCACTCTCCAGCGGTATTATAAATACAAAAATATTCATGAGTAGTATAAAAGTTGGGACTTTTCAGAATCTTTATGATATAAAGCAATTTCGACGATCACAACAAAACAGATAAAAAATACGAAGGATATCCCCAACATCCGAAGAGCATTCGACAGGTCTGAGTATCAAAAGGGTATTTGGTAACATCTACATCGCACCTGCTGGAGAGAACGTCGCCTGGGCTCCACAGCGCCCTGCAATCAGAAGAGAACCTCACCGGAAAGTTCCCCTTCGCAATACGCTCAACTTTAATATACGGATTAAGCAGACTAAGACTCGGTATCCAAACTTTTCTTTCTGGAAAGTCCATTGTTTGTACATCAGCGTAAGAGGAAGAGTTCCATGTTAAGCGAGAGTCTCTCCATCTGACGAAGAAAGCCCCCGTCACAGAAAACATTCCATTGACTTCATCAAAATCCTTTATACCAACAAGTGTAAAAGACACATTTATAATCACCGGAGACGTTAGCGTTTCTAACGGACGAACGTACCTGTTATAACCTGTCATTAAAGCCGTGTACAGCTTTTCAACCTGCGTAAGATTCGATGCAACACATATCGACATTGTTTGAAACAGACATGTAACATGAATCCAATGCATGTCTTTTTGTCCTTGGATCTTTGTAACACTTACCAGTTGATGTACCAATTATTAATTAAAAATTTGTACTTTGCTTTTTTTGATATTCCACAAAAGTTCTTTTTTAAAATGTCACTGCCGATCACGGAGATTTCCGCAATTACGGTTCAATTAATCTTACTCTAGTACACTACAACGAGTCCTACTAATTTTCTTTACATAAGATATACTTAAACCAACGCAAATTGTCATAACATCCTTTAAACAGAATTTAAATTTAGATTAATAAGTCATACATTTATATTAACGATTTATCTCAAATCACATACCTCATATTACGTCTTCTCATTTTTATTTCATTAAGACTACATTTTATAATGCAGAAGTAAGTTTATAAATAAAAGTAACCAGCAAATATTTCACTGATTAAGCAAAACTGAGAAATTACGAAAATAACCACAGCGGAAATAAAAATTAGATTACGAAAAAGCTATCAATATTTAGCATCGTTAGTCGTTATGTTCCCAAAATAAAATATTAGCTTTTTGAGTTGAAATTGAAATTTCATTCAATTCAAAAAACATTACTTATATGGCAATAACTAGCGTGGTTTCCTTTCAGGAACCAAAAAGAAAAAAAACAACAACAAAAAAACCATTAAATATAATCAAAATTAAAAAAACAATCCATGCATTTGTATTTTTATATGTTGTAGCTCCTTTCAAAAATGCTTACAAGATTTTGATGGTTCCTTATTCATGCCCTGCCTGTCACCCTTATCGTTATATTGATGGCAACAAGGAGTTTTCGCGGTTAAGGAGGCTGGGGGGTCAACAAATTAATCACAAATTAACCACCAGATTTAACTTATTTTTTTAGATATGATATCTTAAGCTGTCAACTATCATTTGGCAAGAAATATTTAAAAAATTTTAGATTTAAAATTCGATCATTTTCTATATCTTTATATGGAGCTCTTCCTTTAAAGGAGACAGAAATGGTCTGAAAATGGCTGCCACACCCCAGCCTCGTTAATATAAATAATATTATTGATCACAAAATGGTACTTCCCGTGGGGATCCGGGTTAGAATAGGTCCTCAGTACCCCCTTGCTTCTCGTAAAAGGCGACTAAATGGGGCGGTCCTTCGGATGAAACCGTATAAACCGAGGCTCTGTGTCACAGCAGGTGTGGCACGATAAAGATCCCTCCCTGCTCAAAGGCCGTAAGTGCCGAGCATAGGCCTAAATTTGCAGCCCTTCACCGGCAATGGTGACGTCTTCATATCACTGAGATATTCTGGAGAGGGACGTTAAACAGTATACAATCAATCAATGAATCAAAAGTACAGTCTTGTATTCCATATTATTTCAAGTTAAAAATTAGTACACCTTGTATTACCTACAAATATACATGGACAATCGCTTCCAAAATTTTTAATTACAAGAAAACTTAACAGGACCTGGATATCGAATATCTGAGACATAATCTTCCTTTCTGTTCATGTTCTTCATCACCATATACGATGTAACGTAGTTCTGCTGAAACGCTATTCATGGTGACGTAAATATAAAACAATAACGAGATTATTAGGTCACTTCTTTAATATGGCAAACATTTTGGGAACTCCGATCTTTTTTCCTGGCGTCATATTTTCATTAATATTATGGATTCTGTGGAAGATTACGCCAGACAATAGGCCAGACATGAAAAAAAGACGTTGACACTTCGTAAAAATGGATTAAATGTATCAGAAGTATGTTAAAATCTCTCATCAAAGGATTAAGGGGCAATGTGAAAACCGTGTATCATTTTGTGTTTAATAATTCAGAAGTGAAACAAGATTTAGGTAGATTACACAATAAATTTGTACTAGTCCCTGTTGACAAAGCAGGAAAAAACTTTGTCTGTGTTTGTAAAATTCATTATCTAATTGTTTTTTTTATAGGAACTGGCATTTCATTTTACAAATTATAATCCAGTTTATACCATAGCTCCCTTTCTAAGTAGGAGATTTAATTTTTTAATTTGACAAACAATGTGAATCTATATCTAAGATGAATCGAAATAAATGAACATTTAATAAATAATGCAAACAAGATGTTGAATAAATTCGAGGCAATTTTTTTTTACCCCATGTTTTTTGTGTTATTTAATAAAATGAAAAAAAAAACCCAATAAGCACTGTTTTTGTGTTAATATATAAAGGTGTCAGGAATTTGAGGATACATTTACAGTGAAAGAAAGGCTGCACTGGCAACTTAATAAATTTTATCCCTCATCCTCTGAAGGCTGTGTATAGCATTTATTATATTTCAATAACTCTCGTTTATGTTTCCTGGTCATAAATGTTATCTTTATAGTGCACCAGTTCAGAGTTTATGTAGGAAAAAGATAAGACACACGGGTCCAATACAGAATGAGTGTCTATTTTACTGCAATTACTCTCCTTGGTGCAGGTAATATTATAAATGTTTATTTAAAAAAAAAAAAATATGACTTAAACATTTGCAATATAAAAATAAAAAAAATCTTTATATACCTGAACTTGTTGAAAGTCTATTCAAAAATAAATTTGAAAAAAATAATTCAATCATCTTATACATTTGTTTGTTTTTAGTTCAGAATTAAATTTTAAAATGATATGCTAATTTACATGTTTCTTAAAAATGTTGAAATAATCCATCTATCCACGTTGATAAGATACCATGATAACAATCCAGATTGATCACTGATGTGGATACTTCATAGATTTTTATGTGACGTGCATGTCACTTACGATACAGTAGTTTTGGGCACCTTAGGGTTGAATGTAATATTAATCTTTGATTTTTTTAAACCTTTGTTTTGTGTTATTCAGTTACCTTGGTAACAGCTGGGTCTGATCTGTGTCCTTCTGGTTGGGTACACCATGGATCGTCCTGTTACCTGTTTGTCACTGACGACACAGAAGATTGGATGGTGGCTATGGCAAGACTACTTTATAGTACCTTAGAGTGGACATTCTCCTTTAGATGAAACATATGAAGTTAACGAACAAAATTCAAGATCAAAAGTCCATTAAACAAAACAAAATAGGAGCAGAACAAACACGGACCCCCAAAACATCAAAGGTGGAATCAGGTGCCATGGAGGAATGAGCATCCCTGCCGACCGGTCACACCCGCCGTGTGCTCGGGAAATAACGGAAAAATCCGTCGTGAATTTAGTGTATAAATAATGGACTACTAATTAGTATGAAAAACGTCAGACAGCATTTGACTCAATGATAAATTGTATTTGCTGACAAGGTCATTGTATCGACCATAGAACTTACGAAATGATGACTTTAAACGAGCCTGCTAAAATTCTTGATTCATTAACTTGTTTTTCAATAAATTGTTCATACATAGAGCATGCTCTTGCTAATCTAACCAACTGAGATGTGTTAACTCCGTATGGAGGTGATGAAGGTATACTGCTACATAAGTAAGGAAAAGTTCTCTTTATATTTTCTCATTTTCGATCTAAACTTAGAAAGGCAAACTGACAATTTCAATTTTTTAGCTTGCATCTGATTCAATAGTTATTTCTTGTGTTCCTCAAGTTATCTAGAGGTTCATTTGTTTTTTTTTATTCAACATTAAAACAGCATTAAAATCTATTTTATGTAAAAATTTACCGAAAAAAAGTATTTAAAAGAAAAACAAAATCTCTCAATTACTGGTAATTCTATACGCGAGAGCATGCTCTACGTATGAAAAATTTCTAATCAAGGTGTATTGTTGAAAACAAGTTGCTGAAACAGGAATATCAGCAGTCTCGTTTAAAGTCAAAATTTCGTAGGTTCTATGGTCGATACCATGACCTTGTCAGCAAATTCAATCTATCATTAAGTCAAATATTGACTGGTGTTTTTAGTGCTCATTGTTAGGCCTATTATATACAAAATGAATAATCGACGGATTTTCCGTGATTTCTCGATTATAACAAAGATACATGACGGTTATGACTGGTCTGCAGGAGATGCTCCCTTCTAGATGACACCTGATTACATTTCTAATGTTTTGGAGGTCCGTGTTTGTTCCAATTTCGCGTTGTTTAATGCATTTTTGAGCTTGAATATGGTTCTTTTTCTCCCTACATTTCATATATGAATACATGTTATTGGTCTATATCCATATAGAATATTGCAGCATAACTTATTTTCAATTTGTTAAAAAACACGATTAAATACTTGAAAACCGTTCTCCATATATTTCATTGACGATGCTAACGGTTAATGGTATGAAGCAATACTATCATTTTGTTCAATAACATTTTTTCCTTAGTTCTAATATTCTACTTCCTGTTATAAAATACATGTATATTGTTCCGAGTTTACAATAAGGTAACTGAAACAAACGTTAATATTATTGTGTTTTTTTCTTGTTTCCTTTTTTTAGTTTTACTGTAATAGTCTCAATGCAAAGTTGGTGGAAATTGAAACAAGAAGCGAAGACGACTTTTTACGTTCGCAATTGTCACATAGAAGAGTAACAGGTAAAAACAATATAAAGTAGACTTTGTCTAATGCAGAAATTCATAGAGATAACGAACATTATTTGGAAAATATTTTTAAATTTTTTAGTTAAGTAAAAAAAAAATAATATTCATATTTTATAGACATTCAATGGTTTGACAATCTGACAAATGCATATGCCCTGGAATTCTTTCTTTCGTACTTAGAACCTTCACAGATAACAAAAAAAAAAATCTATGTCTTTATATATTCTTCATATGCGGATAACTACACTATTATGAAAAATAATTCTAATCACAACTCCTGAGGAATGCCGAAAAGGAACTACAACAGATTGACATTTCTATATCTATCTATGTAAATTCTTATTTTACTGATACATGTATCTAGACTGAGATGTAAATGCTTATTTTAGGTAATTATTGGATTGGATTGTCTGATATCCAGCGAGAGGGGAAATGGGTGTGGTCATCGACTCAGACAGTTCCAACGTATACCCACTGGTTTCCCGGTCAGCCCGATAACACTCGCGATCAACGCTCCGAGGACTGTGTACATATGCATGCACTTATGGGATTTCTCTGGAATGATTTCCACTGCAATGCGGCAAACAATTTTATCTGCGAGCAAGAGTAAGAATTTCTCATCGAACTTTAATTTTTTATGACATTTTTGTACGGGTTTATGAATTAAATTATCACGTAATCTGTCATTACCCATATTCCAGACAATTGCTTAAAAATAGAAAATCATTCAATTGTTTTTCTTTTTAAAATTTTGAATGAGGCATAACCTTTGATTCGAAAAATAATAATGAAAACCTCGGAAATACATTAATGGAAGTCTGTATTTCAAATATTTTACAGTATGAATAGCAAATTTTCAACTATAAGTACTGAGAAAAATTAATTAGTGTCAGTCAGGGTCCATGTCCATCAGCCAATCGATATTATTAATATCTGTAAAATTTGAGTTTTATAGTTTCTAAATGTGAGAAATTAGCAGCTTTTTATGGTGAAGAAACAGAGAATGAACCAATAAACCTTTATTTTTGCTATACCTTCCTTGCAGAATGAATGTAGGTATGCTAGTGGGATAAATGAGCAGAGAGGCCATCAGCTGTACATCAGTTGTACATTTTCTTGCTCTTAATAAAATATGGAAAAAGCAGTCACTTTCTTACTAATACTATAGAAATTAGCCATGCCTAGAGATTTTTTTAATAAAAAGTAAAACTAGTCGACTTTATTTTCGTGGAGTATTTGTGTTAGCTGTATGCCAACGATTAAGTATATTGTTGTAACGACTTAGTATCTCGTAATTACACCTTACTGTCTCGTTATTACGACTTACTATCTCGTTATTACGACTTACTATCTCGTTATTATGGTTTACTGTTATTTTGAGTCATTATTTCGAACATCGACTTAGTATCTCGTTATAACGACTAAGTATCTCGTTATTACGACTTAGTATTTCGCAATCTAATTAAAATTAGACCTTTCATCTCGCTCTTTGTAAATTGATTTGTCGCTCATGAAAGGATGTCGCTCATGAAAGGATCTAACGCAAGCCAGTTCAGGTCACGTTCTGGTGACCTTTGGACCAACCAATCAGCTTCTCTGCTGTGACAATCTAATTAAAATTAGACCTTTCATCTCGCTCTTTGTAAATTGATTTGTCGCGGGAAACGAGCGACAAATCAATTTACAAAGAGCGAGATGAAAGGTCTAATTTTAATTAGAATGAGTATTTCGTTATTTTGAATGTCTATCCCGTTATTATTACGTACCATCTCTTTATTATCACGTACCATCTCCCTTTTACGACTAATTATCTCGTTATTACGAATAACTATCTCGTTATTACGACTAAGTATCTCATTATAACGATCTACTATCTCAAACATACGACTAAATATTTCATTGTAACGACTAAGTGTCTCGTTACAGCGACTTATAGTAACTACTAGTATCTCGTTATTATGACTTATGGTCTAGAATGAACGACCTATTTTATTGTATTTTTGACTTAGTTTCCCGTTAGTACGACTTACGATACTCTTAACTAACTTTAATTCGCGTGCGAGAAATTTTCGCGAGGTTCGCGAGAGCATCGTCATCGCGAATATTTCTCACCGTGAACCGTCCTTTAAAGTCTATCAGCCTCATAAAACAGATCCAAAATGGGCTTGATTGCGAAAATTTATCGTCTCGAACTAGTTTATCCCCGGTAAATTGCGAAATAAAGTCGTCGCGAATAAAAGTTGGTTTACAGTATATATATTTAAGTTTATTCAAACCAGTATTAAGTGTATTATACAACGTTAGCCTGTAATACAAGGACATTGTTCCGAGGAAGCATTGTACAAATTACTGTTTAAAACAGATTTAATTGTAAAGGTTTAGGATTTGTGGGGGTTTCGGGTTTTCAGTTTGAATGGATCAATAGAAATTATTGGTTACTTAAAAAAAATTATGCTATATATATTGAGAAAAAATGTTAAAAAATTATGAGGATGCAGTATTTTGCTTTTTAATCTCTTAGTCTCCAGAGCACAGTTCACTCGACATTTAAAATTTTTTTCGATAATACACTGTACCTTGCATTGCAAGGTACAGTGTAAAACATTTTTCTAAAGAATAAATTATAGATAATAAAATTAGCATTTGTTTATATTTTTCTCTCACTGCAAATGTATGTCATTTCTAAATAAGAATATGGCGAAATGTCTTCAGTGTTTATTATTTTTTTTGCAATTTCACAACCTCGAGCTCAAAAAATATATCTGCAATTGAATCAGAATAGGAATCAAAATGATTATCGATTATTGATAACACCTTGGCAAAATTTCATAATGTCAAAGATGTTTCTTCATGAAAATTTATGTAGGATTTTAAAAAGAAATCCTGGCCCCGGGATCATGAAACATCTTAAGCTTAATTCAAAATCTTTATTTTATTATAAAATTTTGTAAAGGTCAAGAAGACCAAAATTTAAATATTTTTCAATATTGCTTCTCAAAGAGTTGTTATCTGCAAATTTCTAACTAAATTCCTGAATTAATGAATATTTCATAGGTGATTGAAAATTTGATTTAAGTCTAAGTTTGTTTCATGATCCTGGGCCCTGATTTTACTCTACAGTAACAATAAGATCCGTCAATAGCAAGAATTATGAAGTACTTAATATGATAAGAAGAATAGGTAAGGGGTAAGTTTATTAAATAAATTTCCTAGCAGAAATTTATTCATTTGAAGCAGAATTTGTCCAAAATCCTATACCTGAAAAGAAGAACAATTGCTATGCCTTTTAACTCGACACTTAGATATATAGATTACGTATCGTCAATTAACAATAGTAACTTCCATTCTTATGTCTAAACGATATGTCCTGGTGAGCTTGAGATAAAAGATACCACAGAGCCTGACACATTTGTTTCATATTTGGATATTTTTCCTGAAAAAGAAGTTAATGGCATTACTACATATAAGCTCTATGATAAACGTAATGACTTGAACTTTACAATCGTCAACTTTCCTTACTTATGCAGCAATATACTTTCATTACCTGCATACATAGTTTAAATATCTCAGATGATTCGATACGTATGAGCATGCTTTACGTATACAAAATTTCTAAAAAGAAGTAAATTATTGACATAGAAGTTTATGAAACAGGATTATCAACAGTCTTGATCGATACAATGACACTGTCAGCAAATACAATTTATCATTGAGTAAAGTGCTGACTGACGTTTTTCATACTAATTGTTAGTCCATCATTTATGCACCGAATTGACGACACTGCAGGTGTGACCGGTCAGCATGGGATGCTCACTCCTCCACGGCAACTGATCGCACCTCTGATGTTTTGGAGGTCTGTGTTTGCTCTTCTCCTACTTTGTATAGTTTTATTGAGTTTTGATCTTGAATACCGTTCGTTATCTCCATAGTTCATAGCTTTACCTTTACACTTCTGACTCCAACAGAAGGTTTCCTTTAAGCCTTAGGAAGTTCGGGGCATAAAAATTCATTGCAAATGAGTAGACTTCTTCTTGAGATATCCTGTGGGAATAGTGTTTAAAACAGAAAGCTAGACAGCTAAACAAACAGAAGAACAGACAACCGGGAAAACAAAATTTTCATTTTTTAATTTTTTTATTAGTTGTTCCCTGCTGAAAATGGGGGATATTAATTTCCGTCAGCCTGTACGTCTGTCCGTCCATCTGTAGTTCTGTCTGTCTGTAACGCTTTCGTTTCCACGCGATATCTCGAGAACCTTTGAGCTTTTGCGTTGAAATTTAATACAGTAACTCCCTATAACCTTATTGATTTTGAGGTCTGTAATAGATGTAACAACCATGCAGCCACGCTGATTACTAATTTATTATCTCCCCAACCAGGAGAGTTCCACAACATAAAAAATTAGATAATTCGTACAAAAGACAATTCTATTACATCCTCTTTTGTTTAAATAAAAAAATCTAATACACAATCTTATCAGTTAGAATTGAATTTCACAGAACATACATTGCCTGAATTTTTCAAATTCCTTGACCTAACACATTTTTAGTAATTATGCTTATTAAACAGATCAAATATTAAAAGAACAAGTAATGAAACCAATAATACATGTGCCAATTGAGATTTCACATATGTTCATTAAACATCTCAGAAAGCCACAGTAGCATGTGCAACATCACTAAACACAATTTTGGTAGTCAAAATATAATTTTCCAGATACTTCGGTTTCTTTATCTCTCGTCCCGATCTTGTTCTCTGGATCTGTTCACTGTCAACGGTCGGTTTACTTGGAGGGGAAGCAGATTGCTTCGGTACAACGCATGTTTTTGTTATTTCAGTTTTCGGTCGCGCCCACAATGGAATATTCACGGGTGGTATGTCACACTCTTGGGTTGAAATCACATGCGGCTCTTCCTTGGTCTTGAGAAGCATACTGTTGTTTCTACGGTAAAGTCGACCACTTCCTGCCTTCACAACATAAGAACGAGGTTCACCTGACTTTCTGACGAACTCGGCCGGCTTCCATCCATCCGGACTATGAATACGAAGGGTGTCACCGGGCTGACATTCGGCACGCTCTTTTGCCCCATGATCATAGTAAAACTTCTGCTTCTGACGATACTCCATCAGCTTCGATGAAACAGCTTCTGGTTTGATGGTTGTTGGTTTCCTCAGACTATCACTTATGGGGAGTAGCGTTTTTGCTCGTCGACCCATCAATCTCTGCATAGGTGATCCTATCTGCTCATCCCGAGGAGTGTTCCTTAAATCTAAAAGGGCTAGGTACACATCATCTCCTGATTCGCGGCATTTGTTTAGCAAGTTCTTCACTGTTTGCACAGACTTTTCAGCCAGACCATTGGACTGTGCATATAAAGGTGAAGAGGTCACATGTTCAATCCCATAGCTAGCAACAAAAGACTTGAATTCAGCACTAGTGTACTGAGGACCATTGTCGCTGATCAAAGTGTCAATGATGCCATATCTGGCAATGTTTTCTTTCAGGTGCTTGATAACATTCCTTGAAGTGGTGTCATGTTTTAGTGATGCCACTTCGATGAAGTTAGAATAGTAATCCACCATAATTAAGTAGTGAAAGCCATCTAATTCAAACAGATCCGTGGCTACCTTGCTCCATGGTAAGGAAGGTAAGGGGTGTATCATCATAGGCTCCTTCTGGGGTCTGTTTTGATGAAGTAGACATGTGCTGCAACGGCTCACCACGTCCTCTATCTGCTTATTCATTCCAGGCCAATAAACCAGTTCTCTTGCTCGTTGTTTGCATTTCAGCATCCCCATGTGCGAGCTGTGAATAGTTTTCAATGTAGATGGTCTCAGCTCTACTGGAATTACAATGCGTTCTCCTCGGTAAATCACACCATTATATGTTGAGAGTTCATCTCTGAAGTCCCAAAACTGTAAAACCTCTAATGGCGCATCAGCTCTTCTGTCAGGCCATCCGTCACTAATGACCTTCTTCAACATTTGCAGCTGATCATCGCGTTTGGTAGCTTCTGCAATCACATCATGCTTGCTGCTCGTCAATGTATCTGTTTTGAAAACCATCATTTCATCATCCATTGACTGACAAGTATCTTCTAGAGGTAGACGACTAAGACAATCCGCAAGTCCTAGATCTTTTCCTTTCACATAGACAAGACGAAACTCATATGGCTGAAGTTTCAGCATCATCTTCTGAATACGCATCGGTGCAGAAGGTATCGGCTTGCGCATAATAGTTTCTAGAGGTTTGTGATCAGATTCAATTGTTACATCACTTTTGCCATACAGAAGCTTGTGGAATTTTTCGCAGCCAAACACTACCGCAAGCATTTCTTTTTCTATTTGTGCATAACGCTGTTCTGCAGGGGTAAGGGCTCTTGAGGCGTATGCAACAACTCCACTCTGTTGAATAATTGCTGCTCCTAGTCCCTTCATAGACGCATCTACGCTTAGAGTTACCGGTTGATTGGTATCAAAATATCTGAGAACTTTAGTTGAGGAAAGTGCTTTTTTCACATTCTCAAATGACTCCTTTGCTTCGGAAGTCCAATTCCAGTGATCACTAGTCTTAAGAGCTCTGAGAGGTGCATTCAGGTCACTGAGATTTGGAATAAACTTTGCAACATAGGCAAGCATGCCCAGAACCGTTTCCAGCTCTGCATGATTTTCCGGGTCCCTCATCTCTGTTATTGCTCGAACTCGTTCAGGGGTAGGCTTCAGTCCCTCACCAGTCAATAAATGACCCACGTAGTTGACTTCACTCTTAGCTAGAATACATTTGGCTCTGTTCAGTTTCAAGTTGATGGACTTGGCACGTTCAAGTACACTACGCAAACGACTGTTGTGTTCATGTTCATCACGGCCATGTATCAGGATGTCGTCCATAACCACTTCGACTCCATCTATACTCCCAAAGTGGTTGATCATTTCTCGTTGAAATACTTCTGCTGCACACTTGAGGCCCATCGGCATGCGTAAGTAACGATATCGGCCAAAAGGCGTGTTAAACGTAGTAAGAAGTGAACTCTTCTTGGAGAGTTTGATCTGGAAGTATCCCATGTTTGCATCCAATGTAGAAAATATCTGGCTTCCATGTACTCTGGTGACTATATCTTCTATAGTGTTCATAGGGAAATGTTCACGTAGCACTGCTTTGTTCAGATCAGTAGGATCTAAGCATATCCTAACTCGTCCATTCTTCTTGCGGACACATACCATGCTGCTCACCCAACTGGTTGGCTCTGTTACAGGTGCAATGATGTTACACTTCATTAGATGGTCAAGTTCTTTTTTCACATCATCACACATTGCCACTGGTAATGGTCTTGGAGCATGAATAACAGGTTCCACTGAATCATCCACTTTGATGTCATATTCCCCTGGTAAGCAGCCAATACTGTCTCCGACCACATCCGAGTATTCTTGAATAAGCTCATTTGTGGATATACTAACACTGTTCACTGTGTTCACTCGCATAATCAGACCAAAGTGTAGACAGTCAGGTCTCCCTAACAGGCTGATGTGTTTCGGTGTGTCCATAATCTTGAAGGTTACATTTCGCAACATTGTTCCATATTTACAAGGTAATGTTATTTCACCATACACTTTTGTCGGGTTGCCACACACACCATTGATAACTGTGCCACTTTCATGAACTGAAGCAATCGAGGTAAATTGTTGAGCTATTGCCTTGGAAATTATGCTACATCTCGCTCCACTGTCGATTTCCAATTCCAATGGAAACGGTGATCCTTGTATCTCAAAAGTAACAGTCCAATCACCATCAGCACTAGACACTGCATGAACACTTTCAAATGATTCCTCCATAAATGCGGTGTAGCACTGCTGTACCAAGCTCTGATCAAAAATGTCACAGACATCCGGATCTGGTTCCTGACAGGCAGAATAGTGCACACTATGACGTTGTGGGGGTCTGCTAGTTTCATGGCCACGTCCAGATCTCCAACCACGTCCACGGCGTGAATTTCCTCGATTTTGTTGATATTGACGAGAACGTCCTTTACACAGTGGTGATGCTTTAAAGTGTCCTTTTAAGCCACACTCATTACAAGGTTTGTTGAATGCTGGGCACTGTCGAAAAGCATGATGCTTCGTGCACTTTTCACAATAGGGGTACTTTCCTTGATAACCCGATTTCTGCTTTGGCTTGGAGGTGCTAACATAGTTGACTGTCGGATTTTCTGTGAGTGTATCAAGATGAGCTTTCGTGAGTTCCACTTGTCTGCATGTCTGAATAACTTTCTCCAAAGTCAGTTCTGCTGCCGAAATTTCCATAAGTTTTTCTGTACACTTTCTGTCATTCACACCATTTATGATCATGTCACAAATAAATCCTTCACGCTGATCTCCATATTCACAGAACTCTGCCTTTTTCTTAAGTTCAGATATGTAATCCATAATGGTTTTGTTGCCTCGTTTAGTGTTCAGAAATTCCTGTCTTTTAATGTTTCTGTAATTATGTACACCGTAATGTCTGTCAAACTTTCGAAAAACTGTGGTTAAATCATGTTTGTTCTCCGCCGGAACAGCCTGAATACCCGCCTGTTCATCAGCTTCAACTTCCGGTGCCCATGTAAATGAATCGTAAATCTTTATCGCCTCACGTCCCATGTTAGCTAATTAAACCTCCTACCTTGCGTTTTCCCGGTTTATCATCAAGACCAAGCGCGTCAAGATGTATAAAAAATGAACGCTTATAAGCATCCCATTCCTGTGCAGTCGTGTTAGGGTCACTAGGGTTAAATTCTGGCAAAGTTCTAAGAGACTGTGTAGACATGACGTTCCGTTTCTCGTTAAAATAAAGATCCCCAAATGTTCATGGACGTGTTTTCGCTATTATCAAGCGTCGATGGCGTTCTCTTTAGGCGATATCCCCAGCTTTCTGACACCATGTAATAGATGTCACAACCATGCAGCCAAGCTGATTACTAATTTATTATCTCCCCAACAAGGAGAGTTCCACAACATAAAAAATTAGATAATTCGTACAAAAGACAATTGTATTACAAGGTCAAAAGATCAAAGGTCAAGGTCATAAATTAAATGATTTGGTCTATTTTTAACACGTTTGTTTCCGCGCGATATCTTGAGAAACCTTTCAGCTTTTGCAATGATATTCTATACCACACCTCCCTATGGCTTTAAGAAGACCCCTTTTTGAGATCAAAAGGTTTAAGATCAAGGACGTTAATTCATACATTTTGTGTGTGTAAAACTCTCATTTCCGGGTGATATCTCAGGAAGCTTTTTTGAGTTTTTGCAATTTGATTTATACCATTATTCCCTTTTTCCCTTCTATCCTTCTGTCCGTCACTCCGTTCGGCTGTATTTCTGTCTGTCTGTAACACTTTCGTTTCCAAGCGACATCTCTAGAAACCTTTAAACCTTTGCAATTAAATTCTTGATGACAACTTCCACATATATTCTCTGAAATAGATTATTTTTCATTAATTTCAATGAGAATGGGTAACAATAAAGCTGGCCCTGCACATGCTTTTATTACGCCTCTGGAGATTTATGAGGTGATTATTGATATTTCATCCTTTTATTCATTCTGTTTTCAAGAACTCTAGTCAACATCCCTCCAAGCCTTGTCGTTAACTTAATGATACATTTGTTAAATGTTTATGTACATAAAGATAAGACACACACACTGAAAGAAATACCTAGTTGATTTAAGTAATATGTATAGTAAAGGGTTCGTCGTGATTAGTAATCATTCTGTTTACTGGCTACGACAGTGAGTAGAGTGTGTCTCGTGGAGCTGGGGTCATAAAAATATCAGATAATCCAGTGAAAGTTACACATAAATTCTAGATTTACTAATGTTATCTAGTAAATTTACTCAATACCTAATAAATATACTTTTGAGTGGTTTAAAGGACAGTACATACAAATTTACTAGTCTCCTTCGTGACTTTTACCAGTTATTTTTTTTAGTGCAGATTTGATATGATTCTCGCAATCGCTTCAGTTTTTATCCTTGGTGCAGGTAATAATCCATTTTCTTGCTATTTAATCAAATGTTTACGCTGATCAAAATCTGTTTGTAAACTTTGTCGTTAAGTTTTCATATTTTTTTTCTTCTTCTCCTAAACCACAGATTCAATTTTAACCTAACTTACAACAAAGAACCTTTGGGTATGGGGGATTCAAGTTTATGCAAAGGAATGGCCAAACCTTTTTCAGAGGGGAGATGAGTATGAAATAGTGAAAAATAATGGCATCTTTTAAAAATCTTCTTTCATACAGCCACTGGGCCAGGAAATATGAAACTCATTTGGAAGCACCATGTGGTAGTACAGAATCAAATTTGTTCAAATCATGACCCCGAGTATAGAGTGGGTCCCCAAAGGGGGACAAAGTTTAAAATCAAAAATATCTTAAAAAATCTTCTTCTCAAGAACGGCAAATCCACGATTGGTCATAGTTTTATGGAAGCATCCTAAGGTAGTGTACATACAAGTCTGTTTAAATCATGATTTCCTGGCTTAAAGTAGGACCACAATGGGTGATCAAAGTTTTACATTGGGATAGATAGGAAAAGTCTTTAAAATTCTTCACAAGAATTACAAAGCCATGATTGGTCATAAATATATAAAAGCATCAAAAAGGTAATGTATATTTTTTTTTAATTCACGACCAAGTAGGAGAATAAAGGGCACAATAAAGAGAGACATAGTTATACCAAGGAACATAAAAGGTATGTCAATAAAAGAAAAAGGTACGGTTATACAAGCTTCATTGTGTCATTAAACTTTACTGCTTTCAAAAAGTTTTGAAACTGGCTTACACATTAGTAAAGAATATGATTGTTACAAATCAGAAAAAAAACATATGGCATGAAGGAGTACTATTCTGCAAAGATGACGTCATTAATAAGATGCATTTCTCTATTTTTAAGATAAGTAGTCTCAAAATTACTCATTTCAAGGGTTATTTTTCTTGAGAAAATAATCTCCACAGCTGTTGTACACTTTATGGTGTTCAAAACTCTTTGAAAAATCACATATCTCAAAATCTTTGTGAGTGATGCCTTTAGACAATATTAAGTAAAAGAAAATTCCATTAAGAATTGATGTCTTCTACAATTTATTAAGAATAAAACGTGAAAATGCGCAAGTTTATGACATCCCAATTAGCATTGAGAAGGTCATGAAAAAATAATGATTTGTATATTTGTATGATATTTATGCATGAGAGAATAACTATTTGTATGATCTTTATACATGGAATATCAAAGATTCAGAAAACACGAGTTTTAATTTTTTTTTACATTATGTTCATTTAAAAAAAAAAAACAAGGCAGGATCTGTATTGAACCCGTACCTTTTTCATTAATTCAAAAACAACCATAGAAAGGGTAAATTAAAATTCGTTAAAAGCCCCCGAACCACTTTTATATTTAAACTTTTCAATACTGACCTGATTTCTGGGAATTTTTTTTGGTCCGTGTTTATGTCAGGCTTTTAAACACGGACCCCTGGAAATTCAAGAGGATGCAACATGTACCTGGAAGGAGTACGCCTCCCCTGGTGACCGGTTACAACCAACGTGAGCGTTATGAATTGATTAGGTACTTTCCGTTGTCAATTTACAGTGAAAAAAACAAAGGCCTTACAATTGATATGAAACAAGCCAGTCGAAATAGGACCCAAAGAAAGGTTACATTTACTTACAAAGTCATTACAACGACCATACGATTTACGAAATGCTAACTTTAAAGTATCAGTCACATTATCCAGCGATGGGGTATACGATGAGAAACCGATGCGTTTTTTGATGAAAATGGCGTGGTTGCCGACCGGGCACCACTAGTGATCGGACGGTGACTGAGGCCATTTTGCGAATCGGTGGGGTCATCGGTAGGAAATAATTCGTAGTTAAAATTCAGCGATGTCTTTAACGATGCCTCACATCGGTCCTCATCGACAACCCATCGCTTACACATCTTTCAAGGATCGGCCGATGTATGGCCGAGCATCGTCAAGTGTCCGTTGAATCTGAGGTCATCGGGGGGTTGAGTGGTGTTCAACAGATAACGGCCGATCATCGGTCGATGTTCGACCAAACATTGGCCCGATGTACGAATGATGTTCACCAATGTATGAACGATGTAATATACATCGGCCGATTATCCTGGAACATCGTTTTATGATTAGCAATGCATCGCTGGGCCTTTGTATGTCCGGCCGGCAACCACGTCATTTTTATCATAAAACGCATTGGTTGCCTATTGTTTACCCATCGCTGGATAATATGACTGATACTTTAAGGACTACTTGGCCGATGTGGACCGATGTTGGAGCATCGTTAACACCACGGCTTACCACCGATTACCACCGGTCTACGGCTATCGGTCGGGAAATGTGACCTAGGTATAAACGAGGCTGTTGTAATCCCTATAACATCAACCTTTTCTTCAGTAGAATACCTCGCTTTTACAATGGATAATTCTCTGGGCAAGCTCTTTAGTAGCGAATAATTGTCCATAATATCTTTGGTCAGTAAAGCACCAAAATTTAAAAAAGAACTTGGATATATTCAGTCGACTAAAAAAAGTCTTTTTAATTAATATTCCCAGTATACCACAAAACATATTAGAAAAACGTGATGTCTTTGTATACTCAGTAGCATATGAGTCTGATTTTATTTTGCATATTCTTTACATTTAATACATATGCAAATAATTTCCAATAAATCGTTTCTGTCTACCTCTTTTAGATATTTTTCGTATGAAAAGTAAGTAGCCATGTCTCTCTTCTGAAGATACTCACAGCAGTGTAACCTACTTTGAGGCGCCTTGTCAATGTTCTATAAGTCCGTTATCTTTGTATTGCAGTTATGAAATAGTTCCTGTAAGTTAGCGATAAAAGAATTGTTTTCAAACGGAATGATTGCCACTTTCATAATATTAGTACTACTGAATGCAGGTAATATTTTCTTGTGGTTATTTCTGGATGTTAAAAGGGGGTGGTGATTGGAGTGAGTGATTAGTATCACTTAAACTTCATTGATTTTGTTGTTTTCAATTCAAATTCAAATTATTCTTTTATTAAATTCAATTTTTATTTGAAAGATCAGCATGGATTTTTTTTCATTTATTTAAGTCATTTGTTCTCTGTTTATAAGTTACCTTGGTAACTGCCCAGCCTCCTTCCTGTCCCCATGGTTGGATACTCCGTGGATCTTCGTGTTATTTATTTGTTAATGATGACTCTGAAGATTGGATGGTCGCTATGGTTAGGGCACTTTTACGTTACCTCTTCATCTGCATTATAAATTTTTCAAGGTTTAAAGTTGGAAACCTTCTTTATGAATAAAATGCTTTGCAATATTAATTATATAATCTTAATATTGCATGTTGGATGATGGCATCTTTTTTTAAATTCTAAGTTTATTTTATACATATAAATTAAATTATTTTTTATAACGCAAATATTACTGGTCTACGCTAACATTTAATTTGAAGTATTCAAACAATGCTTTTCAAGCTTAAAAACTTTTTTCTTATTTATATTATCAGTCAAATCTTCATATCATTTCTGTTATTTAATACACTCAAAGTATTTTTGCTAAACGTTGTGCAAGGAAACAATATTTAAAAACTCTGGATTTTTTCCCTTTATTTCAATTTCAAAATTCAAGTATTTGTTAGTTGAAAAATAGTTTCTTTGTTCATGATAAAAAAATTCAAAACAAATCATACACACATTGCCAATTCAAAACATAAAATATAAATTTTTCTTTTCAGTCATTTTGCAATACTCTTCAGGCAAAGTTAGTGGAAATTGAATCTGTAGCAGAGGACGAATTTATACGCATGCATTTAATAGACAACAAATTAACAGGTATAATTATACAGAGAGATGTAATAAAACAAATTAAACACCTGTTTTTAAGAATGACTAAACCCATATGTTTTTTTTCTTTCTTGCATTTTTTTATTTGCTCGTTTTCACTAGTTTTGTGTACACGGCATTATAGGATTCTTATTTAGAGAGTTTTTGGATTGGTTAATCTGACACAGAAGCTTTGTGATATAAGATTGTTATTTAGACAGTTTTTGGATTGGTAAATCTGACACAGAAGCTTTGTGATATAAGATTGTTATTTAGACAGTTTTTGGATTGGTTAATCTGACACAGAAGCTTTGTGATATAAGATTGCTATTTAGACAGTTTTTGGATTGGTTAATCTGACACAGAAGCTTTGTGATATAAGATTGTTATTAAGGCAGTTTTGGATTGGTTAATCTGACACAGAAGCTTTGTGATATACATGTAAGATTGTTATTTAGACAGTTTTTGGATTGGTTAATCTGACACAGAAGCTTTGTGATATAAGATTGTTATTTAGACAGTTTTTGGATTGGTTAATCTGACACAGAAGATTTGTGATATAAGATTGTTATTAAGGCAGTTTTGGATTGGTTAATCTGACACAGAAGCTTTTTGATATAGGATTGTTATAAAGGCAGTTTTTGGATTGGTTGATATGACACAGAAGCTTTGTGATATAGGATTGTTATAAAGGCAGTTTTTGGATTGGTTAATCTGACACAGAAGCTTTGTGATATAGGATTGTTATAAAGGCAGTTTTTGGATTGGTTAATCTGACACAGAAGCTTTGTGATATAAGACTGTTATTAGGCAGTTTTTGAATTAGTTTATCTGACACAGAAGCTTTGTGATATAAGATTGTTATTAAGGCAGTTTTTGGATTGGTTAATCTGACACAAAAGTTTCGGATTAGACGATTCTTATCGAGCAGTGATTGGACTGGTTTATCCTACATACAAGCTTTGTTGTATTAGATTCTTATTCCAGCAATTACGTTACTTGAGAGGTTTATCCTATATTTAAGCTTTGTAATATAAGATTCTACTTTAGGCAGTTATTTGATAGGGTTAATCGACATTCAAGCTTTGTAATATAAGATTCTTATTCAGGCAGTTACTGGAAAGATTTATCCGACATTCAGGCTTTGTAATTTAAGATTCTTACAAAGCAGTTACTGAATAGGTTTAACCGATATTCAAGCTTTATAATATAAGATTCTTATTCAGGCAGTTAAGGATAGGTTTACCGACATTCAAGCTTTGTAATATAAGATTCTTATTTAGGCAGCTATTGGATTGGTTTATCTGACATCCAAGCTGAGGGAGAATGGGTATGGACGACTTCTCAGAAAACCCCCACCTACAGCAACTGGTACCCTGGCCAGCCCGACAATGCCGTCCATCGCGAGGATTGTGCAAATATTTATGCACACTTTGGACTACACTGGAACGACTCTGTCTGCAATTCACCCCAGCACTTTATTTGTGAGAAAGAGTAAGCATATTTATTCCCGATATTTCACCAAACACGCTCTATTTACATAGAATTAAACCTTTAAAATCTCAAGTATATTTTTCTGGTCATATTTGTCCTAAGTCTGTTTGGCTGTCCGTCTGTCTGTGTACTTTTCCATCTCTTGGGACTTCTTTTCTAGAACAATTTAGCTAATTCAAATTAAACTTGAACAGGCAATTTATTAAGAATCTTGTAAAACTTTTATTTAAAATAAAAAAAATACTGGATCGCCATTTTCGCAAGCTATGGTTGACAATCCACTTCTCTTCTCTTTTCACTCTTTGCATAATTGTGCCTCTAACAAAAGTCCTTCTCAATCTACCAAGAGTGAAAAGAGAATTGAAGGAAATCGCCGACATCGGTTGTTGAAGATGCTGGCCAGAAAAGGTGTACATATATATATTAAGAAGCTTCAATACATCGTTTAGATTAACTTTTATTTTAAATCTAAATCTACCAATACAAATCGTTCAAATTTGATTAAATCTATAAATATATTCTTGTTATGAACAGAAAAAGCATTATTAGCAATATTTGCTATAATGCAGAAATGACATTTTATTGCACAAAGTTTTCATTGTAATTTTTTTTTACTCCGAGTAAATATACTTCCGTCCCGTGCATTTTACATGAAATTTTGACCCCCCGCCCCTTCTAATAGGGTCAGATATTTTTATTTTATATAAACATGAATAATCATTATATTGATGTTTTTTTTTTATATTTTCAAATAAAAATTGCATTGCATTCCTTTTCCCTAGGATACTGTTATATGGAAACTATAAATTTGAAAATGCACTATCTGAAGCGGAGGCTGAGATTTATGGAGATAGCGAATAAATTCAATCTCAGGCCTAAAAACAATACAAAATAGGAGCAGAGCAAATAGGAAGGAATGAGCATCCTCTGGCGACCGGTCACACCCGCCGTAAATGAATAAAAAGATGACCGCTTGTGTTTTCTATAAATAAGAGGAATGGGGCTTCAACCTTTGTTTAAAGTTTTGAAATGAGAAAGATGGTGAAAATCTTCTGTTTAAGAAAATCAGGACCATAGTTATTTAGGTGAGCGTTGTGACCCCTTCTGTTTTTATTTTCTTCATTCTGGTTTTTAATTTTGTTTAAAAAATTATAAAATGTTTGTATCTAAACGTAAACCTTTAATACTAGATCACTGTTCTGGTTTTGTGTTATAAAAACAAACACGTAAGTAGTAAAAAGATTTGTGTATTTTTCTGTTTTCAGTTCGAGTGGATCAATTGAGGTCATAGGTTGATTTTGAAGTGTATGCTACATATAATTGAAAGTAAATTAAAAGTTAAAAGAAAGCAATTTTCTTGCCCTTTATTACCATCGACTGTCTCCAGAATACAATTAACTCAACATTCTAATGATGTAATTGTTAATGCGTGTTGCATATACACAAAAAAGAATCTCAATTATTTTTTCAGTACGACTTGTGCAGGGGTTTTATGAATGTACATGTATGAATGTATTTATTCTGAGTTCATTCATTGCTGAAATAAAGGCCTTAATAAATAAATAAAACGTTTCCTATGAACATGTTGTAAAAAAAATATACTTACGCATTTTTAAAAACTGAAAAAAATTCACAAGATAAAGATAACTTTGATGAAACATATGGAAATATCAAACAGTATTCAAGATCAAAAGTCCATAAAACAATACTGAAAATGTCTCATTGATTTTGGATGTCATAAAATAATTCAAAGATCGTCTTTAAGTTCAAGCTTAAAAAGCTTTGAAACTCCCCGCTTCTGTAAAATTTTCAATAAGAAAGCTTCCAAAACGATTAACCGACCACTTTATTGTATGTTTGCTTCTCAAAAACCTTGTATCCTCTAACTTATGCACTTGCAAGCAGTTTCCTCTGTCATTTGTTGTGTTCAATGAAACATATGGAGATAACAAAAAGTACTGAAGTCCATAAAACAATACAAAATAGGAGCAGAGCAAATACGCAATTCCAAAACATCAGAGCTGGGATCAAGCGCAATGGAGGAGTGACATCCGACCGGTTGTAAAGAAGAATAATGACCCTAATCGAAGAACGACCGGGGTCATTATTCGACGTCGAAGATAAAAAGATCTATTGGCCAAAATGCTCACCTGACCTAAATTGTGAATAAATTGGGGATGTGTTGATCTCATAACATTATACAATTATTGCTATTTTAGGGTTGATAAGTTACATTGTAATGATTAAGAAACTAAAGGAGTTAAAAAGATTTATCTAGCCTAAAGGGTTAGGTGAAAAGGGTTCGATAGTGGAAAATTATTGTACTGCCAGAAAAACCCAGCAGTATTATATATTATTAGTCCTCTACCGGTGAAACAGGAGGGAACTATATGTTTCCTCTGCGTCTTTCCGTCCATCAGTCTGTCTGTCCCACTTGGTTTTCTACACTTTTGCAGATATTGAGCTGATTTTTGGTATTTGTGTGTAACTTGATGAGGTTCATATCAAGTTTACAATTTGTTTCACTTAAATGATTTTTAAGTAAAATTACAGCTTTTTTAAATATCTTAATCGAACCAGAATACACTTGCCGGTAGGGGGCTAGTATTGCTAATGCTATACTCTCAGAATGCGAGTGTGTGATCGGGATGTCCGTCTGTCTGTTACGCTTTGGGGTACCCATCTCTTATCCACAACTCCTCTTATACCAATGAATAAATTTAATGACACTTTCACAAATTCTTTGTTACATAGCGCCATTGTGCACCACATATTTTACTGTTTGATCGGACACATATTTTGGGTTTCCGATGACAGAGCATGGACACTACTATTCTTTCTATAATATTGAAGAAAATCCATCTGTTATCCACAACTCCTTCTATAACAATGAATAAAGAAGATGGGGGGGGGGGGGGGTGAGTGCCTCTAATGCGACAAACATGATGTAAAAATATGAATATCAATTACTTCAATTTTTTTTTTGACATTTCATCTCACAATAAAGTATACTTAATGTAAAATCTCAGTAATTTACCAAAATCTCACAAAAAGACTGAAATTATTTGCTTATTAAATACATGTAGCATTTACAAACTAAAGAGGAAAAAAAGATCATTTGTCATACATTAACAAACTTTTTCGATATGAATGGGTCTTCACTCATTTTTTTTTTAAAGATAATCCTAAAGATTTTGCAATAAAATGTACATTTTTTGTTTACAAAACATGGTGCAATGACCCACTATACCTTAATAGTACACTTTTATAACAAAACATTTGCATCTTTACGAGAATACTTGAAGTCTGTTTAGTCAAGAGTCATATCACAAACATGATTTAAATGCCACAACTCATCATGAGCTATATAACGTAGTGGTCAGCGTACGGATTTTTTATTGCTAGGGTTCGAATCCCAATATTTCAATATTTTTTTAAAAGATTTTTTTTTGAGAAATGTTTGGTTTATCATGATTTCATAAATTTTACTACCTAAATTTGCCACCTATTTTACTTCTTTGTCTTATTCATTTTGTCTGATTTTATCTTATATATTATTTATTTTGGGTCTCCAAAAGAAAAATATAAAACATGAACTTTGGCATTTTAATCATATGTGAGGCGAAATATATATAACAAGATGTGTTTATGAAACACTGATGCCCTATAGCAACAAAGCGAGGATTAAACTTTTTCTTAAATGCAAATTTAATATATTGGTACCCAAAGTACGGCCATCTCACAGAAAATTCAATTGTAGAATAGGAAAGCCCTAGCACCACATGTTCAAAAGTAATGGCAAAGGATTAGTTTTTTAAAAGGTAGGTCAGACTCAAAGTTCAAAGGGTCAAAGTTATTGGTATCCAATGAAAGGTCTTACGAAAAAGAATACATATGTGAAGTATGAGAGTACTGAAATCTGACGTTCAAAATTTATGGCCAAAGTAAAAATTTATGGCGAGGGCTGAATTTTCTCAAATGCAAGTTAAACTCCAACTGTCCAGGTCAAAAGGTTAAAATTTTTGATACCCAAAGGAATATTTGTCACAAGGAATACACATGTGAAAGATGAAAGCCGTGGTTCTAACTACTCAAATGTCATAAGCAAGGTTAATTTCTTTGCGGACAAACAGCTAAAAAGACAGGCAGGCACACAGGGCAAAATCTTTATACACTCGAATCTTTGATTACGGGGCTAAAGAATTGGCCTTTGATAACAATGCACCAAATTCATAAATTTCATCTCCAGCGCCATGATGCGTTTGATCCATGTACCATCTTTGATTTTCTCGTTTGTTCCTTTTAAAAGAGAAATGAAGATTAATTGATTAATTGTCAATATTTTATTACTGATTTGTTAATATTTCGGCAGAGAGAAATGAGGAACTTCATTACCCCCTGAGAGCTAAGAAGAACAAAGATCAAATATATTCGAACAAATGCACTTTTCAATGGGGATCAATTTGTTATAGGATTAAGATATAAAATAATGACCCCTAGGACTCTTTTCCTACAAAAAATAAAATTTTCTACGGGAAGGGGGAAGTGTCAATTTTGTCGTTTGAAAAATGACACCCCAGGTCATTAATCGATGGGGATCATTATTCGTCTTTACACCGGTCACATCCGCCGTAAATGAATGAAAATTATTAATGCCCGCTTGTGTTTTCTATAAATAAGTGAGTGGGGCTTTAACCTGCGTTAAAATTTTACAATTAGAAAGATGGTGAAAATCTACTGTTTAAGAACATCAGGGCCGTAGTTATTCTAGTTTTTAATTTTGTTATATAGATTATAAAATGTGTATGTTTTAACGTACACCTTTAATACTAGATCACTGTTCCGGTCTCGTCAATGTCATCGTCAATGCAGAGTATAAATAATGGACGAACAATAACAGAATGAAAAAAGTCAGTCAGCATTTGACTCAATGATAAACTGTATTTGCTCAAAAGGTCATTGCATCGACCATAGAATTTAAGAAATAATGACTTTAAACGAGACTGCTGATATTTTTATTTCACCAACTTGTTTGTTAATAATTTACCTCGTTTTAGGAATTGTTCATGCGTAGAGCATGCTCTTGCATATCGAATCAACTGATATATATAAATTTAATATGCAGGTGATGAAGGTATATTGCTTCATAAGTAAGGGAAGTGTTGACGATAGAAAAGTTAGTCATCACGTGTATCAACTGTTATCAATAACAAAGAGATAAAAAACAAATATTCGAACAACATGACGTCAATCCTTGATTATCAAAGGAAATTAAAAATGTAACAGAGATTGGAATGACAGTGAATCGTCTATTGTCTAATGTTTATACTATTGGTCGAAATATTAAATTCCTACGATTGTGATTATTTTTTTTGAATCGGACAAGAAATGAAATCTTCGCCAGGACGGATATCTTCTGGCCTAAATACTGAACTCATTAAAGATCGACGTCAAGATAGATAAGAACAGTTGCTACAATTCATCTATCAAATTCGACAATGTTTCCAATCGCCATCCCGATCATTATTATCAGTTCAGGTAAATGCTAATACTTCCTATAACAAAGGCATCTCAGCTATTGCGTTTGAAGTTTTGTTTTATATATAAATGGATCTCGTAAATTAATTTACCTAGTGCAGGTTTTTTGACATCATTAACAGCTGCCTTTTCAATAAAAATTGAACTCGTTTATTTACTTACCTGTCATTATCCGTTCGCAAAATTATATTTTTAAAGCATTCTAATGGTACGTACAAGTACTCTGAAGTTGATTAAAAAAAGATAATTGAGTTTCTGATTAACAATATTTAGTTGATTTTTTGAGACCAGGGGCCCGTTCCACAAAAGAACTACGACTAAGACCAAAATTTCATTCTGAATATAACTTTCTAATATAAAATCAAGTCATCATTTCGTAAGATCTTTTGTCGATGCAACGTCCTCATCAGCAAATACAATCTACCATTAAGTCAAATGCTTTCGGACATTTTTTTATACAAATTGTTGGACCATTATTTTCATACTGAATTGACAACTGATTTTCCGTTATTTCCCGATTATGACAAAGAGCACACGGGGGATGTGACCGGATTGCAGAGGATGCTCACTCCTCCATGACACCTGATCCCGCCTGCCTTTTTGGCTGTATGTCCGCTGATGTTTAAAAGGTCTGCATTTGCTCTAATCTGTGTATTGTTTGGTGGACTTTTGAGCTCGAATACTGTACATTATCTATATAAATTTCATTTTCTTTCAACACGTTCAATGCACAAGAAGTTCGACATTTTGATAATATTTTTTGAATTGTTAATTTGATGTTGATTACAGTTTCTCTCTCCTTTGCTGAACTTCCGTCTTGTTCCCACGGTTGGATACGCAATGGGTCTTCCTGTTACACCTTCATCAGTGACGTACAAATGGACTGGGCGGAAGCAATGGTCAGTTAGATTTTTTTTTCTTTTTATACCTAAATACGTACATGAAGAAACCAAGGACGATCAACGAAAGCTGAAAAGCTTGTTTCCAATTAGGACCTTTGCTTGGTATTTGCGTGAGGAATTTATATTATTTTCCGGAAGTCGAGTGCCCCCCAAAAAACCATATGACAGAAATGACAACCAGCTAACATTTTCACTTAAGACCAATGCCGATCACTAGGATCGAAATCGTATCGTAGCCTCGATAATCTTTAAGTGAAATAACTGTAAATATTTGTTTTGATTTATGACAGATGCGGTGGGATTCTTTTCCTTTATTGATATTCCAATTAAAATTAATCGAATTTTTTCTCCCTGATATTTCAGTTATTCTGTAAATCACTTAAAGCAAACCTTGTTGAAATAGAAACGGAGAGCGAAAATGAGTACCTTCGTCAACATTTACTGGGAATTGGGTCAAAAGGTAAGTATTTCCCACTCATGAAATGTTTACACTTTCATAAAATTCAAGAGAAAGACATAACATTTGAGTATAACGAACAGTTTCAAGCTCATAGTCCACTGAAGCAATACAAATCAGGAGCAGAACAAACTCGGACGTCTAAAGTACAAAGCTAGAATCAGGTTCCATAGAGGTGTGAACATCCCCTTCTGACCCGTCACATTTGTCTTGATCGGGGAAATAACGGATAATTCTGTCGAGAATTTAGTGTGTCAGTGACGGCCTAAAAATTAGTATGAAAAATGTTTATCTGCATTTGATTAAATGTTAGATTGTATTTGCCGACATTGTTTCGACTATAGAACTTAAATTGCGAAATGGTTACTTTAACGAGACTGTTGATAACATTCTTACAGCAAATTGTTTGTTAATAACTTACTATGTTTTAGAACATAGTAAGTTACTTACTATGTTTTAGAAACTCTTCGTACTTAACGCATACTATTGCAATGCTAGGATACCATAAACACTGTTTTAGAAGTAAAATCAACCATTAAAAATAGTTTAAGGATTTGCTTCGTCTCGCCAAAAATTGTTTTTACCCTTATTTCACATGGAATGGAATACATTGTTTAAATTAGTTTTGGATATTTTTACAGGGGAAAATAAACGTTTGAACCTGAATGAATGTTCAAGTTTTTCTTTTCTTTATTATTTCTAACTTTCATTGTACCTGTATTTCGACAAAGTGATTTATTGCTTGATGCTTCCAAAATGAGGGAAAAATCTAAGCAACTTCCTCAGTTCTGTTTTTAGAGCGCAGTGTGTGTTAAGCTTACATTTTGTATCGTTAAATTTTACTTTTGAGCTTGATAATTTAATCTAAGCTTCACATATCCTAAGAATAAAGAAATTTTCAATTTTATAGGTGTTTGAAAATATAAATCATCAATTCTCGGAGAATTGCATTTCTGTCCGCCATGTAACAAAATGTTAACTAAATGTCCAAAACTCCGGGGAACACAATCGTAACACCATATTTTTTTTTCATTTTAGGTAATTTTTGGATCGGTCTGAATGATATCTTAGTAGAAGGGGAATGGGTGTGGATGTCTACCCAACAAACGCCCTCGTATACAGATTGGGCCCCCGGACAACCAGACAACTATCAACAACATGAAGACTGTGCATTTCTCTGGCAGGCTACCACACTGCACTGGGACGATGTAGACTGTTCTACTAAATTCAGTTTCATCTGTGAGAAAACGTGGGTTTGAATTTACTAGTGTTATTATAATTTTTGTCATTAATTTTCGTATGTCTATTTTAATGTCTGTTATAGTATATTTTAACATGAAATGGCTATTGAATGTATCTCTTAAGATAAACAAATTGATATACAATTTGGACAAAAGGGAAGATTGATTTTATTAATTAATTTTAAGTTAAATGCTGTATTTTATTTTAGATTTACTGACCATGGTATTGAGATATTCGGCTAGCATATCTGCCTTACATTGTAACTTTCTATGACGAATAAATAAAAAAGAAAATAAATAGTTTCTTATTTAAAGATCATCTGGTTTAGCTCCAAATTTAGATATGTGTCCCAAAAATATCTTCACTTATCTATTTTTATTAATAAGATGTACCAAAATAAAATCTTTATGACTTCTTTTGACATTGAGTTGGTAATTACAATATATATTGGGAAAACTTAAAAATGTTAACGACAGTCATCTGACCTGAACAGTGGAAATAAAAAACTTGCGTATACATGCTTGTATTTGGAATTTTTTTTTTTATCTAATGAAAGAATATATATATATATATTTTCCCGTAATATTCATGCATGGATTTGCTAACCATCTTTTTTATTATTTTGAAACAAAAATTAAAGGTATTTACATATTTCTTGAACAACCTACGTACATGTCATACATGTAACTGTCCTTCATTCAAGCTTGTTGAATCTATGTAAGTAAAGGACGATTAAGAAATCTTGATATGAAGGTAAAAACAGATTTCAAATTTATTATAAACATAAAATCGATCATCTAATGACAATGAGAGAGAGAGGGGGGATACTTCTGTTAGTTTATGAAAGAAAACCCTTTTTATAACATTTTTTTATTTCAAGACTCGAAGACATTTTCAAGGACGCACTAGTGTTTACATGGTCATCCGATTATAGTACCTCCTTCGTCTATCCTACAAATAAGAATGATTATAAGAAAAGTTAATATATAAATATACATTATTTTTTCATCTAAAATGAAAAATAGACGATAAATAGGCACATACTATTTTTTGATATAAATAAAACAAATTTATTCAACAAATTATGATTTCTTTCAATAACTAACATATTTGATGAGTCTCAAACAAGTTTTCTATTGTTTTTGCTAAAACATCAACATAAAATACTGGAGATAAAATTAGAAATTTTATCGAAACTATATTTGAATGTTATTTTTTGGGTATATGCATCACATATACATTATATATATAACAAAGACACATTGTTATTCAAACGAGAAAACCTTGAGTTCATCCTTATGTTTTAAAACCGTCAATATTTATATGAATAACTTACGAAGAAATAGTAAATTGATTATTGTTTTTTGGATTATATACTAGTAAAAGATAATGAATTGAACCAATGGAGATTCTGTACTCACTCTCTCTCGCAAATGAAGTAATGTGAGTTATCACACTGGTCATCGTTCCAGTGGTAGTGTTTGGAATGTGATAACAGAACACAGTCCTCATTGTGACCATTGTCTGGCTGTCCAGGAGCCCAGTCAGAAAACGACACGGTATTTCCTGAAGGCAACCACTCCCAGTTACCCTCCGATGAATCATCGGTCAACCCAATCCAGAAATCAGCTGCAGAAATAAATATAAACAAATAAATTTACTATTTCACTAAGCTTTTTTAATCGAAATTAATCGAAAAAAGGTAGACTTCATTGAAATATTTTTTTTCGTTTTTCCTGCTGAAGTGTAGCGATTAACATAAAAAATAATACAGTAGTTTGAGGAAACAGTTTATTTGATTTGATGAAATGTCGTGTCAACATATTTCTAAATGCAAAGGAATGATTCCTTAAGGTATTCAATCCCTTATAGGAACAAATTCAATGAAATTGAATACATAACAGATATGTAGGCAGTGAATATTCAGTTTATTTAGACATAATTCCCATTTATTACTATAAGTATGTATAGTGGGATGTGTCCTAATTTATGACCTTGAATTTTGGTAAGAATTATCTCCTCCTTTTTGTAATAAATATAAAAATTAATTTTAAGAATTTTAGCCGTTAAAAAATTGCTTTCAAATATCATTATATTTCTAATGTTTCAATACATCTTTCCACCGCAGTATTTATCGATATTCAAATTATTTGAATTTTTTTTATTTTGAAAAAACGCTTTTCCCCATAGACTTCAATGCAATCTTTGTTAATTAACTACTGCTTAATTAATGAAATTTTTAAAACTTTCTCGCGGGCAATCCTTTTCCACCATAAAATGCTTTAATTAAATATCAAGAGTATTATATGCTTGGTGGGCATTTAAGTGTGGAGAATTCGGTCCTATTAGGGATGGAAATCCTTAAGAATAAATAACACAGATAAAACTTTTTATTCCAAAATGCAGGTATCTTTTATAAAATTAATGAAGTTGTCTTGTTTAAAAGTTTCTTTGGACATTTTCGTGAATGCATTTTAACATTTCATACATTATTCTTAACTACATTTTAATTGAACGAATATTGTGAAAAAAAAAAAAAACACCACTTTTACTCTTGTATATTTGAGATTACAAAACTTATTTATGATATGTATTCTTAAACATGATACGCAAATAAAAAAAAAATAATTAAAGAAAGGAAATGTTGCACGTTATGTATATACTTACAGTGAATGCCCATGTCTATTGAATGCTTTCTGAGGAAGTCATTCTCTGTTGAGGAGTCTACTTCTACTAGTGAAGCACTGTGAAGACTGCAGTGATACTAATGAGAAACTTTATGAGGAAATCGTCGTTTAAAGATGAGTATACAATGATTTAAAGAATAATTTCTATGCTTTGTGGTTCGAATTTTAATTTTGCAGTAAGTGAGTCATAACTTAAATTTTGTCTGGTAAAACGGTAAGCTTACGGGTGATTTATTTGTGTCCAGCTAGGAATATTCAAGGATAGACATTTTCCTAACATTTTAAAACATTTTTCTTAGAATAAATCCATTACTTTATCCAAAAGAGACTCTTAGATTTATATTTATCTTATTGCTTTTACGTGTTGTGTTATACAAAATATTTAATAACAATGGGTAGAAAAGTAACGTTTCTACGTTATAAAAATGTATACAAATATTTCTATGAATATGATAACATTTGATATGAGAAATAATAATTAAAGTCTAATGTAATACGTTAAAAGAAAAGAATAAAAGAATATGGTCCAATGTTAAGAAAAACAAAGGATTCAACAATTCCTGAAAAAATGTCACTTCATAAATGCTGTAGTTCTCTTAATAATTTAAAATTAATTTACGGTCTACCGAGGTCATACCGAAGCAGAGGTCCAATGCTCTTTTGAGGAAGTCACAAAAGAATAACATGTCGAATCGTTTTGTATCCAACCAGGCGGACAAGGGGCTGCAGATACGGCGGCAACTTCAATTTAAAAAAAAGATCCCAATGAATACCATATTCCTCCGCAGATATATCTTTAAAAATGTTAAACATGACCAAATAAACATGTTACCTTCACACATCAATAATAGTAGAAATAAATTCATGTTTGTTTAATGTGAGTGTAAAGATAACTGATAAACTCTTCAGTACGTGAGAAATCCCGACTTTTATAGAAGATAAAACCATATCAATATTCAGGAGTGGATCCATGATTTTTTTTGGGTCGCCCTCATAATTTAAATAATTTTCAAGATTTGAAATACAGTAAGAAAACTTCAAATAAAAGTTTATTCAAATTTAGATTTTTTCAAATTGTTTGCTTTCCTTATTTTATGCAGTCATATTCCATTACTACTTGTACTGCATGAAATATATGGAGATAAGAACAGTATTCAAGATCAAAAGTCCATAAAAGAATACAAAATAGGAGCAAAGCGAAAAATCGGAGGTGGGATCAGGTGCCATGGAGGAGTGAGCATCCCCTGCTGGCTGGTCACACCCGCCGTGTGTTTCTTGTCATGATTAGGAAATGACGGAAAAGCCCGTCGTCAATTTAGTGTAACAATGGACTAACAATTAGTATGAAAAACGTCAGTCAGCATTTGACTCAATGATAAATTGTATTTGCTGACAAGGGCGTTGTTTCGACCATAGAATTTTCGAAATGATGACTTTAAACGAAACTGTTGAAATTCTTGTTTCATCAACTTGTTTGTCAATGATTTACCTCGTTTTAGAAATTGTTCATACGTAGAGCATGCTCTTGCATATCGAATCACCTGAGATATATATACTCCATATGAGATGATGAAGGTATATTCCTGCATAAATAAAGGAAGTTGACGATAGAAAAGTACTGTCAAAGTCGTTACGTTTATCAAAGATTTTGGTTGTTGGATTACCATTAACGCAATTTTCAAGTAAAATATCCAAATATGAAAGAGACGTGTCAGATTCTGCTGTATCTTTTATCTCAAACTTACCAGGATATATCGTGTCAACATAAAAATGGAAATTACCACTGTTAATTTACAATACGTCGTCGATATATCTAAATGTCGAGATGAAGGCTACAGCAAGGGATGAAGGTATTTTGCTGTATCTGACAAAATAAGAGCAGAGCAAATGCGGACCATCAAAATATCAGAGGTGGAATCAGGTGCCATGGAGGAGAGAGTATCCCCTTCTGTCCGGGCACTCCCCCGGTGTGCTCTTTGTCGTCATCATAATTGAAGTCTAAATCATGTAATTTGTACAAATATTCTTTCATGATTGCTTCCAAACTTTTTATTTACAAACAAACGTAAAACTGTTTTGCAGCTGTTTTATATCTAGATATACACCATATTCATTAAGATCGTATTAAATTTTCATGTTCCTTCTCCTAACAATTCTAGTGGTCAGGTCTTACTGGCGATATGAATGTACCCGGCAGATGATATTTAAGACCTTGGATCACTTTCACTGTTTAAAGAGGCAAACATTAGGGAATTCAGATGCAATAATTGGCAATAGCATTTTATAGCTGTAATGCATTCTGTTGATTCTCCTCTAAAGAAATTTACAGTATTGAGACAAGAAGGAAATTCTGTGCAAACTTTCGGTAAAGATTAAGTTTCTTCATCAATATGTGTAATATTTTTTTTTTGTGTATCAAAAAATCTTTTTTTTTAAAGTATGGCTTTGTAAAAGTTAAATAATTGTTTCGATTTTTTTAAAGTTTAGCTTATAGTGGGGTATAATGAATTTATCATCATAACAATATCTTGATCTGAAGAGCCGCATCATGTCAAGTTGACAGATGCGAACGTTCGGATCAAAATTGATGTTTTGTATAGTTTTATCAATAATGATAACACATAGTCTTTTTTATTATTCTTTTTTTTAAAAATCTTTTTGAATAATATTTTTCCTTTACATGCTTTGCCAAAAAAAAATTTATATATTTGTATATTATAATTTCAAAGACATGTGACTAATACTAAAATATTTGAAATAAATACATTGTAACACATTCTTCACATATTTCATGTATATGTATACTTATATGAAATACAGTGAAACTCGTATAATCAGGATGTTGTGTTATCCGACACCCTGTCCAATACGTCCCTTGCAATAAATTCTATTGTTTTAAATACTGTTTAATCAGGAATGTTGCCGAATCCGGCTCTTTTCTTTGGAACCAGTGATATTTAATTATTAAATGATTAGACCATTTTTACTGAATGTTCAATTCACATTACTTTCCAGTTGTTAGAATCAGAAAGAGGAAGAGTGTTACAACAATGTACAGGCTACAGAGCATAAGCATGAGTCGATCGATAGTTCTCGACACCATCTTCCATGTGACATCAACGTGTTTAACATTCTCTGTTCCATCATTGGTGGACATTGTGTTTTCATAGTTACTTACGCGATGAATTTTTCGAGCCGTTTGTCTTCGTCCACACTGGCGTATTATTCTAGCTAATATTCTTGGTACTCTTTCTTCGGCCGGGTCTTTATAGTAGGCAGAAAGTCCAAAAATAACAGTGAAGCAGACGAATGAGCCAGTTATCAAATCACTCAGAACGAAATAGGACAGGATTGATATTGGACTAGACGTCTTTGGAAGATTGTCTCCAACTATTGTCAAAAATACAGCTATCGAGAGAAGGACTGTAATAGAGTATGATAAGCGTTCTCCGCTCTCTATTGGGACAAAAAATACTAAAACATACAGGATCTCCAACAACTTCATTGGAATTACAATGTTCATAATAGCGAATGCAGGACGTCGCTTCAATTTTAAGTCAATACTTATGTAAGACAGATCGCCATTCAGGTGTGTGGACAATGCTGCATGAATCACATCCCATGTGCCATGACGGTTAAAATAATTCATATTGATGGTAGGGTCGGGAGCTTTTATTCGTATAGCAGAAGAGGGGGAACCCCAGCACATTAATTCTATAGGACAGAATTGAATATCAAAAGGGTAGTTTGCTACATCTACAGCACAGGTGCCAGAAATGACTTCAACAGGTAACCACAAGGCCGTACCATTATAAAGGTATGTAATCGGAAGGTTTCCCATACCAAGGCTAGCAAATCTTTCAAAGGGACTGACTACCATAAGCCCAGGTTTCCAAACTTTCTTTTCTGGAATTTCTACTGAAAGAAAGTTTTTGTAGACGGAAACATCCCATGTTAAACGTAAATCATACCACGTGATACTGAAGGTACCAACCACAGAAAATTTCCCTGTCATCTCATCCAGTTCTTTTATTCCAACAGGAAAAAAGGACACATTTACATCGACGGGAAATTCTGGTGCTATCAACGGGCGAATATCTTTGTTGTAGTCAGACAGTAAACGGTCGTACAAACTTTCCAGTTGTGTGAAATTGGATGATAAACTTCTGGCAATACACAAAAAATAAATCACAAATTTTACCAGGAGCATGATTTCAGCTGGTGTTAATTCGGTGACGTTTGAGTTAATATAAGTTTTATTTTCTTGTGTATGAATATTGCATTGGGATTAATAACTGAACTAAAATGCTTTAATTTTAAAATATCCATTTAATTTGCGAAGTGCTTTAATTAAAGGACATGATTACATCTTGAACTGCATTACTGTTTACTTTCCAAAAAATACGCATAGAGCTCATAGAGCCATATAAATAAAAGTGTGAGAAATCTACACGTTTCAGTAATAAATTGATTTGAGCAATCAATATTTTATTTAGGATTGAAAGGAAACAATTCAAAAGGATTTTAATAATAAGAAAAATATATGTATATTTCGAAAAATCTTTAAATTACTTTTTAAAAAATTATTAATATCTTGGTCAAATAGTGCGTACGTATTAGTACACCGGTAATATTTTCTTCTTTTTGAAAATAATTATGTTTGAAAAGAAGTGTAAATTTGATTCCATAAATTGACCACTTTTATTAAAATCACACTTCTTAAATCCGCATCATATACATTCTGCAGAGTATATACGGCGTGGATCTAAGAAGGATTGTAAAAATGACAATAAAGTGAAATATACACCAGGCATGGAGAGAACTAAAAACGATATTTTGTAATAATGATTAATTAAAATCAATTAATATTATTCACAAACATTTGAATCCTATATTAATCAACATCAGGGAGATACGAGGGCTCTTCAATAAATAATGACCTGAGCTCTATGACAAAATACAAAATAGAAATCATATGACACTAAGCTTGACTTTCTTTCACTATTGAATCTTTAATGAATTCATTACAGTTTATGTGACCACTTTTCACCACAATGTTTCACGGTGAGAATTTGGAAAACAAGGGCTATTCGAGACACTGCATTAGAAATGAATGGTAAAGATCAGTAAACTAGAGTGAAATTAAACGCTTCATAAAAGCTGATGTTAAACACGTTAGGAATCCCAAAGAAATATTTACTGAAATATGTGAAATTTACAGCAGCCAATGTTTGTTTTATAGACATAACAGCAGGTGGATTTCAATGAACAAAATCGATATAATGGGCATAAAAAAAATTGTACCGTCCTTGTCGACAAATACTTACAACAACCAATGTAGCTATTGCTTACTAAGGGTATTCATACTTACTGCTAAGCCATTATGGGCAAAGAATTCTCTTCTTTTTCCCCTTATCATGACGAGGAACAACGGTGGTTGTGACCGGTCTAAATAGTAGGCAGGGTTTGACACATAGTGCACTCGCCTCCGGCTCGTGCAATGTGTGATGCCTACTATTTAGGTCAGAGAATATCACTTCTTCATGGCACCTGATCCCGTTTTGATGAGTTAGATATCCGTTCTTCCTCTTCTTCTGATTTCTTTTGTTTAGATTAATATTTGAGTGTGAATACTGCTGGTTATCTCTATTTTTTTATAAGAAGAAATCTTTGTTTTCGGACATAAGACAATTCGATCGAAACAAACAGAAATAGATTAATTTTTACCTGGTCATCAATTAAAGGAGCTTACAAACGAAAGATATATGGTTTATCATATTTCTAATATATGTTTTTCGTGCATTCTGCGTATTTGCCCTGTTTAGCCTTTTAAAAAATTCCAGTGCGGTCATATGAAACAAAATGTCAAAACAGATTCCTAAATACTTAACACTTTCAGAACATTTATATGGCCGTAGGAACCGGGGGGGGGGGGGTAATTTTGCCGATATACATTATACTGTACAAAACAAAGCTACTCATGTCTGTGCCCCCTTAAGTACAATGAAAATCTATTGTGAGCTAACCATGAAGAACATTTGTTAAAAATTTCGGGAAAGTAAATAAACAGAACAAACACGGACCTCCAAAACATCGGAGATGGGATCAGGTGCCATGGAGGAGTGAGCATCCCCTGCCGACCGGTCACATCCGCCGTGTGCTCCTTGTCATGATCGGGAAATAACGGAAAAATTTGTCGTCAATTCAGTGTATAAATAATGGACAAACAATAAGTATGAAAAACATCAGAGATCATTTGACTCAATGATAAATTGTATTTGCTGACTAATTGTATCGACCATAGAACTTACGAAATGATAATTTTAAACGAAATAGCTGAAATTCTTGTTTCATCAACTTGTTTGTCAATAATTTACCTCGTTGTAGAAATTGTTCATGCATAGGGAATGCTTTTGCGTATCTAATCAACTGAGATCTGTTAACTCTGTATGCAGGTGATGAAGGTATATTGCTGCATAAGTAAGGGAAGTTGACTATAGAAAAGTTAAAGTCATCACGTTTGTCATAGAGCTTGTTTGTTAGATTACCATTAATGTCTTTTTCAAGTAAAATATCTACATATGAAACTGATGTCTCAGAATCTGTGGTATCTTTTATCTCAAGCTCACCAGGATATATCGTATTCGACATAAGAATGGAAATTACCATTGTTAATTGACAGTTCGTCGTCGATATATCTAAATGTCGATTTAATTATAAGGCCACAGCAAGTGTTTTCTTCTTTTCACGCATTAGATTGTGCACAAATTCTGCTCATGCGCGGATCTAGAGGGGGGGGGGGATCGGGGGGGGGGGTTCAGGACCCCCCCGGAATTTACCAGATTAAAAAATGTATATAGTAAAAGAAGAAAAAAGTTACCATGGAACCCCCTTGGAAAACGCAGACCCCCCTGGTAAACACGAACATGTGTAAAATGGGTACGAAAAGTTAAAGATTTGAGGCAATAGAAGTCACCACTACCCCCCCCCCCCCCCCGAAATAGGTTTTTCACGTTCGGGGCGAGTTTTAGGTTTTTTTTTTTTTTTTTTTTTTTTTTGCTTGTCAAGAAATTTCTGGGATTGGATTTTTTTTTTGGACTGAGGTGGACCCCCCCCTGGAAAAAATTTCTGGATCCGCGCCTGCTGCTTAATATGAATACAAAAATAGGTCTGCTAATAACGGGGCGCAATTGGTACCCATGGGAATTCCAAAAGATCGTTGGAAGACATAGTCTCCAAATCAACATAGATATTGTCAATCAGAAACTCTAGCATCTTTTTGATGTCAATTTCAGAGTACTTGTGTGTATCATTAGAATGTTTTTAACAAGTAAATTTACGAGTTCCATTTTTATTAAAAAAAGCAGCTGAAAATGATGTCGAAAAGCCTAGACTTCAATTTATCGTGGGAATGATTGCATATAAAGTTGAAAAGTTTTTAAGCTGTTGATTTTGATAAAATCCTGTGATTTCAAATTGTCCATAAGTTCCTTGGAATTATTAAGTATCCATATCTGATTTACATCACTTCTTTAATATATATTGTTGCATAGTACTCTTGAAGTTTCTCCTTCACTACTGTTAATATCTTAGTGAGGAGTAAAGAAAGAGGCTTGGTTGAACATTTACTGGAACCCGCTATGTATTTTTGGTTGTAAGGATTTTTATGAAGTTTCGGAATCCAATATATATATGGTAGTTAAAATTCATTTTGGTTCTTTGTGATATTAAAAATATTAATTCAAATCTGACATATGATTTTGAAGAATATCACCTTTAGAAAGGGAATTATGAGTATAAGTAGGATTGCTATTTGTAGAATTAAAACCTAAAACTAAAAAAATTCTTCTAATATACAATTTATACAATGAGCCTTACAAACATAGACATTGTTTTTACCTGCTTTGTCATCAAGGACCAGTACGTACTTATCATGTAATCTAATACTTTTTTTCACTTCTGGGTAATTGAATACAGAAGGATAGATGGTTTTCATATTGCCCCTCAGTCTTTTAATACGCGATTTTAACATCTGGATCTGATGCGTTTAATCACTTCTGATAAAGCGTCAATTTCTTCTTTTTCATATCTGGCCCATCGTCTGGCGTAACCTTCAACAGAATCCATAATATTTATAAAATTCCGACACCAGTTGAAGGATCGAGGCTCCCTATATTTAGGACCTTTTAAAATAAGTGATCGAAGGTCCTCATTATCAACTACATTCACCTCACCTGTAATAACGTGTCCGTTATAGGGTGAAAAAGAACATGAACAGGATGGAGGATTATGTTGAAGATACTCGATATCCAGGCCATGTAAAGTTTTTTTTTTTGTAATTGAAAAAGATGGATGTATATTCTTTTTTCACTTCTGGATTATTGAATACAGAAGGATAGATGGTTTTCATATTAACCCTCAGTCTTCTGATACGCGAGTGAAACATGGATCTGATGCATTTAATCCATTCTGACAAAGTGTCTACTTCTTATTTTTCATACCTGGCCCATTTAACTTTATTTTTCCTGGGGTCTTATAACGATTATGTTAGTAGCAATAAATTCAATTTATTTGTTGAAATGTTCATAGATCAATAAACGGAGGATGGACAAGATAGTTATGTTTGAATAAATAAAGAAATTACTGTGACACAACCCAATTATTTCAACAGTAATCGTCCAATACAAATCTTTGAAGAGGGCATGAAGTCAAAAAATGCGTGAAAAACTAAATGATTCTTTTAATGAAAACAGAACCGTGATAAGTTATAGAAATATTCAATATTGCTTGATAACGCACAAATAGGTTCATAATAGTTCTTATCTAAATAGAGTAGTACTGTGTACCGCGAGTCGTGTAACTATGGAACGATATTTCCCGATATTTATTTTAGTACAGACATGTAAGCCTCTTTCTAAATAAAAATAATTATTTTAATGATTTCTTTTTAATTTCACGGAAAAAAAACTCACCTGGTGAGAAGAGTTATATATGCTCTTTTCTTTAAATCAAGCAATTTGAAGTCCTTTTTTTGCACAAAATATTAAGATAAACGCCTATTCATCAAATCATAACAAATCAGAAGTAGAGAAAACACGAACCGCGAAAACATTGGACACAGTGCAGTGGAGGAGGAGGCTTACTAGGGACCAGTCACAACCACTTTGTAAAGAATGCGAATATGTTTAATCGAAGAAAATTAGTCAATTAAATGACCTTACATTTAGTAAAAAAATGAAAGTCACCATTTGACTTAATTATATATTGCATTTGCATTAAATCGACATTGTATTTTTGAAGTGTTTAATTTATACCAGACTGATGCTAGCTTTGTTCCATCAATTTCATTGTCAGTAGCTTTTGTCGTTTTAGAAAATAATTGAAAGCAAAGCATGCCATTGAGTATTTAATAACGTGGGAGACTTACTCTACATGCAGGTGATAAACTGAGATAAGGCCGTTGAAATATTTTTCGATTTTATGAGGATAATGTGCCATGAAGGAGTGAGCATTCCTGCCAACCTGTCAAACATACTGTGTGCTCCTTGTCATAATCGGGAAATAAGGGAAAATCCCTGAAAAATTTAGTATGTAAATAATGGCCTAACACTCAGTTTGAAAAACATCAGTCAGGATTTGACTTAATGATGGATTGTATGTGTTGACACGATCACTGTATCGACCACATATAGAACATACAATATCTTAATACGAAACAGAGGTGTCAGACTCTGTGGTATCTTTTATTGCAAGCTCACTACTCACTAGCATATATTGTATCCACACAAGAATGAAAAAAAATCTTGACAGACAACACGCAGTTGATATATCTAAATGTCGAGTTGAAGACAACAGCAAGCAAGCATTTCTTCTTTTCATCCATAAGATTTGAACAAATTCTGCTTCATATGACTACAAAAATAGGTCTGCTAATGTACTCTGTAATGATGATATGTTTTTGGTGATTATATCTTTCTATCTTTGCAGTGGTATCTCAGCCTTCCCAGTGCCCCCACGGCTGGATACAAAGGAATTCCTCTTGTTATGCCTTTATCACAGGGGCCCCAGACGGCTCGACTGAGGCAGAGGTTAGAGAGAAAAGTAAAATACGTTAAAATAATGATTAGTGATCAATCACGAAAACTTCCAAAAACACAAACATGTCTTAGAAAGGATGAAATAGTGTTAAAATGAATTATCGATTGGAGTTAACGAATAGTATTCAAGCCCAAGCGTCCATAAAACAATACAGATTTGGTGCAGAGCAAAGACGGACCTCCAAAACATCAGAGATGGGATCATCTGCCATGGAGCATTCCCTGTCGGCTAGTCACACCCTCGTTTGCTCCTTGTCACGATCGGGAAATATTGGAAGTTTTTGCCAACAATTTGTGTTTAAAAATAAGTATGAAAAACGTCAGTCAGCATTTGACTCTATATTGATAAATTGTGTTCGCTGACAAGGTTCCTATATCAATCATAGAATTTACGTAATGATGACTCCCAACGAGACTGTTGATATCGAAAAGTAATAGAAATCATAAAAGACTTTCAACATTACAAATGTGCGTACAGGGCATAAAACCCGCACCCTTGGGAATTCTAGAGGTGAGATCAGTTAGCTAGGAGGTGGGAGCAATCTTATCCTTATAATAATAAACACAGAATTTGATATCATAGATAACTGATTAAAAGTAAAAATGCTTTGTAGTAAATTTTATCAGATTTGTCGAAAAAAAACGCAATGCTCTTTTATTACAATACGTACAATATCTTGGCGAATGTATGTTCATTTAAAATCATTGCAGATTTATTGCAATTTTTTACATTCACGGCTGGTTGAGATAGAAACAGTTGCAGAGAATGAATTTATTCGGATTCATTTGATGGATAACCACTTAAAAGGTTTGCTTTTTATTAAATTTTTTGAAAATAAATTGTGAGCGAAAAAGAATACCGAATGAATACTTTTATTTCAATTACAGTAAATATTTTTCCATACCTTAAACCTATTACTGACTATTAACCTTGAGCGGAAAAGTCTTTAACGTTTTTTTGACATTTGTATTTAAATCAAATATTAGTTATGAAAATCATATAGAAGATTTCATTGTTGTATCTAGATAAACTTTCATGATTTAGTTGAGATGTTTTTGAGCTTTTCATGACCACTTGAAGGTAACTTCTGGATTGGTCTTTCTGATGTTCTTGTTGAGGGTGAGTGGGTCTGGCTATCTACTCAGTCTCCGGCCACTTACACAGATTGGGCACCACACGAACCAAACAATGCCAACTCTAACGAGAAATGTGGAACCATAGATTATAATTACCATTGGAACGATCTGCGATGTTCAGAAAAATCAAATTTTATCTGTGAGAAAATGTGTGTTCAAATTCTTCTTTAACTATTTTAAAACTCCTCCTCGATTTGAGTGCTAAAATAATTGTTTTGATTTTATTTTTATCTCACCTTCGTTCAGTCCATTGCAATCCATATTGCAGGCACACTTAACTGGAGTTACAATAAATCAATCAACATTATCACGAAGATGATGAGACAATAAAGAATAAATTAACAATCATTTCAAACAATATAGTTAATATGCAGATAAACCTAAACATCCCGTAATTTGTCTTTTTACAGGGTGAACGAGGAGGTTGATATTATTGGCTGAAAGAAAGTAATTTGAAATAATACCAGTTTTTGAATAAAATTTTAATTACAAATTTCTTTTGTTTACAAGATGCCTGCTGAGTTGAGAGGAATGAGGTACAATATACAATAAACAGAGAAAATGAACCGTTGTCAGTAGACAAATGGCAAAGCTTGAATGGCGATAAAATTCATATATTTTTTGATATTCCAGTTTCTAGAACATATTAACTTAAAGATATAATTATTCAGGTATGAAGAATATATACGTTTACGTTTAAGCACAACATTTTGTGCCAATTGTGTTTACAAAAAAAGTTCCATACTTCTGGAGTAATAAATATGCTGAAGGTGACTTTCATTCTATGAAATGTTGTTTTTACGAATTATACATAATTTATTTTTGTTGTTTGCGTATTGCGCTTCTCATTTCTTCATATACATTCTTGAATTTGGTCGCTATTGAATCGGTAAAAACCGAGGTCCCGAGTCGCAGTAGATGCTGGCACGAAAAAAATCCCTTTTTGCTCATGGCCCTATAGCTAAGAGCCAAATTTATATTGTGTCAATCCTTTCAGGCACGTAGCAATAGCAACAGGTGGGGCCAGGGGGGGGGGGGGGGCTGGCCCCCCACTTTTTTCCCCAACATTACCTTTACTATAGAAAATGTTCATTGAAAAGATGGTGCCCCCCCCCCCACTTTTTACCATTGTATATTCATAGGAAGGAAATATAGGAAAAAATTGGAAGTTAAAGGAAGTTGGCCCTGAAAAAAGTTGGCCACTATCTCCCCCCCCCCCCCCCCCCCCACCCCACCACCCACGAATAGAATTCTCGAGTTTGGGCAATTTCCTCCTTTTTTTTTTTTTTTTTTTTTAGCTTGTCAACTTTTTAGGTAAGTAAAAAATTTTTCTCAGGTTGGCCCCCCCACTTTCAAAAACGATGCTACATGCCTGCCTTTTGTTTCCATGGTGCATAAACAGTTTTTCTTCCTCAAAACGTGACTGTTTAAATTGTTTATGGTGTACAATGCCTGTTTTCTCTTATCTGATTTTGAACATGTTGAATTCTGATGTCGAAGAAATTGTTATTGGGACAGTGAATCGTTTTTATTTCTTGCAAAGATAAGCATGTAACAAGGTCTCAGTGCACATGATTCCTTTGCAAGTTTTGCATTGGGTGATAAACTGAAATGTGTCTCTTAAAGATGAAAGTCCTTATCTGCACAAGTTTGGGAATTAATATTCTTTACTTCTGGTGAGTAATATTATTACATTCTCAGCTTCTAATTCCAACGCATTTCCAAGACGATTCGAGAATTTCTAAACACATCTTTATATCCACAGCAACTGGCTTCTGTGAAGCTAAGATGTGTTTTTATAGCTGAAGTGTGCTTTGTTTTGTTGTTGTTGTTTGTTTTGTTTTTGTTCATGTTTGTAGTTTATTTATTTATTTCTATTGCCAAAGAATAATTATTGTTTATTTATTTTCATTGCCAAAGAAAAATTTATAATTTCCATGTTTTTCCGAAAGTGTAATTCATTAAAAATGTAAATTAAAAATGAAATATTATAAAATGTATTCGGGGGCAATGAGACCATCATGTTTGAGATCAAACTAGCCAGGTTGTTTAGATATTAATTCATCTTTTCTTGTACCTGTTGAAGTGGTCACCGGTTCCCCGTCGTGTCCTCATGGTTGGTATCAACACGGATCCTCCTGTTATGTATTCATTACTGGTGTCTCGAATAGTTGGACAGAGGCAATGGTTTGTGCTAAAAATACATTCTCTATGTCACTTTTTCATCTTTTGTGTGAACATTTTCTTTTCAATTTGTACGAGATTTTTTTACTTGATACATGCATAGATACTAGTACTTTACTGAAATGAATTTGAGTAAAGTCACTCAAGCACCTTTTTCTACTGATCAAAATTTCTCATATAAAAAGATATGTGAATCCAAAGTATCAGAAAAACACCTTTTGTAGCTTATATTAGCTTTAAACATAAATCATTCATAAAGCATTTGTAAAATAGTACAGAACAAATCTACCGAAAAACCTATAGTAAAAGCATAATCATGTTTAAAATTCCAATTTCAAGTCAAACGGCCTCTAGCCGGATGAAAGTAATTAAATATTCAAGTTTATTATACCCCCCGCTTGAAAAGCGGGAGGGTATATAGTAATCGTTAATTCCGTCCGTCTGTACGTCTGTCCGTCCGTCCGTCTGTCTGTCCGTCCGTCTGTCCGTCCGTCTGTCCGTCCGTCCGTCTGTTACGCTTTGGGGTACCCATCTCTTATCCGCAACTCCTCCCATACCACTGAATGAAATTTGATGAAACTTTCATAGAATCTTTATTACATATTGCCATTGTGCACCTTCTATTTTGCTTTTTGATCTGACACATAGTTTGGATTTTCCAGAGCAAAACATGGACTCTGCCATTTTATTCAAATGGGAGGCGGGGGGTATCATTTAGTGAGCTCATTGCTCACAGTACCTCTAGTTTCCGCATGTAATCTTTAAAATGACAAGTTGTTCATATAATTTGAAGCCAAAAAGGTGAAAGATCAAGGACAACATAAAAATCTGGTGGCATCTCTTTTATTTGATATGTTGATTTGAATAACTTTAATCAGAGAAATGTCATCCCAAAAAATGTATATACTCAGAATTACATTACATCAGTTTCAGTTTCCAAGGACAACATCAGTCAAGGCTATTCTATTTGTCAATTTTGAATTGGTTCAATGTGGTAGTAAGAAAATGCTGACCATGTATGCAGTGCCGTCCACATAGACATAATAACAATGTTAGTGTAGCAAGTATGCTAGCGGATCTAACATCTAATTTCAATTAGATTGGAAAACTTTAGAATGTTATATTTTTCTGTGTTTTTGCATGGGACTCTCAGCTAATCTGATGGAAATAGAGACACGGGGTGAAAATTATTTCTTGCAGCGGCATCTTCAGACTATGATTCATAGTCGTGTGTATTATTCGAATTTTTTTCATCAAAATAGGAAGCAAAAATTGAGACTTGAAATTAATACTGCAATAATTGATTTATAGGTATCTCAAACTTTGTTATTTTGCTGCTAATTTTAAATTTTGATTTGATAAGTTTGTGTTTCGTAACTTTATTGATTAAGGACTTTTAATACTTTGATAAATCTTGGTATCAGTAACAAGATAAACACATAACTTTATGATACAATGCTGTTGGAAAAAAACTTTACTGGAATCATGCTTATCCTTTAAGATTTTTTTAATCCATAGATTTTATTTTTGCTTTCACATTTACAGATTGTACAATATATTAGTTTATAATCAATACATGCTTTCATGCTTTCAGTTCTTCTAGCTAGTAATTCATATTATACAATTAATACAATTTCTCTTTGGTAAATACTAATACATGTTCATTTCAAAAAGCTGCAAAAAATGTATCACATTCATATGAATCTTCCCTGTGAAAGCTCTATATACAAAGAAGTAAACCAGCTGGGAAGGGATGGAGGAGGGTAATAACAAAACAAATATAGTGAAGTGGAGGGAACAGAATTTTAATAATAGTTAATACTTTTTAAAAGTGTTTTTAAGATTCATTTGTAAAGAATATAGATGTGATTTAACATTTCACTGTTGTATGTAGCTAAAGTTTCTTTGATTTAAGGTAACTTCTGGATTGGTCATTCTGATATCCTCTATGAGGGTGAAATAGTCTGGCTATCTACTCAGTTTCCGGCCACTTACACAGATTGGGCGCCGACCGAAACGAATAATGTCAACTCTAATGAGAACTGTGGAACCATAGATTATAAATACCACTGGAACGATCTCCAGTGTTCAGAAAAATCATATTTTATCTCTGAAAAAAAAATGTATGTACAAATTCTTCCAAATACGTTTTTGGCTATGGCTATGATTGCGACTAAATAATAAGCGACCATTAATATATTTGCAAAAATATATGATGCTGGGATATTCCATTTATGGTTTTTTTTTTAAAGGAAGAGAACTAGTAATAAAAAAAAAGATGCTTTGATTATACCCGGGTATTCATTCTGTTACAATTATGTTCCCCAAACGAAGTTGGGGAACATATTGTTTTTACTCTGTTTCTTATTATTATGTTCCCCAAACGGAGTTTGGGAACATATTGTTTTTACTCTGTTTCTTATTATTATTATTATTATTTTTTTTTTCTTATTTGTTCTCCGGTACTTTTTTGTCCGCGAGTGTTCTCAGAAACTGTTCACCCAACTGAGCTAAAACCTTTTTAGGGTTAATAGGTGTGTAGTGTAGGTGTGCGGAACGAAGGTCATTTTGCGCGCATACGCCTGCACGTGCGTGCGCGTGAAATGAGTGAATTGACTGATATACTTAATATAGCTATAACTTTTACATTTTTTGATGAAATGCTTTGAAACTCATTACGTAAGGATATATTAATAGTTTTAATAATATGACACTGTCAAATTAGCATAAACTCACGCGCATGCACGTGCGCCTTCCTCTGATTGGCTGAAACAAAAATCTCAATATCTCTTTTGTTTTCCAACGAAATGCTTTGAAATTTTTAACATTGTCATGAATAAGGATATCCTACAATATAATATGGAAAAAATTTCATGAAATCACGCGCATGCACGTGCGCTGCAATCTGATTGGCTGAAATTTTAAATGGCTATATCTCCTTTATTTTTTGACGAAATGCTTTGAAATTTAATACATAGTCATGCATTAGGATATCCTGCAATATGATATACAAAAAATTTCACGAAATCACGCGCATGCACGTGTGCTGCAATTTGATTGGCTGAAACTTTAAATGGCCATATCTCCTTTGAATTTTGACGTAATGCTTTGAAATTTAAAACATAGTTATGCATTAGGATATTCTACAATATGATTTAGAAAAAAATTATTGAAATCACGTGGATGCACGTGTGCTGCAATCTGATTGGCTGAAACTTGAAATGGCTATAATTCCCTTGGTTTTCAACCTAACAGGATGGGATTTAGAACATAGATAGATATAAGGGCGTCCTACAAGAAGGTATGGTCATCATGCACGTGCACGCACGTGCGTGCATTTGGAACGAGTGAAATTGAAAATACACTTGAATGAGTGATTTTTAATACTTTTGGACTAAATACTTTCATATAAAGTATATTTTAATATATAGAAAGTGTAGACAAGATTATATGATCATTATGCACGTGCATTCACATGGGCACGCGTGCAATGTTAAAATTTGAATATAATTAGTATCCTTTTGGGAAAACGTTGTTAAAGTCAAAAATGCACAGATGTTGTCTTATTTAATAAGGCTTACAGGGAATATGGCACCAAAAGGGAGTTGGGGAGCGTTTGGGGAACATCTGTAACGGTTCCCGTTACAATTAGCACTAGTTATTATTATTATTATTATTATTTTTCTTCTTCTTCTTCCTGGGTACTTTTTTGTCCGGGAATGATCTTGTAAACTGTTCGTCCGATGTATGTAAAACCTTTTTAGGGTCAGTAGACATGCAATGTAGATCTGCGGAATCAAGGTCATTTTGCGCGCACGTGCTTGCAAGAGCGCGCACGTGTAACACGTGAAATGACCAATATAATAGATATAACCGCAACTTTTCTATTTTTTGATGAAATGCTTTAAAACTCATAATGTGAGGATATATTAGTAGTATAGACATGATGGCATGGTCAAAATAGCAAGATCTCACGCGCATGCACGTGCGCTTCGCTCTGATTGGCTGAAACTAAAGTCTCAATATCTTTCTAGTTTCTTGTCATAATCTTTTGAAATTTTGAACATAGTCCTACATTATAAAGGTCTACAGCATGATATATAGAAATTTTCATGAAAGCATGCGCATGCACGCATGCTGCAATCTGATTGGCTGAAACTTTGAATGGCTATATCTCCTTTGTTTTTTGACGAAATGCTTTGAAATTTGAAATATAGTCATGCATTAGGATATCATAAAATATGATATAGAATAAAATTCATGAAATCACGCGCATGCACGTGTGCTGCAATCTGATTGGCTGAAACTTTGTATGGCTATATCTCCTTTGTTTTTTGACGAAATGTTTGGAATTTTAAAATATAGTCATTCATTTAGATATCCTTCGATACGATAAAAATAAAAATTATGAAATCCCGCGCATGCATGTGTGCTGCAATCTGATTGGCTAAAACTTGAAATGGCTATAACTCCCTTGCTTTTCAACCAAACAGGATGGGATTTAGAACATAGATAAATATAAGGGACTCCTACAAGAAGGTGTAGTCATTATGCACGTGCTTGCGCGTGCGTGCACGTGAAATAAGTAAAATTAAAACTATACTCGAATGAGTGTATTTTTAAATACTTTTGGTTTAAATGCTTTGATATTAAGTATATTAAAATCTTAGATAGTGTAAACAAGATAAAATGGTCGTTACGCACCTATTTTTAAATATATTTTGTATTTCTCTAAGAAGACCTTGATTAAGTCTAAATTCCATAAAGTATTTCTTATCTAATAGAGATTACAGGGAATATGGCACAAAAAGGGAGTTGGGGAGCGTTTGGGGAACATCTGTAACGGTCCCCGTTACAATTAGCACTAGTTGTTTGTATTTTTTAAAGATTTTAATTCATATGTTTAATCCGCGATAATCAGTCTTTATACAAGTATGAGAATTTTGGATATATGTAATAGGCAAACACCTTGAATTAGTTGACATTAAATAGTCCTATGATTTTTCTTCTGTACACCTAGTCATATCAAATGGGGGTGATGCTGAGGTTGCTAATTTTTAAAACTGGCTTTTAGTTTATCTTCATGTTTTAATATGTCAAATATTGAACTGAATATAACGAACGATTATCAAGATGACTGACCAGAAAAGAGATACAATTTACGAGCAGTGCAAACACGAGCCTTTAAAACATTAGATGTGGAATCGGATGTCATGGAGGATTGGGGTTCCATATTGACGAATCAAACTTGCTTCATTCTCCTTTTTGTGATAAAGCAAGACTTTTAAGTCCACAAACAATTCATTGTGAGATAATTGTCTGGCAATTTGCACGAAAAACAGTCAGAGACATTTGACTTAAGGACATACTGACCATGTATTTATTGACAACGTCATTGTGTTGACCATTGTAATTAGGAAATGCAAACTTCAATCTAGCTTCAACATATCCTTCAAGTTTATTCTCTAATTACTTCGTCAATGCCTTGCTTCATTTCCTCTTTTTTAATTAGATCAATCGCTTTTGTGTCGTTATCTTCACTATTCCCAATTCTTAATTAATAAAGGCAGAAGGACTCATATGATTTTAAATTTTTTCAAGTCGTGACTTTTTAAAAACATATATCTTAATTTTAACAAATCTTCGAAGTGTCTAATTCTTCTTTAAAGTTCGTCCCTTTGCCTGGTGTAACTTTTCAGAAAATTTTCAAAATTTCTAAATTCATGACTGGAGATGAAAGCTAGGGTTTCTTGAAAAATTAGTCTTTTCATACGTGAATTATAGTCCTTATGTGAATAATTTTACTAACGTCACTGGTGATTGCGTGTCCAGAAAAACTAGATACAGAATAGCTTTTTGGAGGATAATGTGTAAGAATCTTGATATCTATCCACTGCACTTTTTTTGTTATCAAAAACGTTGGATATGATAGTCGGTAAATATTTGAAAGAAAGACATTGTGTAAACTTCAACTTGAAATGTAGTGGAAAGCAAAACCGGACCTTTTTGTGAGTAAGAATATTATTTAAATCTTCTGTGTCAATCACTCCGTTTGAAAAATTTACGTTTCCGAAACAAACACGTTGCTGTTTCCTTCTCCTTAAAACATGATATTTTAAGAATTTAGTTTGCAATTCTTCTAACTTCATGTTTTCGTTTCTATTCTGGTGTCGGGGTTATTGTAACAGTGAATCGTTTCCATTTGGCACAAAGATAAGCATGTTAAAAGGTCACTGTGCACACGATTCCTTGCACATTTTTGCATTGACTGCTAAACAGAAATGTGTCTCTTAAGGATGAGAGTCCTTATCTTCACAAGTTTGGGATTATTATTTACGCCTGGTAAGTAAAACTATCGGATTGTAATAATTTCCAAGCTGTTGTGACTATGTCTGTCCGAAAACGTTATATTTCCCAAGACTAATATCTATAAAATTCAGAAATTATACCTGAATATTTTAATCAAATTTTCTTCACGTCAACAGCAACCCCCTATTAAAAAGCCAATGTTTGTTGTTTCATTGGTTTGATGGTTTTTTTTTTTCAAATGCAAAATAATTCCATTATGTTTTTTTAAATAATGTTGTTTATTATAAATGTCAACAATAGAATGTTATTGAAAATTTAGGAGGGAGAGTGTTTTCAATAAAACCACCATGTTATAAAACACATAATTGACCAAAGTGACCAAATTGAGTAGATACTAATTTTTCCTTTTCTTGAACATGTTGAAGTTGTCATCGGATCCCCATCGTGTCCTTATGGTTGGTACCAACATGGATCATCGTGCTATGTCTTCATAGCTGGTGTTTTGAACAGCTGGACAGAGGCAATGGTTTGTGTTTTTTTTTTCATTTATACAAAATTTTATTCAAATTAAGTGGATGGGGTTGGGCAGAAGGCAAAAAAATAAATGATACAGTCGTTTTTGTTATTCATCTAACCTGTCGATTTTTTCATAAGGAAATTCTTTAAATTATTAAATACATACATAGATAACAGAATTAAATGAAACTGGGTGATGTTTTTCAAAAATATATATTGGAGAAACTCCAATCTGTTGTTTTCTCATTAAAACGATTTGCAACATAAAACATCGATAATCGATAATCAATATTAGCTTTGTGGCTGACATGGTCAAACCTGACTCGCTCAAAATAGCACCATAAAATCTATAAAAATATCATAGAAAAGCAAAGATCATTTTTATAGCAATTTCAATGAAAACTGTCGCTAGCATGGTGCAGAGTAAATATCGCAGATCAGATACTACTGTACATGTTTTTGGTATTTATTCCAGTTTATTTACACATGTAATCTTTAAAACAACATATCCATGAATCATTTTATTTGGAGCTAAAATTTGAAAGATCAAGGCCATAATTAAGATTACCATTATCAGAGAAATATCATCAAAAAATTAATATGCTCGGGAAGTTGAAGTGAGCAAAAAATGTGATACACAAAATCTTTTATGTAATTTTGATTTTCTAAAGGTGTGGATATAAATATTAAATAGTTCTTACCAAATTATATGAATATGTTTCATCAGTAGTATGTTAGTCTGTATTTTTTCAGTCGTTTTGCAAGGCACTTTCTGCTAAATTGGTGGAAATAGAGACACAGGATGAAAATAATTTCTTGAGTAACCATCTTCAACGCATGGCGCACGGTCGTATGTATTACAAGCAGAGAATATCGAATTTCATTTTTTCAATCTAAACTTTACATATTTTTACTCATAGTAACTGTTCGTCAAAATATTTCAGATTTCAAAACAAAATGTAATAGTTAAAAATTCAATGTGACAACTTTTACTTTTGTGGCAATCTCAGTCACGTTCTTTTTATTCCTAAAGGGTCCGTGTTTTTCAAGTCTCATTGTTCCAGTACAGTCTTCATATTGATGAAATAGGCAGGTTTGACCGACATTACCCGTTTTTGCCATGATATGAAGCTGGTCGCTATAATACATTGTAATCACTAGTTAAAGCATTAATTTTATCATTAATTTTACTTTTGTACAATTCGTGCCAATTTCCTCAAAAACTGAAGACTAAGCGTGCCATGTGGATTGATTGTATGTCGTTTAACACCCCTCTCTAAATTTTTTTTACTCATATGTAGACGGAACCTCTTTCCGGTGGAGAGCTACAAATTTTGTCCTATACTCGGCACTTAGGGCCATTGAGCAGTGAGGGATCTTTTTCGTTCCAGCACCTACTGCGACACGGGGCCTCGGTTTATAAAGTCTCATCCGAATCTCATCCGAATGAACCGGTCTCCACGTCCCACAGTGGGATTCGAACCCGCACCTCTAGAGCAGACGCTCTAACCACTGCGTCACGCGGGCAACTAGCGTGCAAGAGATTTTTAAAAATTGCTTACGGGGAATGGCTACGGAAGCCCATTTAGGACCTATCAAAAAATATTTTTGAATTCGTTATAACGATTTTAAGAATTCGTTATAACGAATTTAATTTGTTATAACAGATTTTAGAATTCGTTATAACGAATTTAATTTGTTATAACAGATTCATTGAATTCGTTTTAACGAATTTAATTTGTTATTACAGATTTATTGAATTCGTTATAACGAATTTAATCTGTTATTACAGATTTATTGAATTCATTATAACGAATTTAATCCGTTATTACAGATTTGTTGAATTCGTTATAACCAAATTCTTGAATTGATTATAACGAATTCAAAAAATCTGTAATAACAGATTAAATTCGTTATAATGAATTCAATAAATCTGTAATAACAGATTAAATTCGTTATAACGAATTCAATGAATCTGTAATAACAAATTAAATTCGTTATAACGAATTCAATGAGTCTGTTATAACAAATTAAATTCGTTATAACGAATTCAATAAATCTGTTATAACAAATTAAATCCGTTATAACGAATTCTGAAAATCTGTTATAACAAATTAAATTCGTTATATCGAATTCTAAAAATCGTTATAACGAATTCAAAAATATTTTTTGATAGGTCCTAAATGGGCTTCCGTAAATGGCTATTCATAGCATAATTCATTAAATATTAATAATATACAATTACAAATTACTGTTCTGGAAATGTTTATTTAATTGAAACTTGTTAAACAATTATTCTTGCTGGAGTTTTACAAATTATAGAAACAGACTGTAGCTGATTGATAGATATATAAATTGTTCATTTCATATCCTTATATCTGCAGATAACTACTGGATTGGTTTAACAGATGCAATTTTTGAAAATGAGTGGTTATGGATGTCCACTCAAAAAGAAGCTCAGTACACCAATTGGGGGCCCTTCCAGCCAGATAATGACCAGCACATGGAGGACTGTGCAGATATAGCATTTTTCGGTCACCATGGTCTCTGGAATGACGAAGATTGTGATACAAAGCAACATTTTATTTGCGAAAAAGAGTAATTATCCATCCTTTTTGAATCAGTTGTTTTTGCCGCACAATTATCAAAGTGATGGAATAACTTTTAGATCTTTCAAAAGTTTTTTTTATTATTATTTATTTATTATTTTCAGTTTGACAAGTACAACCACCGTTCCTCCAGTTGGTATTCTTGTTGGTTAATAAATCTTTGAAATAGTATCTTTCTTTATTGTCTTGTTGGAATATTCTAGTTAGATTAATTGTGCTGACGAAAGACATGAAATCTCGTTTAAAGTCATCAAACCGCAAATCGCAAGTTTCATAGTTTTAATTAAAGGCTGCTTGTTTTACAACGAGCATTTTTTTTTATTCAGGGAGTACAAGGAGGCAACAAAAAAGTCAAAGGTACTTGGACACAGATTTGAAGTCAATATTTCCTCTATAATATTACGACTTACATATTTTGATAGCATTTCACATAAAAATTAATTAAAAATCTTATTTCATTTAAAGTTATTTAAACTTTAAATTTTTTGGCGGGTTTGATGTTTGACACATCCTTGCACTTTCACAAATTTTAACCTTGGTCTTAATCCTTAGGAAAAGTGGCAATCTTGTTGTGCATTAATGAGAAATATTTAATCTGTTATCCAGAAAAATAATTTTATTCCGAGTAGAAATGTTAGAAAGCAAAACTCCTTCACAAGTATCGTCATTCCGAACTAAGAGCTGCGTACAGAGTTTAGCAAATCGAGCACACTCGTGTTATGTACACAGTTTTTGTAAACAGAGCACGAGTTCTATTGATGTTGATGTTTACAATTCACCGGGTGCATTCAATCGTCACAGTCTGCTTACCACAACTGCACGGACTGACAATATATTGTGTGTTTGTTTTGCTTTCGAACATGTCTACTCTGAATTTTCTGGATTATAGTATTAATATTTTTCATATTAATATTTACGAGATTGCCACTTTTCCTAAGGATTAAGAATAGAATTGATTTGTGAATGTGCAAGGATGTGTCAATCAAACCCGCCAAAAAAATTGAAATTTTAGTATCTTTTATAGGAAATAATATTTTTAATTAATTTTTGTGTGAAATGCTATTAAAATATGTAAGTCGTAATATTATATAGAAAACAATAGCTTCAAATCTGTGTCCAAGTACCTTTAGGGTGCCAAAGTTTGACATTTTACAATATTTCCTCAATTCTGATGGAATTTCATCAAATTTGAGAAACATTTTGCTTTGGGAGACAAGAGGACAAACTGGTCTATATGAGATTTTTATGTAAAAGATGCATATTACTAGTATACTAGCGCATAAAATATATAAATTTGGTAGATAAGCAAGCTTGTGTTCGAAAATTCGGAAAATGACAAAGTTTCTGAACTTTCTGCAAAACTTGTGTATCACAAAACTTAGCATCTGTACTCATCTTGAAATACGGATGAACACAGGAACTTTTGCATCGCTCTCAAAGATACCAGAAACCGGGGTCAAAAGAAGGTCTTACCTTTCCATGGCCTTTAAGATATATGCATTTATCATTATTTTAATTGAATGATTTATTCTGACATTTTTCCATTGGCCGAAACCGATCAAAAAAGTTCAAGGGCCTATAGATTCTATTTTTCAATAGTACTTTTACGCATATTTCGGTTTGTTATCTTCACATTTTATAATGGCAGTTATACAGGCTAAATCAAGATAATGATCGTTATTAGGACAATAAATCGTTTCCTTTGCTTGCAAAGATTAGCAAGTCACAAGTTCACTGTGTCCACAATTTTTGCAAATAAAATATAGATTGATACAAAGAATGTTTTTCTCGAAACTCCTCATCTTCATTAATCTGGATATTTTCTTTATTGGTGAGTAGTAATATTGCATTTTAACCGTGTTGTACATAATTTCTCTAATTCTAAGTAATTTTCAAGAAAACTGAGTGTTTCCAAGACGAGATATTTCTACAGCAACTAATAATTGTTAAATGCTAGTTTTAAATCAATGTCTTTATCTCGACAGCAGCCATTCTAGGGTAAGGATTTTGTCAATGACAACGAAAACAAAATATTATTTCCAAAAATGTCATTTATTAAAACTGACGATTAAAATCCATTCGAAGTTAAACAAAGGAAAAGTAAAGAAACCAATCAATTCTACAATAATCATTAAAGTCGATCCTGAGCCATTAGATCACATATTTATTTTAATTTACTTAAAAGTTGTCACTGGATCCCCGTCTTGTCCCCATGGTTGGTATCAACATGGATCCTCGTGCTATGTATTCATTGATGGCGTCCTACACAGCTGGACTGAAGCCATGGTTTGTAATTATTCACGCTGTTTCATCATCTTTTTTTAATTTCGAAGAGGAAAATTCTTTAATTTTTACATTGGTGCATATATGTACCTGGTATTAAAATTAAATTGAAGGAGATGAGGGGGAAAAGATGCGTAATGTCTATATCTTCAAATTAAATGTATAAGCATCATATTCAGTTCGTGAAATATCTGGTGATAACGAGCAGTATGCAAGCTCAAAAGTCCATAAACCAACACAAGAAAGGAGAAGAGCAAACATCAGAGGTAGCATCAGGTGCTATTGAGAAACATGACATTAACCTCTCCTCATTGAAATCAAAATAACATTATCTCTGCAGAAAGAAATCTTATTATACCCCCGCTCCGAAGGAGAGGGGGTATACTGTTTTACCCTTGTGTGTCTGTCTGTGTGTCCGTAACAAATTTTCGTCGCAGTTTTCTCAGCAACTACTAATTGCAGATGCTTGAAATTTTAACACAATCCTCTCAGAGGCATGCTATACGGTGGAATACATTTTTGTCTAAATCCGATGTCAAATTCCTGTTTGCCTGTGTGTCTGTCCGTTTCATAAATAACAAATTTTCGTCACAGTTTTCTCAGCAATTACTCATCACAGATGCTTGAAATTTTAACATAATCTACTCAGATGCATGCCATACGTTGGGATACATTTGTGTTTAAATCCGGTGTCAACTTCCTGTTTGTCTGTGCATCTGTCCGTTTCATACATAACAAATTTTCGTCACAGTTTTCTCAGCAACTACTCATCGCAGATGCTTGAAATTTTTACATAATCTTTTCTGAGGCATGCCATATGGTGGGAATCATTTTTGTTCAAATCCGATGTCAACTTTCTGTTTGTCTGTGCGTCTGTCCGTTTCATACATAACAAATTTTTTCGCAGTTTTCTCATTAACTATTCATACCAGATGCTTAATTTTATTACACTCTTTGTTGAGGCATGCCATATGGTGTGATTAATTTTGATATGAATCTGATGTCAACTTCATATTTTTCTGTGCATCTGCCTGTAATTGAACTTGTGTATCTTAACATGGTAGTGCTTATACACAACAGAGTGGGGGTATTCCTAGTGAGCATTGGCTCACAGATTTCTTGTTCTTGATGCGATATTCTTGGGGAGTTGAAACCAAAAATAAACACACGGAAAAAGACATGAATTTATATTTTTTACTCTGATACTTACAAGCTAACCGCTGATAATGAAAATTTCAAAACATGCTTGTGATTTGACTTTGACTAAAATGATTTCAATAAAATCTCAGAAAAATACGAATGTTGTGTCATAAAAGTAAATTTTAAGGAATTGTTTATCTTTATTCTAGGGTTTTAACAACAAAAAATGTGTATTTTTACGCAAACTTTAAGAATAATATTTCAATAAATGGAATGATGAACCACTCAAGGTGTATACTGTAATTGTGCAATATTGTGAAGATTTTACCCTCTTTGATGTATGTATGCTATTTCATAGATACTTTATTTCAAGCTTTCAAAGTTTGTGTGATTTATTTTAAATAAACTACACGTTAAGGTATAATGAAATATAAAAAAAAATGTTATAATCGATTTTTTTAAAATTGCCATAATAGGTTTAATGTGCATTTTGCTTGCCTTGTTTGCCCATCTTTTTTGTATGCATGCATAAAGTGCAGTCAACAAAGACACGACCATAAATACATTTTCTAAAACTGCACTGTAAATAAAATTCTGAATTTGCAACATTATTAGTATTCACTGGATGTACCTCATATCGGCTCCATGCTTTTTGTCTTGCTGAAATTTGAAATGAACAAATCTTCCTGAGATATTTAATTTTAAAACTATTGATAGAAAACAGACGTTTATTCTCAATACAAGCGACTATACATAGCTTTGATAGGTAATCATTAGATTAATTTACATTTCAGTCGTTTTGTAAGGGACTCTCTGCTAAACTGGTGGAAATAGAGACACGGGATGAAAATGATTTCCTGCAGCAGCATCTACAAAACATGGTACATAGTCGTGAGTATTTTCAACAAAAAATACAATATTTTTTGTCATCTAAAGATAAAATATTTTATATTTGTATATATATTCAAAATCTAATTTGACCAGTTAGTCACATGTAAATGTGTGTGTCTTAACAAATTTTAACATTATCAAATCCTTAATATTTTCTTTAAAATATTTGTTTATCAATTCGTTCGTGTAATATGTAAAAAAAAAAAGCGATATTTCAATCAAATTCAGTTTTTCATAACTTAAACAAAAAATGTTTTATTCATAAAGTGGTGTCCTGAAATTGTATATTAAAATTCAGACTAGATACTTCGTTCACACACTGCAATGTCAAGTCGTACCGGAGGTTAATGAAATTAGAAGTGAAACTGCAAGGGAAATTTCAAGCTTCACGTTTTAACCTTCTCTGCAGATAACTACTGGATTGGTTTAACAGACGCGATTGTTGAAAATGAATGGTTATGGATTTCTACTCAGAAAGAAGCTCAATTCACTAACTGGGGTCTCTTCCAGCCTGATAATGCCCAAAACATGGAGGACTGTGCTGACATTGCGTCTTTCTTTCCACACGGCGTCTGGAATGATGAAGATTGTGACGCCAAGCTTCATTTCATTTGCGAAAAAGAGTATTCATATTTTTTTTCCTGACTTCTTGGTTTTTTTTCTAAATTAAGCTGGTTTCACACATTCTCTCTAAATGGTAATCTAGATTTTCTTGAAGTGGTTTAACAGTTTAGAACTGAAGTAATTTAAGCATAAAAAGAATTCTGATATTCTAGATACACTATTTATAATTTTATTAAGATATTATATTCTCTTTTAACAAACTTTTTTGTTCTCGTTGTTGATTATTATAATTTTTGCTATAACGTACTCTATTCATATCTCAATTATGGAAGACAAATCCGTCATGATATTGTTGAAAAAATAAAATCCTAAAAATATCATTTATATTATGAATGTTTACTGAGGTAATTACATTAAGAGGTCTGTCAAATATCTAATACTGGAAATTCACACGCAGTTAAAGGATTTTATGTTTTATCATTTTTTTTAATTATGAAAGGATTTCAGTTATTATAATTATCATTTTCAGATTGAAAAGTACACCACCATTTCCAGTTGGAAATCTTGTTGGTTAATAAACCTCTTAAAATGATGAGTATATTTATCGCTTTATAGAACCATCCCAATTCTAAAAGACTTACAGGGGCATAGACACAGTTTCAGCTAAAAATTTCCAATTGTTTTTTCCCTTTTATAAATAGTTAACCAAGGTATTTCTAATGATCATCAAACATTTGAACTTTAGTTGTCGAGATACAAGACAGATTTAGAGCTCCAAACCTTTGTTATGTAAACAGGGTCTTTCTCATGTTTTATTCACTTGGATTAATATACTAATACATGTTCGTTCATAGCAGATAATTTCAATAAAAAAGTTAGTTCTAAATACAATTGGAGAGTTTCTAGTGATTTGCTGAATTTCATTTTGTTATAATTATGATATATTCTATATGTAAACAAAAAACAAGGCACGAGTCTTGTTTATGTTATGAAGAACGTTAAGTTCTGCATCTCCTTTGTTAATCAATAAATGATGCTCAAATTTTTGGTGCTCATTAGATGATGCCTTAGTTGGGAATTTTAAGCTTTAAAATTGGTTTATACTAGGAAAGATAAAAGAAATGTATATTCTAGAAAAAAGTGTTAAAACAATAAAATGATGATATGGAGTATCCAACCATAGGGACAGTATGAAGAATAGACAGTTCATAATGTAAGTTTAAACAACACAAGACAAATGTTTATAGGTGAGTTCAATATTTTTAAAAAAAATTTGATTGAAAGGACGTTTTCAACATATATTTTTAAAAAGAAAATGACAGCATTGGAGTTCTTTGACTGTGAGTTGGCAGGTCCATGACAAGCTTTATGGTAACCTGAATATCACCAAAGACAATAATCCTCTCACATAATACCGGTCGGCACGGGATGCTCACACTCCTCCATTCCACTTCCTATGTTCTGGAGGTCCGTATTTACTCAGCTCCTCTTTTGTATTGTTTGGGCTTGAATGTTATTCGTTATTTCCATATATTTCACGTTCATAAAATTCAAGCCTAATGTCTGGTTAAATATATACCTTCCATTTAACTGCAGAAGAGAAAACTTGAGCTCATAGTTTATTAAGGCAACCCTTGCATTCGCAGATACAGTGAAGGGTCTATATAAAGCTGCCCCAGTACAAATCCGATGCTTCCAGTAGGGAGTGTTTCTGAAAAAAAATTGCCCCTCAGACCTCCGTTGAGGAGTTTTTCCTAAGTGACACACTCAGCAGTCAAGATTTAATAGGAGATTAATTAAGAGATCCGTCCACTGGATCCTGGGAAACGAATTTCTATCCAGAAGAGTTTTTATGAAAAGAATCTCCTGAGATCTGTATTTTTAAGGTGCAATTGATCAATGGTGATGTAAAATTGCTTTATGGGGCGGTAAAAACTTACAAAAAAAATTGGATGGTCTCTGCACTTAAATTTGAATAGGAAGCTAGGAGATCAAATGATAAAATAATTGTATGGCCATAGCGTAAGATAAAGTGAATTGGAAATTGGAGACAGCGTCCTGTCCTTTGTCCGAAAAGTGGATCTATGGGAAAGAACAAATCAGCAGGTAAATAAATTTCAAGTTTAGATATTCATGGTTTAAGATTTCAGAGTACTTTAGGGCACAAAGACACTGCAGAGGAATATGCTGTTGAAATTTAATCAGATACGAGCATGAAAAACCTCTTCTCAATAATACGGTATGTTATCTGTAGAAAGAGAAAACAAGACGTCCATGAATTCCGATAAACTTTAAAAGACTAATTCTGAGGAGTTACGAAGTCATTGAATTGAGATTAAAAAAGACCCCACAGAATTAGGATGAATGCACAGTTAATCATTAGATAAACTTAATGGCATCATATGAAACTAATTTAAGTTTAGAATTCAAGTCCTTTATTTCAATGTCTGAGTCTTCTCAGACAGTCATCAAACAACAGTGAGAGATGTATTGAAACTTATGGAGAGAACGAACAGTATTCAAAATCAAAAGACCGTAAAACAATACAAAATAGAAGCAGAATAAACGTTTCTTCTGTAACAGTTTCTGCATGCATCCGCAAAGTCACAAAACTCTGATGTCTTTGCCGATTTGTTCATGACGGTCTAGCACAAAAGATACAATCTTAGATTATTATGGAGATTGGATATCATAAACAGTTTTTATGATGTAATATTATGCCAAAAATTGATGTTTACGATTTGTATGTCAAAAGCTGCTTTGATGCCAGTTCTTTTTATGATTCAGTCTACCAAATATTTTCATAAATTTCAGACAAAATAAATGATAGAATGAAGACCAAATTCATTTTTCTTAATCGTTTTACTAATCGGATAATATCTTTGATGTGTCAATTGTTTATGAAATAAGTTTTTAATAGTTTTGAAACTCCAAGGGGATGTAATCAGTTTCATCACTTATATGTCATGTTGGTAAAAAAACGTACCCACAAGGATTTGCTGGTGCTTGAAAATTACAAGTGAAATACCTTAGTTATTGATAAACAAGTTGATGAAGCAAGAATATCAACAGTCCCGTTTAAACACCTAATTTTATGTTAACGCCCCCAAAATCTACCTGACTCAAAATCAATAATTTACCGCCTGTCAATCATTAAAAAATTTTCACTGAAAATTGACACAAAACACGTAATGTTGACCCTGATTACCAAACACAGACTTCCTGTGTAATGCTACGTATACACAGATTTTTGACATCTTGGGCATTGGGAGTCTCCAGGTAAATAACACCACTGTTACCTAGACCACTCCCCACCTCAGGTAACCGTACGGTAAAAAAAAAAATGGGTTTTTAAAGTTATTACGTTATTCTTTAATAGATATAGTGTCCTTCTGAGCAAATAATATCTATCATAACTTTACACTGAATTGTCGACGGTTTTTTTTTCTCGTTATTTCCCGGTCATGACAAGGAGCACACAGCGGGTGTGACCGATCGTCAGTGCTAACTCTTTCGTGGCACCTGATCCCATTTCTGATGTTTTAGAGGTCCGTGTTTCCAACGCTCAAAAATTCTTTTGTTTGAAGGACATGTTAGCTTGAATTATATTATCTCCATATATTGCATACAAAACTTGTGTAATTTTGTCCGTTAACCTTACGGAGCTTAAGAATTCTTATCAGACAATATTTTTAGGACAATGGACAAAGCCATAAAATTGTACTCAATAATTGCCTGTAAGTTAGTTTTGTTGAATTTGTTCTGATTCACTCAATTTATCTAGATTTAATAATTTCTCTTTGTTAAATAAATCAATAAATTAATCATATGATCAATAAAATCAACATTTGTGACAAATAACGGTAAAAAATTATATAATGAATTGACAATTGATGATCGATCTCTACACAATACAAGTATATGAAGAGGGTACTATACATTGACCCTGAAGGCTCAGCACCTGAGGATGACTAAGTATCCCTGTTGACTGGTCACATTTGCCATGCGTCCTATGTATAATAAATTTGATGTGTCGGGAAGATGGAATTTTTAGTAGTCAAATTCATTTAAAAACATACGTCTATCAATTTGTATTAAATACTAGTCTGTCAGGCAAAATATAACCGACTGATAGGGTAAATTTACTAACAGGACCGACTTTATACAGGTTTTTCATTGTAAAGATCTAGTAAATGAAAGGTGCAAAAAAAAAAATTTCTAAAATTGAGTAACACATTCTTTTTATATTGATCCATAAGGTTTTCAAATGTAGCTTGGTAAAAATAAGATGTACTACCGGGATTTGATTTTTAGGTAAATTCAATGAAAAACATATTTCAAACTCCCTTTTTCAATTAAAAAATATAATACTTTTATAAATCTCTGACGAAGGAGATGTATCAGTTTATCTACAGTCTTTCAGAAAAGGCATTATGTTAAATGCAGACTGGTGTTTTTCACACCAATTGGTAGGTAACTTCTTACACATTGCTTTGTTGGCGATTTTGTTTCCTCTTCCTGATCATGAGAAGAAGGTGTGAGCGTTCACCAGGAGATGCTTACTTTTCCATGGCACTTTTCCTCACTTTTAACATACACATATAACGGCAATGTTTGCTCTGCTCTCAATTTGTATTGCTTCAATTGACTTTAGAGGTTGAGTACTGTTTGTAATTTAAATATTTGATGCCAAGAAAAGTTAATGCAATTTATTATTTTTTTTTCTTATATAAAAAAGTTATTGTTGCTTTTCTGTTTGTGAACTTATCTATATTGTAAAATAAGTAGCACACATTTTTTTTTAAATTCTATTTATAGTGCATTTGTTGGTGACCAAAGCTCAGCCCCAGCAATGCCCATATGGCTGGAAACAACGGGGGACATCATGTTACGCGTTTTTTACAGACATACAACTTAGCTGGACAGAAGCAATGGTAAGGTTCTATTAAAGGTATATTCTGAATTTTATTTGCATTAAATTTATTAGATTTAAAGGAATTTTACAAGTAAAGGAATAATTATGATTTATTTAAATACTGCTGATGTTATACCATCCGTTGTGTATTTTTAGGTCACCTGAGTAAACTCAGGTGACCTATTGCTATTCGTTTTCGTCCGTCGTCGTGCGTCGTGTGTGGTGCGTCGTGTGTTAACATTTGAACATTTTCAGCTTCTTCTCTGAAACCACTGAACCAATTTCAACCAATTTTGGCATACAGCATCTATGGGTGAAGGGGAACAAAAATTGTGAATTTCATGGTCCCTCTCCCCCTGGGGCCTTGGGGGTGGGGCCAAAACCACTAAAAATAGTGCAATCTTTAAAAATCTTCTTCTTTACTCCTGGACATCAAGCAGACAAACTGTTGGTATGATTGTAATCAGCATTGAGTCCTCTACCAAAATTTTGAAATTCATGGCCCCAGGGTTAGGGGTTCTAGTGCTAGGGCGGGGCTCTATTGATAATATAGTGAAAATGCATTATTTCTTTGAAAATCTTCTTCTCTGCTCCTGGATATCAAATTAACAATCTACGTACTTAGTTATGATGAGCAAGAGTGCCTTTTTCAGATTTGTGAATTTCATGGCCCCAGGGTCAGGGGTTCTGGTGCTAGGGCGGGGCTCTACTGATTATATAGTGAAAATGCATTAATTCTTTGAAAATCTTCTCTGCTCCTGGGTATTGAATAAACTAACTAAGTACATTGTTATGATGACCAAGAGTGCCTCTTCCTAAATTGTGAATTTCATGGCCCCAGGGTCAGGGGTTCTGGTGCTAGGGTGGGGCTCTATTGATTATATATTGAAAATGCATTAATTCTTTGAAAATCTTCTTCTCTGCTCCTGGGTATTAAATAAACTAACTAAGTACATTTTTATGATGAGTAAGAGTGCCTCTTTCAAAATTGTGAATTTTAAGGCCCCAGGGTCAGGGGTTCTGGTGTTAGGGTGGGGCTCTATTGGTTATATTTTGAAAATGCATTTATTCTTTAAAAATCTTCTTCTCTGCTTCAAGGTATTAAATAAATAACATAAAGTACATAGTTATGATGAGCAAGAATGGCACCTCAACCAATTTTGTGAATTTTTATGTCCCCTGTGTCAGGGGTTTTGCCATTTGCTTTAGGGGGGACTTTTGATTATTTAGTGAAAATGCATTAATTCTTTGAAAATCTTTTCCTTTGCTCCAGGGTATTAAATTATGCCAATGGTCTAAGTATATATATATTTTTTTTATGAAAAAAGGTGTATCTAGCAAAACGGTTAATTTCATGCCCCCTGGGTAAGGGGTATGGGGGGGGGGGGTTACATAGTCTGAAAATAAATTAATGCTTTGAAATCTGCTTTTTGGTATTGATCAACCATTTATGATGAAATAAAATTTATGATAAAATTTCCAAAATTTTGAAATAAATGGCCCCAGGGTTAGTGGTTCCTTTGGGATGAGGTGCATAAATGGTTATAAAGTGGAAGTGCATTTTCTGTTTGTTACTCTGATCTACGTCTGGGTATTAAGTAACTAGAGTAAGCATGGTAAGTGTATAATTATGATAAGCAATAGTGCCTCTTTCAAAATTATGAATTTCATGGCCTGTGGTTTAAAACACGAAATAAATTCAATTGTTAAAAGTTATTACATGACCCTCAGGTGACCTATAAGGCCCGTGGGCCTCTTGTTATCATTAATGTGTTTCATGCACATGTCTCTGGACCATTTTTCAAGAAGATTGCTGGTTTGAAATTTTTGTTTATTCTTGTCTTAATTCTTTCAGTTTTATTCAATTTAATTTTCAGTTATACTGCAACGCACTTCATGCCAAATTGGTGGAAATAGAGACAGAAGTAGAAGATGAATTTCTTCGTATTTACGAGATGGATCATGGATTAAAAAGTATATTAAGAAAGTGTTTAAAAACACCATTTATTTGTATATTTATTCATCAAAGTCACTTATAGAATAACAATTATTGGGAAATACAAAAATATTCCCATTAATGATGAAATGTAATAACAAAACACATGGTTTTGTAAGAATATACTTATAGAATTAATTAAATGATCAAAGAAGCTTCTTTCAATAAAGCTGAGAAATGCATACCCAATGTACACGGAGGCCTGGTTCAAATTTTTAAATGTTTTCATCATATTTTATTGAATATTGATATTTAAAGAATACGACATGTTGAAAATTGATATGCTTATTGGAGTATTTGTTTTGTAGCGGCGTACTTGAAATTCTTTTGTTTGCTGTATAAACAATCCTTGCGGAAATGAAAAGTCATCTTCTTCATTTGTCCCTTCACTTTTCTTAACAAATACCTTCGTCACCAGCTTGGGGCAGTTGTCAAAGCGTTAGTTTTAATTTAGAGTCGCTGTGTAAAGAGTTAATCCTTGTCCATTTCAAATCCAACTCTGAAGAAGAAATCGGTCCTTCGGATCAGACCATATAAACCAAGGTCCCAAGTTACAGTCGGTGCTGACTGCTGCTCTATGCACATGAGTGCTGAGTGAACATCTGAATTTGCAGTCCTCCACCGGCACGCCATGGCATCCAGATATGAGTTGAAATTTCTTGAAGGAAACAAACAAATAACGCACATTTTTTTTTCTCACAAATGACAGCAAGCTTCTGGATAGGTCTGACTGATACCTTGGTGGAGGGACATTGGGTGTGGGAGACGTCACAAACAACCCCCGCCTACACTGACTGGTACCCAGGGGAACCTAATGATATGGGACACCGCGAAGACTGTGGTGGCATGTATTATTCTGGGCACTGGAATGATTTTCCTTGTAATACAACCCATAGTTTCATATGTGAAAAAGAGTGAGTTTAATAATTTCGATATCTAAATCCCAAAATTAAAAGAAAAACGATTCAATTTCATCACAATTACCTTCAATAAAATGAGTGAAACATGAGGTATGTACTTATAGTCGACACCGTTCCATTTCAGGTTGGACAATGAGGTCAGCGTCATTGGATGATTGCTATTTACGGTAGCCAGTAATTGTGGGTCCAAATAAAGAATAAATATTTAACACAAATAAATATTATTGTGTCATTCACTGTGCATATACTGTCAGTTGCAAATTAAAGCAACTATTATCAATGCAGGAAAATGTATTAAATTTTCCCTTTATTTCCCGATCATGTTTAGAAGCAGGCTAAAGGGTGCTCACTCCTGCATGGCACCTGGTCCCGCCTCTGATGTTTTAGATGCCCGTATTTGCTCTGCTTCTGCTTTGTATTGATAAAATGGACTTTTGAGTTCGAAAACGCTTCGTTATTTCCATACACTTTTCTGTCATTTACAAAATTATTCTGAATATACTCGAAAGTACCCCGGAAATGACAGTTAAATGCTAATTGAGTTCCTCAATGACAATATCTATGGAGCTTTTTGAAATCATGTCGTCGAATAATTTTTTAAAATCTTTATAAATTGGGTGGAAAGGCAAGCTTGTGCTCGGTGTTTTCAGAAATAATTGAAGTATGAAATATATGAAAAATTACATAAGAATTAGACATTTTGGAAAATGACATAGTTTATTAACTTCCTGCATTCCATAATCTAAGGGATAAGATGACAACAGCTTTGTAATGATTATCTATTAGATCCAAAAAGATGTCATACCCTTTCATGTCCTCTGTAGACATTTCTTGTCATTTTAATTAATTTTTTTCCATCGGCCGAAGCCAATCACAAAAAATAAGGAAAAAGGCCTACAATTTCAATAGTACTTTTACGCATAATTTCGGTTTGTTATCTTCACATTTCACAATGTCAGTTATAGAGGCTAAATCAAGATAGTGATCGCTGTAAGAACAATAAATCGTTTTCTTTGCTTGCAAACATAAGCAAGTCACAAGTTCACTGTGTCCACAAAAATAGAATGAATGAATGAATGAATGAATGAAATTAGGGAATTTGTCTCACGAACATTAAACTCCTCTTATTTTTAATTTGGATTTCTCCTTTATATTTGGTGAGTAGTAATATAACATTTTGATTCTTTGTACAAAAATTCTCGAATTCTAACAAATTTACAAGAAAAACTAAATTTTTCCAAAGACGTTATATTTTATAAGGCAACTAATGCTTTTAAATATAAAATTGTACGGTATCTAATTTTATTTTACATCTTTACCCCAACAGCAGCTGCAGTGTATGAAGTTAAGCTTTTTCTAATGACAACAAAAACAAAAAATGTTTTCCATAAACACCATTTATTAAAAATTATGGTTGAAAACCAAATGTTCAAAAATAATGAGAGATCAATGAACTCAATAAATTCCCCCATAAACATTAAAGTTCAAACATCGTGTCCTCATTGTGGTATCAACATGAATTCTCTTGCTTCATATTCATTGATGACGTCCCGACGGGGGCAAGGCAGAGTTCATGATTATTCACGTTGTTTAATATTTTTTTTTTTTTCATTTTATTTTTGGGGAAGAAAATTCTTTAGTTTTTACAAAGATGCATATATACGGTATCTTACTTGTATCAAGTTGGAGATGTGGGCGTACGCAATGTCCGTTACTTCAAATGAAATGTATAAAATTCATATATATTCAGTTTGTGAAGCGTCTTGCGAATGTTGTGTCATAAAAGTGAATTTAAAGGCGTTTTATGTCTCTGCTCAATGTTTTTGATTACCAAAGAATTATATTTTTAGGCATACTTTGGGATAATCTTTCCATAAATGGAATAAATAAAGACACACTAATAGGATGAAATAACATTATTTTGGAGATTTGAAATGTTTTGACCTCATAGATACTTAATATGAAAACAAAAATAGGTCTGCTAATAACGGGGCGCAATTGGTACCTATAAGAATTCCGATAGATTGTTGAAAGACCTGGTCTCCAAAAACCATGCACATCCCATTGCAATTGGACATTGTCAACCAGGAACTCAAGCACCTCTTTTATGTTAATCTTCAGAGTATTTGTGTGTAAAATCAGACTGTTCTTTAACAAAATAATTTTGCAAATGACCATTGACCAGATAAGTAAATCTTCGAGTTCTTTTTATTAAATAAGTAGCTGTCAATGATATCAAAAAGCTTGGACTTTAATTTATCGTTGGAAATAGTTTCGTATAAAGTTGAAATGTCATAAGTTTTTAAACTGTTGATTTTTGTAAATTCTTGTGATACAACCATAAGTACGTATTCTAAAAGTGCAATGTAATTAATATCCTTATTCATAATTGAATTTAGCATTCCTTGAATGTATCTCACAGTTGCTTCATGCTTTATGTATTGCTGAATCTTGAATTGAACAATATCTACCTGGGATTTTTTTTTTCAAAAAAATTGAATTTATTTTTAAAGTTTTTGATAGAAAAAAGATACAAATTCTCATCACAACGACTATACATAGCTTTGATTAATAATCATTATTAGATTAATAAAATAATAATATTATAGATTTCAGTAGTTTTCTAAGGTATTCTCTGCTATTAAGTTTAAACTGGTTGAAATAGAGACGCGGTATGAAAATGATTTCCTGCAGCAGCATCTACAAAACATGATAAATAGCCGGTTGTATTTGTGCAAAGTTTTTCACCGGTTTATCACGTGTAAATCAAATGTGTGTGAGTGGATGTCTGATCAGTTCGTGCAATATATGAAAAAAGGAGAAATTTTAAACCGAAAACAGAAATAATTTGAAAATGACCAATGACAAGGTAAATAAATCTACGAGTTCCATATTTATTGAAAAAGCAGCTGACAATGATAACAAAAATAATTTGAGATATAATTATCAATGTTTACTAATGATATTCGAGTTGCAGTTGTCTAAAAACTACTGCAAAATTCACACGCATTGAATACTAGTAATTACAGATTGATTCATTTTCTTAATTTTCAGATTGATATGTACAACACTTCTTCCAGTTGGTAATCTAGTTAGTTAATAAATCTTTCAAATAAATGAGAATCATGATTGCTTGTTAAAACCATTTCGATCACAAGAATATACAGTTTAACATTTGATATATGTGAAATATGGAGCTAATGAACAATGATCAAGGTGAAGAGTCCCCTAAAACAATACACATTATAAGCCCTAATAAAAACATCGGGGTAGACTCAGGTGCCAAAGACCACGCCGTATTCAGTGTGAAAATAAACGCCTTACAATATTTGTATGAAAACAGCCGTCTGCATTTGACTTTATGGTAGATTGATTTTTTTTTACAGAATTTTCGAATTGATGACTATAAATGAGACTGTTAAGATCATAGGTTCATTAATATATTTATCAATCATTTTTTTATCATCTATCTTACCCCCCGTTCACACACAGAGCTGTGACTTTACGACGATCCTCTCGATCAAACCACGATCTGAAAAAGTATTGGATCGGGGCGGATCGGTGCTGATTGGAGTCTAAATCGAACAATTTGGCAAATTATGGTCTTCATTTCGACCTTACTACGATGCCCCTACGTCAAACGCGCTGCTAACACGCTCCTACTACGATGTTATGCAGACCGTTGCCAACCAGCGGCTGTGTTTTCTGCGTGTACGCTACGCCGACGCTACGAAATTCAGGACAAGAAAACATTGATGTAACCATCAATCGCCCGGAAAATAAATAAAGTAAACAATGGAAATGAGTCTTGATCATCAAACCGCTTCAATATATGTGAAAAAGACATGCGTGTAAATGATGGAGACGATAGTACAGAATATTTTGAAAACTTATAGTCAGATGAAAATCGAACAAAAATGATACCATTTTAACTTTATCAATTCCTCAAGTAAATGTTGGCTGCATAAAATATAAATTGAAACCGAACACATGCATCATCTATTTTCAAAAATGTATATCACTTTAAGAATATAAAACACGAACTGTGTAAAGTACGTTTTTATGCGATAAGTAAAATTCGATGGTCTAAAAAAGGGACCTGTCATTTTTTTCGATAGTATATGATAAGGAACTTTATATGTTTAATACGAAAAACATATATATTTTTACAGATTCACTTTATGGAAGTAGATATATTGTGTATCTCATTATTTATAAAGGGAAAGAACATTCTGATTAACAATCTTTTTAATGTTTAGAAAACCTTTAATTCTGAATAACTTTTTCCACCTCAATTCCCATATACCACCACTTAAACTTATATGTATAGAGCCCGGTCCTCCGGGCTGCAATCATACTACGACGCTACGCAGACGTAGATAACTGTACGACGATTTCGCTACGGTAGTTCTGATCATATTACGATTGTTACGCTTCTAGTACGATTTTGGCGATGACATATGTATATCTTGCAACCGCAGATTTTTCACGGCAACTACCATGTGTTTTATAAGGCATTTTTAATTGTAACAAGATGTGAAAAGTTCGAAGTCTCAGCTGCAAATGATCGTCAAGTATAGTGTCGCTCTTTACATGAAGTTGAGAGATGATGATTGATCAAATATCAACGATATAAAAACAAACTGCTGCCTTATAGGTCGTGGTGTGATCGGCGTAAGGTCATTGTCGGTCTTCGTAGAATCGCCAGGAACGTAGAGAGATCGTAGTGAGAACGTAATAAGAACGTAGTGGGAGCGTTGTTGGAGCGTACTTGATAAGTTCCTACGCTTTTACGGCGCTTTAACTACGATCACGAAGATCTCTCTACGATGTTTCCGCGCTGCTTGTACAATTACGGCGCTTCTAGTACGCTCTTTTTACGATTTTACCCTGATTCTTATTGGTCACGATCCCGCGACGCTTGTTCTGAGCATATTCAAATTAAGCGCGGCGAGAGCGTAGAGCTCTCCGATCATAAAGTCCATAAAACGACCCTTCCACCATCATATTGCGCTTATGAAGACTTCACTATGTTTCTCCTGCGATTTATCACGATCTGCCACGTTTTCGGCCACGCTTTGATCGTAGTAGAAGCGGTTTCTATGTGTGAACGGGGAGTAACCATTGATGGAGGGCAAACTCTCCGAAATGTTGTTGTATCTAATTAATATGCTCGTTTCATGTGATTGGAATCAAAGAATCGCGATTGC